TAGGGTTTAGAAAGGTATCAATATCCATGAGATCCTGGATAGGCGTAGAGAGCTTTAAGAGAGAGAATGCATTCTATATATCATCTAGAACTGCTGGATCAACAGGCTCTCAATATAATGGTTAAGAATCTAGAGCCTTTTAAAAGCAATTCTGGATTACCTATCTAGAAAGATTAAATTCCCAGCTCTGGATTCCCTATTAAACTGCTCTTAGAATGTTCATTAACATGATTAGATTATAATTAAGCTCAAACTCTTAAAGGATAAAGCAAATCTAGTATCTTTTCCAGTATGACTTCCAACAGTGGATAATCCCTTAATTAAGAGGCTGATATCACCTGGTAGAGTTTACAGGAAGCCATATAATAAGAGTATTCTGTAGTGGATAGCTACTAGATTGAATCTCTGTCACAGCAGCTTGATGAGCAGAGAAGTTATCTATAAGAAGGATAATATTCCATCCACTTATCTACTTATCAAACTAATAAAGAAACTCTATAAATATTAATATTATAATCTAGGCTTTCTAGTTACTCCACTAGATAAGATTCAGATTCTGTATATTAACACCAGTGGCTTGGAAAGCTTATAGATTCTTTGCTATACTAATAAACTATGGTAATAGCTTCTTAGAGCCATCCATATTGTAATAAAAAAGGGCTATTATGCGTGCTTTATCTTTCTTTTAACCTGGAAGTTAACATGTTGAAAGACTCTGTGCAGGAGAGTGCTTCCAGAAGAGGCCAGTCTTATTATAATTAAACTAGTCCTTAAGGCTATACGCACTTAAGACTTATTTAATCTTAAGCATCTCTTAGTCTGCCTAAGCTAGAATACTTCCCTCCTCTCTATGTTGTTAATACCATCTTACTAACCTCCTTATCTAGAAGTTATAAAGCTATCTATTACTGAATACTGGCATCTCTTTCCCTGGATAGATCTTCTCCCAAAAGACTGAGCCTTTTATTAAATAATCTCTGTAGAGATAGGTATTTATTCCTCCACATATATCATCCACTCAAATAAGGCATTCTCTAGCTCTGGCTAGTTCTCACGGCATTGGCGCTTTGCATTGCAGGAAGGGAGGGAATCAGCATTAAGATATTCATATTTATAGGATAAGATATCAGAGATAAGACCAGATGAAAGAGTATGATTATAGGTGTCCTGAAACCATTTGCGAAGCTCTTTCTGTGTTGCATTTGGATAGAGGTGTTTTTAGGCTTGTAAAGCAGCCTTCTAGGACATTAAGATAGGCTTTCTCTAAGGTATATTAGCTAACTGACCCCTGCTACGTTGCGGCTTAGTAAGACTAAGCCTTAGTATTCGGGGTCGCGCGTTGCGCGACCCCGCCATCTCAATGAAAACCGACATCTTAATGATAAAAGATTTCAAAGTCGTATCCCTCATAGAATATCTATTATTTATCAACCACCACCATGCCGGACGATTATTATGATATAGAAGATCGAATTGAACAAGCCTTGCGCACATTACGGCGTCAAGAAAAACCAAATATCTCAAAAACTGCGCGGGAATTTGATGTCCCAATGCAGCGGCTTCGACGCCGCTGGCTTGGGACACCTTCACGTTGTGATAGGGCCCCAACAAATACAAAGCTTTCTGCTGAGCAGGAGATGGCTCTTAGGCAGTATATTGATAAGCTTATTAAACTAGATATCCCCCTCGGCCGCAGCAGATTGGTAATGCTGCAAATTTAATACTATATCGCGGACATACTGATCCAACAACTTCCCCCCCTCAGATTGGCGAGAAATGGACGAAACGCTTCCTTAAACACTATCCAGAATATCGAATACGAAGGCAAAGAGCTATTGAGTTGGAATGGAAGCGGGCACATGACCCTATGGTTATTAAGATGTGGTTCCATAATCTTAAAGGGTTGATGGAAAGGAACTGTATCCATCTACGGGATCTTTACAACTTTGATGAGACTGGCTTCCAGATTGGAATTGGTAAAGATTAATGGATAGTTACTAGAGAGTTTAAAAAGGCTTCCTTCTCTCCTAGTAATACCAATCGCGAATATGCAACAGTGGTGGAAGCAATCAGTGCTGACGGCCATTATATCCCTCCCTTCATCATCTTCAGCGGCAGGTGCATCCTAGCTGGATGGTTTGATGTTTGTGATGAGCCGGATTATATAATCGGTGTATCAGAATCTGGATATATTAATGATCTCCTTGCATTCCAATGGATTCAGCACTTTGAGCGTCATACACAGCGTCGAACAGTAGGTGTTAAACGCCTACTTCTCTGCGATGGATATGGATCCCATATGACCTATGAGGTTCTTGATTTCTGTGAGAAACATAATATTATCTTATACTTCCTTCCTCCATATACAAGCCATCTCCTTCAGCTGCTAGATATTGGTGTATTCCATGCCTATAAGCACTGGCATAGTGAAGCTATCCAGGATGCTACCCAGACAGGGTGCGGCAAATTTACAAAGGTGGAATTCTTATCCGCCCTCTTTGAGATACGACGCAAGACTTTTAAGAGTCATACATTAAGGCATGCTTTTAGCCTGACTGGCTTGAATCCCTGGAATCCATCTGTCGCTCTTGAAAGGCTACAGGATAGTGAGCTCTTTGCCAATGAGGAGACAAGCAATTCCTCTTTTTCAATCACCAACACCCCCAAAACAGCGCGTCAAATTGATAGATATGGTCATCATATTCTTCAACTATCCCCAGATGAGGAAGATTCCTTCCATACCTGCCTTGCTAAGCTAGTAAAGGCCTCAAAAGTGCAGGCAATTCTAGTCAATCATCTTACGGAGCGGGTGGCCCAATCTAACACTGCAAAACTAGCACGTCAACGCCGTGCGCATGCCTCCAGAGCCCATCTACGGACAGGTGGAATTATACAGAAGGGAGAGGTCAATCGTATGAAGCGTGTGAAGCAAGATTACAATGAGCTGGTTGAAAAGAATCGATTACGGCCTCAATGGCGGAAGGTGATGACTGAACTTCAGGAGTACTGCCTTGCGAAAGGAATAATTGTTCGAAAGCGGAGAAAGGCTAGAAAGGTAGATGAAAGCCAGTAGTTACTATTTCCATATATTTTACTAGTAAATTTACACTGGAAGGTTGCCAGTTTCTTCATGATAGTTTGATATCTATAAATTTTATTGTTGAGATGTCGGTTTTCGTTGAGATGGCGGGGTCGCGCAACGCGCGACCCCGAATACTAAGGCTTAGTCTTACTAAGCCGCAACGTAGCAGGGGTCAGTTAATAAGAACCCTTGATATAATGAGATTTTGTATGGGAGAGAAGGCAAAGTTAATGAGACTTACTGTAGCAAGGGATCTTGTTATTTATATGGAAAATTAATTGAAGCAAGAGATTTATCTTGTTATAATGAGGTTCTTGTTATAGCGAGACTCGTTATAACGAGGTTTTACTGTATAAGGTGGGACCGCTGGGCTACCTACCATGTTATCTAACTAGCAATCTAATGAGTTCCCTTGCCTGCTTTATTCCATGACTCATCTGGAAATGGTGGTGCTCAGACTTTATTGCTTTCTAAGATCTGTATCCTCGCAAGGTACCACTGTACTAACAAAATCACCGGAGCAATCAATGCTCAAAGGTTTTATTTCAGAAAGCCACCGGGAAGGTCCGGTCAGTATTCTCCGTCTAGCGGTTCCACCTTACATCGAGGGTTGCAAACCGGTAATCCATGCCCATAAGCCAGAATTGGGGCGGATCCATTGGGGGCCAATACTGTCAATACAGTTCTGATCCTTGTTCGTTCATGCAGTGAGAGCTCCACTACGTATTTACGTCGGTTAGGCGCATATATTACTATTGGTAAGTGCATAATTCAGAACCCTCGGCCCAGGCTGTAAGCGGGACAGAAGAAAGAGATTAAGGACAAAGGTACATGCCACGCTGTTCTGGATCCAGGAGTTGCACTCAACCTAGCCTAGGTAGAATCGTGTATATACAAATTGAGTCCAACAATGACAGGCCGGCAGCATCCCCATTCCCCAAAGATCACCTGCGTAACCACAAGATTAACTCGATCGGTTCCGTGGGCCACATCACGCAATGTAAAACCGGAAAATAAATGGCCACCAGCACGAGACAGTTGCTCCTTGCCCCACACAGCCCCAGGTGAGGTCCAGTTCTTGTCCATATCCGTGCCATGGCGACCCACGCTCCCAGGACATTATTCTCCCTCTTGGTGTAGTCTAGCCGATGGAGCAGTAGTTTAACCGACCTTACTAAGTTACTAAGCCGCACGTAGTAACTTAGGTGTCGGTTAGGTGGAAAAATGTCCAACACCCCGACCACTGATCCTCGAAACAGATAGTGTGATAATCAAGACTGGGTTATTTGTATTATACAGCACATTTAAGCAGATGGAGAAGCTCGGGCGCACCAACTCCTAGTTTGGCTAATGTAATGCTTGGCGGGGATAGTGCTCCAATGAAGGGGTTATTGATGACTAGTGTGAAATAGGCAAATGGATATAAATATAGATTATCCTTGCAGTAGCCTGGTTACGTGAGATTTAGTAGTGACTGTGCTGTTGATCTCTAGGAGAGCTACTTGACCTTTAGACTCAGGTATGCCTGTCCATCTAGAGTCCAGCATGCTTTTAGTGGAAGACCCTCTAAAGCGTCGGGTGTCAAGAGATAAGGATCTACTGATGTCGTTTCCTTCCAGGATCATCCGACCTTAGAGCCACCTTTCCCCTGGTCCTTGTACAGCCAGCAGTCTGATAGTCCTCCAGTAATACATAGTAGAATAACCAGCATCTGTTAGTTAATCATATGTTTGGGCCTAACCTACCCGCAATAGACTGGTATGACTATAGAAAACCACTTTCTAGATACGACTATTAACTAATTTAAAACTTAAAACAAACCGAGTTATGGGTCTGGCTGAGCCCGGGACGAGAGTAGCAGTATGCAATAAAGGTGAATTCTGGTCGATGCAAAGCAATGAGCGATAGTCAAAGCTGACGGCGAACAAGATAGATCAGATGGCCAACTGGTAGCCATACTAGGAATGTAAGAGAGTATCAGCTCTCAAAAAAGTCTGGACTTTTGACCATTAATCCCAGCGCTCTATATGGCAGTTATTACCGACAGCTCAGGTGGAAAGAAAGTAATACATACCCCAGCGATGGGCTCGCTACGCACTTCCCACACCAGCGATAGACGATCAAGCTAAAGACGAGGTACGACGCAGTCACCAGGGCTACACATATACAGCGGCTTCCTCTAGTCTTTTGGGTTCCGCATCTCTGAGATGACCGTCAGAAAGGCACTGGTACCAGCCGAGGAGACAAAGATGATACAGGAGGCGACCATGCCGCCGGTAAAACCCGGGTTATTGATGGCGACGAACCCAAGGTCGTACAGCCCTTCCTGTGGTGCAGCTGCCGGTCTGTCTCGGGTCGTCACGCCGACCACAACAATGAGAACCGCGACGTAGATGACAGGAATCCCACGTAGGTCAGCCGACCGACGTTCTCCGGTTTGCAGATGGATGCCGTTGCGGTGATCACCACTGCGGCCAGGAATGGCCACCAGACGGTGCACGCTGCGTGGTGGGAGAGAGCATGCAGCACCGTGAACACGCCGACGATGCCACTGCCCGTCACCAGGACATAGGCAAATAATAAACAACTGGCCGGTGACCTCCCTGGCAACAGTGCCACCGGCAACGTAAGCCATGTCGGCAATCGAATGGCAGTGGGTGTGTCTCATTCGAGAGTTGCCCAGGATGCCAAAACAGTACATGTTGAAGCACCCCCAGGCCACAATGCTGATCGAGGGCCCCCGACGACTCACAGCGCATACAGCGCCGACGGCAGTGAAAGCACGCCTGTTGCGAAAAGGACTTTGGTGAAGATCACGGCCACATTGAACCAACCCACCTAGCGGAAGTTGACTCCGGAAGCCGTCCTCTCGAAAATCTCCCCTTCCTCTTCTAATGCCTCACCGCGTGGACTGACTTGCTCAGAGTCGCATGCCTCATGGGCCGCTGCCTGCTTCTCACTCGACATGATGACAGAGAAGGACGATTTGACAATCTCTAACTTTCTTACTTTCCGTTTACAAGCTGCGAAGAGGATCAGAAACTTTATATAAACATATTATCTATGTTGGAAACCCCAGTCCTCAGGATCTTGGATAGCATGTTCCTCTCCAGAAAATAACCCGGTCAATATGACCCACTTAGCGGTATTCGAATGCCATAATTCATTAGCAAAAGGTACAGTAATTGGCACCGGCCATAGTGTGGATTAACTCTCGACCCACAGGAAAGCATATGCAGGATGATGAACTGGGTAATCCCCTCGGCACAGGATCGCGAGTTGGACCAGGATCTGGTCTGGAAATATGTAGCTACGTAACGAGATATGAGGGGCACTGGCCAGTAAAAATCCAACGGCACAAGCACTTGTCTCAGAAGTTGCATCGACTAAACCGTTAGTATGTTTATTAGCTGCCTGGTGGGACGATCCCCAATACACCTGGGAAATGTTTCCAGCCCCATTTAAAGCTAAAAGCGCTGTTTTATTCTGTTTTAAATCATAGCTGTTGCTTTGAAGGCGGGGTCTTCGGCCTTCAATTCCTGTTGTCGTCTGCGAATCGTGACATATTCACGCCGTACTGTAATGAGCATAAACTACTCTAAAGTGGTCGCAGTAGCTTTCTCTCTATACAAGTCCTCGCAGTGATCATGCCACATAGCGCTTGCCAAGACGACTATCGTGTCGGAGTAGACGTCGGCGGCACATTCACAGATGTCTACGCCTTCACGCCCGACGGCCAGATTGCAAGAGCCAAGGTGCCGACCACCGTTGAAGGCCAAAGCGTCGGGGTCAAGAATGGAATCCAGAAGGTTCATCACATTCTCAAAGAACGCTACTCCTGGGACGGCAAGTTCCAGTTCATCCACCATGGCACCACCACCGCCACCAACGCTGTTCTCGAAGGCAAAGGAGCACGTACCGGGTTGATCGTGACGGCAGGACACAAGGACATTTTGGCGGTGCGCCGGTCCCAGATCCCTGGTGGTCTGGGGGCTTGGCTGCACTATACCCCTCCGGAGCCGATCGTGCCTCTGGAGCGAGTGATACAGTGTCGGGAGCGGATGTCGGTAGACGGGAAGACGGTCGTCGCGGTGGATACGGATGCGCTGCGCGAGGATCTGAAGGCGTGGACGAAGGAACGGCCCGAGGCTGTGGCGATCTCGTTGCTGAATTCGCACTGCAATAGCGAGCATGAGGCTTTGGTTGCGAAAGTTGTGCGCGACGTGCTCGGGTCCGAAGTGACGGTGATCTGCTCGAGCGACGTTCTCAGAGAGGTCGGCGAGTACGAGCGAACGGTCACCACCTGCACCAATGCGCTGGTCAAACCCGTGGTTCAGAGCTATCTCAGTAATCTGCAGGATTTACTGGCGGTGGATGGCGATACGATCCGCATTCTCAAGTCGGATGGCGGTCTGACGAGCTTGGAGCTGGCAGGCCAGGCGCCTGTCAATATTCTGATGTCCGGTCTGCTGGAGGGGTCCAGGGAGTGGCAGACGTCGTCACGCGACATACGCCATACAAGAACCTGATCACCTTTGACATGGGTGGCACGTCGACGGATTGCGCCCTGATCAACCAAGGGAAACCTCAGGTTCGTCGCGAGACAGTAGTCGGCCAACTCACTGTCCGGTCGCCCGCTGTGGATATTCGGACGGTAGGAGCAGGAGGCGGTTCGATTGCGAAATATATGAGCATCACTGAAACCATGAGAGTTGGTCCGGAGAGCGCAGGGGCCAGCCCAGGACCCGCATGCTACCGCAAGGGAGGGACCGAAGCCACCGTCACGGACGCCAACCTGGTGTTGGGATACCTGCCTAAGAACCTCTTGGGAGGCGAATTCACTCTGGATATTGAGGCCGCAACGGCTGCAGTTGGCGCCATCGCCGAGCAGATGAAGCTGTCTATCGCCCAGACCGCGGAGGACATTATCAACCTCGTGAATGAGACCATGTACGGAGCCCTGCGTCTCGTCTCAGTCGAACAGGGCTATGATCCCAAGGATTTTGCTCTTGTCGCTTTTGGCGGTGCAGGACCCCTTCATGCCAATGCCGTGGGCAAACTCCTCGGTGCTTGGCCGGTCATTGTCCCTCCATCTCCAGGCACTCTGTGCGCCCTGGGTGATGCGACTACTCGGCTGAGCCACTCTCAGTCTTCCTCGTTCATCCGCCTACTCTCCGCTACAACAGCACAGGAAGTGAAGAGCCAGTTTGATGAGCTTGAAAGGACAAGTCGGGCCGCCATGCAAAGGTCCAACGCAAACCGTTCGAAGCAGCTGAATATTGGCTATCATGTGGATCTGAGGTATCGAGGCCAGGCACTGAATTTGACAGTCGATCTGCAGGCGGATGAGCTGCTGCTGGAAGACAGGTCATGGCGAGAGCTCCTGCAGGCGAAGTTCGACCAGCTCCATGACCAGCAGTTCAAGTACTGTCTTCCCAACTATGAGCTGGAGCTGATGCGTCTCGAGGTCGTTGCCGTCGACGCGTCGCCCAGTATCGAACTTCCTCAGCTCAGCAAGGCGGAATCGCCTGTGCCACCGGCCGATGCAATGTTCTCGAAGAAGCAGATCGTCATAGAAGGCAAGACGATGGAGGCTACCATGTGGGATCGGGAGAAGCTAAAGCGCCAGGGCATACGGGTCGATGGCCCCTGCATTATCACGGAAATGGACAGCAACACCCTGGTCCTTCCCGGGTGTTACGGCGAAATTGACTCGATCAGTAACATTCTGATCCGCCTGGCAGACGATCTGTCGACAGAGCGTCCAAAAGACCAAACCGCAGAGGCTGCTCTGGAGACAGTCCGATCGACCCCCTTGATCCCTACGCTGGTTGCGTCTGCCTTGGCCTCCATTCGCAGCGAAATGGATACTCTCATGCTGCGTTGTAGCATGTCGCCCGCTATTCGGGAGCAGCAGGATGAATTTAATGTCATCACCACTGCCGATGGCAAGATGCTCGTGGGTCAGTTTGGCAGCTTCATCACCCAGTTCTTGGGCGTCTGGAAAGGCACAATCGAGGAAGGGGATGTGTTCATCACGAACGACACGTACATGATTGAAGGCGCCGTGACACACTTGAACGACGTGATTGTCCTGTTGCCCATCTTCTATGGACACCGACTGATCGGGTGGGCGTCGCAGTTTGGACACCTGACTGATGTCGGAGGAATGGTGCCTGGCAGTATGTCCATCAACGCGTCCTCGATCTTTGACGACGGCGTCCAGATCCCGTGTATCAAGCTGTACAGCAAGGGGTTATGAACACCGATCTGGTCGAGCTGCTCTGTCGCAACTCGCGCCAGCCCGACTGGTACAGGGCTGACTTGTTTGCCATCATCACCGCATGCCGAACGGCCGCCAGCCGGGTCAATGAGCTGGTCCTGCGGTTTGGATGCCAGGTCTATCTCGCGGCATGCTCGGAACTGCTCATGCGCAATCGTGCCGCAATGGCGCAGATCATCGAGACCGACTTCACCGACAAGCCATGCACGTTTACCGATTTCGTCGACGACGACGGCCACGGCATCGGGCCCTGGGCCCTGACCTGTACGATGAGGAAAATCGACAAGAACAGGCTGCTGTTTGACTGGAGAGGGACATCCCCACAGAGCGAGCACAGAATCAACTTCTATCTCTCCGAGACCATGTTCAAGATGTTCATCGGCTACTATATGATCGCCGCCGTCGCACCCGGCACTGTGATCAACGACGGCTTCCACGACCTCATCGACATCTATATCCCGGAGGGCAGCGTCCTGAAGCCAGTCCGACCAGCGCCGATATCCTGTCGTACACATCTGCTAGGCAGAACAATGGACGTCATGCAAGCGCTCATCGGGCAGAGGAACCCCATCTACGCCGCCGCCGCGGGCTTCAGCGACTCCCCCCACTTCTTCTACTCGGGATACAAGCCCGACGGCGAGTGGTATCAGCTGTATCAAATTGGCTTTGGCAGCGTGCCAGCCCGCAACGCCGGCGACGGTCTTGATTGTCACTGTCTGTTCCCGGCAATCAAATCGATCCCCACGGAGATCATCGAACTGAACTACCCGCTCCGTATCGAAGCGAACGAGAGCGTGCCGGACAGCGGTGGGCCGGGGTTCTATCGCGGGGGCAATGCCCAGCGCACACTCTACCGGTTCCTGTGTCGCGGGGAGTTCAGTCTGCACGATGACCGGTGGTTCATGAAGCCGTGGGGGATACAGGGCGGCAAGCCCGGTTCCCGGTCCCGGAAGGTTCTGTACAGATACTCCAAGTCGAAGGAAAAGCCGCCGGTAGAAGTCCTGCCTTCAAAGTGCGACCACATCCGCGTCGACCCGGATGACCTTCTCGAGTGGGTGACCTGGGGAGGCGGTGGACTGGGCGATCCGTTGACTCGGCCGGAGGAGAAGGTCGCCCTAGAAGTCCGTCGCCGCCTGGTCACCATCCAGGGCGCTTACGAGAACTACGGTGTGGTCGTGGATCCAGAGAATCTGAGCGTGCGTGAGGCCGAGACCGAAGCTCTGAGGATGAGGATGAGGACTGCCCGGGATGCGGTGGGCAAGGCCCAGCAGTATGATCGAGGAGGCACAATCGAGGAATTGACGGAGTCCTGCCTCAAGGAGACTGGGCTTCCTGCTCCGAGTCCGCAATGGGAGTTGGAGCCTTATGGGCCGCACATGTCGCTTCCGTATGTCAAGGAGTGGTATGTGCGTATGAAAATGACCAAGGGCTGGGTGTTGCAGTCGTAGATGGCTTCATTTTCTGTGATTTACTAGAATAGCCGTTTATAATACTAGATGGGAGTGACCATCCGTAGTGGTGCTTACATAGATATACACTCTCTAGTCAGCATCATTGAGCCTATAGTGTCATGTTGAAAGCAGTGGATTTTACCGTAATTAAATTTATTTGATTCTAGAGACTTCTAAAAAGAAGACATACAAAATGACAGAGGTTAAGCTTTATCCAGAACCAGCTACTCTTTCTTCGGCCGCCAATCCTCGTGCCACTCGGGGCATGGATAAGCATACCGGCTGAGCGACATCATGGGGAAATAATGAGCGTAGAACCCACAGCCCATGTAGAAATACTTTAGTGCTGGTATATGGCTTCTCGTCGAATAATACCTTTTTGATCCATGGTAAATCCGTGGTATGACTCTTAGCCTTGCGAATCCCGAGTCCAGGGCTCTAGGCTCAGAATTGCCCCTTTTGGTAATGAACGTCACTACTGCGCGTACAAATCGACTGAGCCAAGGTCCACTTACACGGTGCAGAAAGTTGCTACGCAGAGTTGGTTCGGATGGTCTCTTTCAAAGTCTATTCGTTACGTTATTAAGCGGAGCTTTCCATGAGATCTCATGGGAATATTTGTCCGAATAGCCCTTATACTGACCTCGTCAGACTCCAGAGAAATGGACCCCCTTTCAGGGTCATAATTGTCGGGGGATCAATTGCCGGCCTTACTCTCGCACACTGCTTGCACAAGGCAGATATCTCCCGCATTGTCCTCGAAAAGCGACCTGCAATTGCTCCCCAGGAGGGAGCATCTGTTGCAGTCCTGCCAAACGGGGCGCGAATCCTGGAACAACTGGGGTCCTACGACGCGGTCGAGAAGCTGGTCAAGCCAAAGCACGTCTTGAATGTGTATTTCCCAGATGGATTCCAACTCAGCGATCCGTATCCCAAGACCATGATTGAGACCGTAGGTTGCCAACCTCGCCTTGCCTTGTGTCATCCTGTCTGATCGGCCCTGGTTTCGACAGCTTCGGGTGCCCAATGGCGTGTCTGGACCGCCAACAATTACTCCAAGTTCTGTATCAGTCCTTTCCCAAGAGATCGGACATCTATGTGGGCAAAAATGCCATACGGGTTGACCAACAAGATAGCCGCGTGCTGGTGCACACTGCAGATGGAAGCACCTACGAGGGTGACCTGGTCGTCGGTGCTGGCGGGGTCCACAGCCGTGTTCGGACTCAGATGTGGCGGGCAGTGACAGTGCGACGGCCTGGTCTGTTCAGTGATAGCGAGATAAAAGGTGAAGGATACTTGAACTACGTAAATTGTCCGAATGGGCGGCTGATGACTGTGATAATGGCTGATAGGGATGAGTATCGAGTATGCCTGTATTTTCGGCGCCTCGGCTACGGTCTCAGGATTGAACGAGCGACACATGCATTCCAGGGTTGAAACAGGACAGCATTCATCTTCATGCCGGGAGTCAATGGGCGAGTCTCCTGGTTCATCCTTGTCAAATTGGATAAAAAAATCAACACGGTAGCGCGCGCGGTTCTCTGTCAAAGACGCCGCAGCCTGGGGCGAGCGATTGACGGACAAATACATATGGAAGGACATTAAATTCAAGCAGGTGTGGCAGAACCGGGTGACTTTCTCCATGACGGCACTGGAAGAAAATATATTTCAAAACTGGAGTTGCGGCCGCATTGTCTGTATTGGTGATAGCATGCACAAGGTTCGTTGGAATCGTTGCTGATGGAAGTGGATGACTACCCCGGGTCTGACAATTGCTACTTTTTAGATGACGCCGAATCTCGGACAAGGGGCCAACTGTGCTATTGAAGATGCGGCCGCTTTGACCAACAGCATACATGATGCCCTGAGGAGTAAACATCCAGGACACAAGCTTTGTGATGACAAGATTGAGGGAGACCTCTCCGATTTCAGCAACATTCAGGTTAAACGAATATCCAAAATCTACAACGCGTCGTGGATCGCTGTGCGCTTGCAGACTGGAGCAAACCTGGCATACAAGGTAGTGTTGCGTTATTTGGTTCCATATGCTGGAGACAAACCCGCGAAGAGAGTGCTGGGCATTCTGGGGGAAGCTAGAGTGTTGGACTTCATTCCCTTACCCACCCGCTCAGGTCCAGGCTGGACACCGCGCAGGAAAGATGAAAGAGCCTTTCCGATATGGGCTGGAGCTGCGTTTGCAATTTTGTTACTGGTATCAGTGTCGTCAGTCAACCTGAAATCTGTTGGATATTACATATACTGGATGTCGGTTCTCGGCGGCTCCCTCATGGACAAAACCCGATGACAGAGCAACGCTACCTGCCTCGAGGGCACTATTTCTCTTTACTGCTAGTTCTTCGTCACCCTAGTCTAATTCAAGGTCGGGAAATGGTGAGGACGAACTAATGGAGAGCCGTTCCGGAAACCCAGGCCGAAAAGGTTGAGTTACATTGCCGGCAAGCCACGTTATGGTTATATGTAACCTTACTTGTTCCCGCCAACCAGAACGTTCATCTTTGCCAGACGAGTGACCTTGAGATTAATGGATGAGGCTGATTCTGTATGCTGATTCTGTCTACTGCTTCCGGTTGAATTTTCCAGTGTCTCCCATGCCAACCATGTCGCACTCTTACAGCTAACCTTATCATTTACTCTAAGGTGGTGCAGGTTTGGTATAAAGAAATACAGCAGTCATGTTTACAAGTTGAGTGAACTCGTTTGAGGAACAATTTGGTGCAATCAATTCAGTAGTACTAACGGAACAGTGGCAAATATCTCCTCGTAACGACTGATACACTGCTTCGTCTCCCACTCACAGTTCCTTTGGGCACGCAATTTCCATAAGAGGGGTACCTTACTCATGGCGGGGATATCTTGCTTGATTCAGGCCACCTTGACGATGGAGAAGAGTGATGAGGAGAGCATGGAAGGCCTGTAGCACATGCAACAATCTGCATTCAAACCAAGTATCTGTCGTCGTGCATTTTTGCCGACTTGAAGCTTCCTGCCTTCGCCGTCAACATGTGCAGAGCCTCGGCGAAGGGCTCACCGGGACTATGGCTGTTTGATCGATGGTATGATAGTACTTCTTTCCGGTGCCGACTATCTGTATGCTGCATTGAGTGATGCCGATGGCTTTGGTGACTTCAAATGCTTCTCCGCCCTCCTTCAAATTGTTTCCCAATCATACGGCCTGTAACGCGGTAAATGGCTTGCGGTTCTGCCTCGGTAGAAGACAGAAAGGATTAGAGGCAGCGAACGGTGAACAGCAAATGTCAAAGCAATAGAAGCATTCATGACTGTATACATTCTTCCTTACAGCGTAGCGGTTTAAAGTCTTCTATTGCCTACACCCACTAGCAGTATTCCTTCTCTGCTGGCTCTCTGCTGTCACAAGGAAATGTTCAAGTATGGCCATTTACATTTCCTTTTGTGCCATGAATGTTGTTCTCCCTGATTCTATATACAACATTATTGGAATCCTTATTTTTTTTTTGGAAGGAAGTCAACATCGACTGAGAATATATTGCACCTCGGCATCTGTGTGCCAGTAGAGCAATCGCAACGCGGTCAGTCGCAGACTTTGGCGCGTGGTCAAACCATAAACGACAAGAGCTGCGATGTATGAGGAACTTCTAGGGCTCGTCTGTTGACTTGTATGAAGAGGCATCGAGGCATTGAAGGGCTTAATATATGATAATACCACTCACTGTTGCCTACTGCCACCAATTGATGCTGATTGGAACAAGGATGCTGCATGCCAAGGAGAATGGTGAAGAACAACGCTGCGACAAATTCGAGTTAGTTTAGTAATTCGGACAAGGATGTTAGTTAGGAGACCGACTTTCCGTCTGCCTAACAAATTAACTGATCCATCCCTCTTTCTGCATCTATCAACAGTGCTCTCTACCACAACCATGGGCTCCGCGACCCAAATTCCAAACCGCGAAAAAGATGAAGAGATCCCCGACTGGAATCTCACCGAGGTAGACCGCATGCTCCTTCGCCAGACAGACGAGGAATACGAGCCACACTCCTGGGACGAACTGAAATGGATAATCCGTAAGTACGACCACCCTTTCCCGGGACATGACGCTAAATCGCAACGCAGAGGAAAATAGACTTGAACTCTTCAAGCGCCTCCCTTCTCACCTCAGACGCTACATCAACTGGTCAAAGGGCATAAAAGAGCGGTACGGAGGCACCCTCAACTACATCTGTCAGGAGCGTCTCAGCTGGGACGTGCAAGACTCCAAAGTCGTGTCCAGGAATCCCATCCCCTTAGCAAGCCCCTCCGACTATTGCATCCGCTTCAATGACTGGCCGTACGGGGTTGCACCGGGGATCCGACACCTGGTCGTCTGGCTGAAGACCCCGTTCCCCTTGCAGGAAGATGGAAGCCTGGCTTCCGAATCGCGCGCGCGCATCGAGACGTTTGTGTCGGCTACTTTTGCGCAGCGTTTGGCGAGGGAGGACCATGCGGATGCGCCTGAGGACCGGGTGTTGTGGTTCAAGAATTGGGCTGCGTTGCAGAGCGTGTCCGCGTTGGAGCATTTCCATGTTATGGTGAGGGATGCAAGCGAGCAGGCTCTGGGGGAGTGGATTGGGGCAGATAATATGGTGACCATCTGTGATGTGTCAAAGTGAGCGGTCTTCCAGTTCCGTATAATCAGGACTATGCAAAATCTACAGTCTAGGCATATTAGATTGAATTAGGGGAAGAGACCGTGATTCCTAAATTTAACTTTCACTACTGCCTTGTTGATGTTTGCTTCTGCTCAACTATGTGTAATAATGCATTTTCTCTCCAGGTTTGGATAGTCGCTCATAGTGCGTGGTTCAATGCCTTCCCTTTCCCTCCATATGTGTTCACCGTGTATCTTAGACACTAGTTATAATACTGCCTCAAGCGCTGTGAGAACGATTCTTATTCCGAGGGAGTAGCACCCAGATAATGATCAAAAGGACCAATAATGAGAGAATGAAAGGTTGCAGACTTTGCACACCGCGCGCCCCGGATATAGCACCAGCAGCAAAAGTCAGTCTACGCCCAATGGGAATACGCAGGTTAGCGTGATACTCGAGTAGGATTTCATAAGCATCGTCGACAAGGAGGCAAACTTACGTTGCAGCGCCCCCACCTGCCAATGATGACGCGAGCCCAATGCCCGGAGTATGCAGATGCTTTGGAAGCAGTTTGGCCGCCACTAGGGCCGGTGAAGAAGCCAAGCAGCGAGACAGCAACAGCAGAGACGACAAACTTTGGGACTAGCCAAAAGACAAGCTCCAGGGCAATTGAAATAGCAAGGTAGATAGTAACAGCAGTCCGCTCTCCTTCATTCTAGTCAGCATTGAATCGCTAGGGCTGCGTGAAGGGGATACATGCCCAACCAGTCGTTCACGAAGCCCAGAACCAGACGCCCAATAGCGACGCCAGCCCAGAAGCCAGTTGGAACCAGACCTGACCGGAATGGCTCTCCGTTACGGACCTGAACCATGAAATCAACGACCCATCCACCCACGGACAGTTTCAGATTCAGTTATCAGGTCATTCGCTCCAAGAAAAGCCCAACCAAAGCACCTTCAACACCCATGTACACAAACAGCCAGATGGCTATCAGCCAGGTAATGGGACTTTTCATCGCCTCCGTGGTTCTGCTCCCACCGCTGCTATCGGGGCTCCTGCAGTTTTTGGCTCTGTAGCTGACTGCATTTTCTTTCCAGAACGTAGCCACGCTGGCCAGCAGTTCTAGAACGGAGCCCCCAAACAGAGTGTAGTAGAAATAGTTCCAGCGCAGGCCGGACTTGATCATCTGCGTCGCGATGTTGGGCTCAGTGTTGCCCTGCGTCGGCCATCAACACTGCTGTAACGGTCATTGGACATGATCCACGTACCCGACACCATAAGACGCCCCGAGGAGCCCCATCGTTGTATTTGCATTGGTCATATCAGCGATCCATGAATTCCATCCAGCGTCGATGAGGCCATTGCCCAGGCCAGCAATCACATAGACGGCCAACATTGCCGGCCAGGGTGGCTGGTTGGCCATGATCACGAACGGGACGATATGGCATAGGGGACCGATAATCGCAATCCCTCGTTGTCCAAATGTCATATGAATCTTGTTGACGACGAGAGTGGCAATCGTGTATCCGGCAAACGGGGTCACGAAGATCAAAGAGACCACGGTGGTAGACAGCTTATAGTCTTCGCGAAGCTACTCGGCGTTAGTTTCTCGGTGATGAGGACTGGTTTAATTTCTATGCATACATATGGGACGAGTGCCTGGGAGAAATCATTAGTCTGTACCATGGGCCTGTACAAGGAGAGCTTACTCCGTAGAGGCCATCACTCGCTCCTACAACGGCGAAACTGGCGAATGGTAGCTAAAAGGCGCCATTTGTTGATGGGAGGGTCATTCCATTTTTGTTTTGCTTGAACGATCGCATCGTCAACAATCGGACCAAATGTGTGGACTGAGCTCTATGACTCTTGTTATCCTTGTGAAGCAAGCTCAACTGTTGTCGTCGACATATTTGCTGCTGCAGAAGAGAGAAACAGAATTAGACAGAAGGAGACGGAAGGAGGCAAGAAGGATAGTTGATAGATATTAATGCTGTTAGGAGTCAATAAATACTGCCATGAGCATCTTTCCCCACATGATGAGTCAAGTACTTTCTCTTCCTTGTTGGAGGCTGACCCACTGAGACAGAATCATAGCAAATCTGTGGACAGCCAAGTCTCTAGCCTCCAGACTATGGTTGTAGATAGAGAGCTGATTCACTGCCTTCTTTCTGACATCCTAGGACCTAGGTGCAGTAGGCTTATGACAGTAGGCTTATGACGGCCCTAGCCGAAAGGACCAACTGCTGCTTAAGCGTATTAACCAGGATACCAGGATGTAATGACACTATAATTTTAGTATTATATCGCTTTTCTACTCACTTTATTCGCATGCTGACAAAACGTTCTTACATAGTTATATATATACTGACCGTCTGCGTAACTAAACCCTCAAGGACTTCTGCGGATCTCTCCACCAGGTCGTTGCATTCACCTTGTATCAATCCACAGTCCTCTTAACGTCTTATTCGAGGTTGACAGCCGCATCTACCCAAGTTTCTGGAGGGCGAAAGATTCCATGCTGATGACCGGGTGGTCTTAATATCTGCGGCCAGGGTTTCGATTTATCCAGTCCTCGACGTTGCCAGCCTTCGCGCCGTCATCTTGATTCGGCACCACAGCATCGATGACTCCGATACAAAGGTTGTATTTTGTCGCCGCGTGGTCCGAACCTAGATAGTGAGGAGCATCGGACTCACCGCGCTGAGAGATGGTGTTGACGGGATTGCTGCAATCGGAGACATACGGATGGGAAGTCATCATGGTACCACCAACAGCAAGGAGTCCTACTTCCTGTCCGAGGACATTCGCATGTCTGATGCCTCGTTCTTCAATATCTCGGCCAGCGAGGCCGAAGCCACAGACCCTTCGGCAACGACTGCTGCTAGAGACTGTCTACGAGTCCCTGGAGCGGGCCGGTCAGCGGGTAGACGCTCTTCGGAACTCCTCCAGGGGTGTGTCCTGTGGTCTGATAATGTCAGACTGTGTGACTCGCGTGGAAATCAACAATAAAATACGCCCCCGCTATACCATCACCGGGCTGGCACCGACCATCCGTTGTGATCGATACGGCTTGTTCCCCGAGTCCGGTCGCCTTGCATCAGGTCGTGACGTCTCTACGCCAGGGAGAATGTTCAACAGCAGTAGTGGCGGGAACCAACCTTCTGCTGCACCCCAATTGTCTTTGTGTCGGCTTCGAAGCTTCAGATGTTGTCGCCAACTGGCCGCAGACGCATGTGGGACGCAAAAAAGGCTGATAGCTATGCCCGTGGAGAGGGCATTGCGCCTGTTGTCTTGAAACGCCTCAGCGATGCAGTTGCTATGGTGACCCGATTGAATGCGTGATCCGAGCCACATGTGTTAACCAAGACGGCCACACACCGGGCCTCACCATGCCGTCTGGGAAAGCGCAACTGGAGCTGATCCGGTCCGCTTACCAGATGGTTAACCTGGACCCAGCGCTTCGTGCCTAGGATCGATACCAGTACTTCGAGGCCCATGGGACCGGCACTCCCGCCGGCGATCCTCAAGAGGCTTCAGCCATCTATCATGCTTTCTTCGGATACATGCCATCTCAGCGGCATGCGGAGACTGAGAAACTGTTTGTAGGATCGATAGACAGTGATTGGACATACTGAAGGCACAGCTGGCTTAGCAGGTATTGTCAAGGATCCACTGTGCATTTCAGCATGGAATTACCCCACCCAACCCCCTGTTCGACCAGCTCAGCCCACAGCTTGAGCCATTTTCTGCCAGTCTGAAGCTTCCAGTCAAGGCTATGGCATGGCCGGACTCTGAAGCCTGTGGTCCCACGACGCGTGTCTGTCAACTCATTTAGCTTTCGGGGCACTAATGCGCATACGATTCTTGAGAGCTATGAGGAAGGCATAAACGCCGTAGACAAGCCCGTTGAAACTGCCACCCAAATCTCCAATCCCTGTCGTGCTGCCATTTGTCTTCTCTGCATCTTCTGTGCCAGCGCTCGCTGCCATTCTGGAACAGTACATTCAATATCTCGAGGACAATCCCAATGCCGACATGCTGGACATGGCGTAGACGTTACTACAGCGATATTCATTCTTGACGCACCATATCGCCATTTTGGCACCTACAAGATCTCCTAATTACAAGAATCCGCGAAGAGCTGGGCCTCCTCAAGGCCAAAAAGCCGCCGTCCATCGTAGCTCCCAGCTACATACCGATGGGACGAAGCCCATCTTGGGGGTTGTTCACAGGCCAAGGCGCACAGTGGCCGCAGATGGGTTTGCACTTTATTACTCACTGCCCAGAGGCCACGATCTGGTTGGACGAAACGGAGAGATCACTCGCTGAGCTCCCTATCGCGCTGCGACTAAGCTTTTCCCTTCAAGAAGAGCTTGCTTGCAGCTCAGACTCACTCCAGGCTGCATGAGGCCGCGTTGTCACAACCAATATGCACGGCGCTTCAGATCATCCTTGTCAATGTTCTTTCTGCTTTAGGTATCTCCCCTACTGTAGTCGTCGGCCATTCATCTGGTGAAATTGTACGCTACCGGGATTTTGTCATGGGCTGACGCCATCCCAGTCGCCTACCTGCGCGGTCAAGTTGCGAGACTGACAGGTGACGGAGCAATGCTGGCGGCTGGAATCTCTCGAGACGAAGCCATCGTTCTCTGCCAGCAACCAGGGCTTGATGGCAAAATCAGCTTGGCAGCAGTAAACTCATCTTCCAGTGTCACACTCTCCGGTGACCGTGATGCCATATCCCGGGTGGAACAGATACTCCTGGACGAGAAGAAGTTTGTGCGGCTTCTCCGGGTCCACACTGCATACCATTCCCATCACATGGCTTCCTGCGCAGAAGCTTACCTGCGAGCTTCAGACGCAGTAGAGATTCAAATTCGCTCCCACACGTCGTCACGGTGGTATTCTAGCATCTGTTGAAGGACAGGAGATTATGGCGGAGCAGCATGGCTACAGTATGAGCATAGACTACTGGAAGGACAACATGGTCAAGCCTGTCTTGTTCTTCCCCAGCCTTGCAGGCAGCATTACGCTCCAGCAGTGACGATATGGCCCCTGATATGGTCGCCGAGATTGGGGCCTCATCCGGTTCTCAAAGGTGTCGCACAACAGACGATCACGGATCTCTTCCCTTCGGAGGTTCCCTACGTCGGATTACTGAACCGTAGCCAAGGTGGCATCGAATCATTGGCCAAAGCGATCGGCGCCTTGGGACCAGATTCAACCCTAAGTCCTCATCATACACTTGATCAGCAGAATCAAACCATGGATCTAATAGCATCTCTGCATATTAATTAAGATTGCACCTTCGCACCACCGCCAGTGATACCAAGATAGATGACGTATACCGCTACTCGGGAGGAAAAGTCAAAAGAACGGCAACGAAGAGCGAACAGTGACTGTGATGGATTCAAGATGTACAAAGTCATACAATGCCTAATATCCTTAGCTGGAAGGCTACCCTTTACATGCATCGTATGAGTTTAGGCTGGGTAATAGATTATCGCAGTAAAAGGTGAGGTGATATGCTCATTCCACACGGCCTGATATCCGCGTGCCCTCAATAATTCTGCAAAACTTAAACTGAATATGAAGTGCTCATTAGTGCATAGGCTGGAGAAGCGGCACCGGGGAATAGACCTCAGTAAGATCTTATTATGCCATCATATCCATGTAACACCCTGAAGGTGCTATTCTATGACGCAACACCTGTATCAGGTTGCACAACCCTCCGCTTTTTGATATATATATATATATATATGATACAAAATCCTCAGATTTTGCAGTTTGCTTGGGATAAGCATTGAGTTTAGGGTTTCTCTCCAAGCACTGATTAAAGATGAACGTGCACGAGTTATGTGTGTACCTGTGTGGAAGGGGTGGAATTGCCGTTGGCATTTCCATGGTATTAATTCCAATCTCCTCATTCCCGGCTAATTGATGGGTATGAGTTCTGACGCGTGAGCAGGTGGTATGCTATATAATTACCCACGCTGTCTATAATGTGTTCTTTCATCCCTTAACTCGCTTCCCCGGCCCTCTCTTACACAGGGCGTCGCGACTGCCATATCTCTATCGGTTGATCAAAGGGACACTTACCTTAGATGCACTCGAAATGCATCAACGCTACGGAGATATTGTACGAGTCGCCCCTGATGAGCTCTTTTTCGCTCACCCAGGTGCCTGGTCGGACATCCACAAGAAAACTGGGAAGGAGATGGAGAAAGCACCATGGTTCTACCGGCCTTTAGAGCGGTATCCACGATCCCTTATGGATGAAAGCCACGAGCAGCATGGCCGGCTGCGGCGACAAATGGCGTCTGGATTCTCAGAGAAATCTATGCGGGACCAGGAGCCAATCATCCGGGGTTATATAGACCTCCTGCTGCAAAAACTACGGGAGAAGAGCAATGACAGTCAGCCTGTTGTCATCTCAGACTGGTTCAACTACACTACGTTTGATATTATTGGTGACCTGGCCTTTGGGGAACCCTTTGAATGCTTGGGGTCTTCTAAGTATGATGCGTGGATCAAAAGTATTTTTAACACCTGTCGCCCCCTAACACTTGTGCAAGCTCTCGCGTTCTATCCATGGTTGAAACGAATTGCCGTGGACATGGTCCATGAGGGTCTGCGAGAAGTAATCAAGAGACAACGACAGCCTGCAGAGGCCAAAATACGGCGGCGCATGGCTGTCACTGAAAACCGGGTGGATCTGATGGAAGGATTGCTCAAGAAGAAAGACGAATTAGTTAGTAGTTTGGCCCTTTGATCCGGGGACACATTGGCATGGCACTAACAACCGTCCACTGTCGAATTTATAGAATCTGGGCACTGACGAGCTTGTTATGAATGCTCAAGTCCTCATGATCGCAGGTTCAGAGACGACTGCATCCCTTCTCAGCGGAGTTACCTATTTACTGCTCCAGAATTCAGCGGCCTATCAGCAGTTAGTTGATGAGGTGCGCTCAACTTTCAGCAGCGAGAAAGAAATCAACTTTATCAGTGTCAACCGGCTCTCATACATGCTGGCTTGCCTGAATGAAGCTTTGCGCATGTATCCACCAGTGGCGAACGGTATGCCGCGTGTCGTTCCTAAGGGAGGAGCCCAGATATTGGGGCAGTATATTCCAGAACAGGTCAGAAGACACTGATATATTAATAAATAATGAGCAACATCATTAACTATATCTACAGACATATGTGGCTATCCCCCAGTGGGCGCTCTACCGCCGCGAGGAATACTTTGCTGAGCCTAATGCTTTCCACCCTGAGCGCTTTCTTGGTGATTCTAGGTTTGCGAATGATCGACGAGATGCGCTGCAACCATTCAGTGTTGGCCCACGCAACTGCCTTGGACGGAAGTAAGTCAACTTTAGATGTTATAACTATCAGGAAGCTTACTGACTCCATATTTAGCCTTGCATACGCCGAAATGCGTTTAATCCTCGCCCTTATCATTTTTAACTTTGACATGAAGATTGATCCTGACAGTTGTGACTGGATCCAGCAGAAAAATTTTACCCTCTGGCAGAAGCCTCCACTTAAAGTCTACCTGACGCCAGTTGCAAGGAAGTCAGAGCCGTGATTAGGTATAATCAGTCTATATTTGACCATTTTCAGTAGCAATCTACATTTTTAATATCGGACTTTTTCCAGGGACGGCTTCTAGAGCATTGTCCTCATCTAACACAGCCAGTCTTTCTGGTGATGTAGATTAGCATGGTCATCTCCGCAATTTTGAGGGTATTACTGTACCTGTACTGCTCCCTAATCCAACCCTCACGGAACTCAGAGTGGTTGTTGCGGGTTCAGTGCCTACCTAGCCTAAGGAACTTTGTAGGATTCGGTTAAAACCATCAGTTATTAGTAACCACTAAATTTAAGGATTTCTTTAGAAAATTTGATATCACTAGATAGCCTTGTATCTAGGCTTATAACTTCATTATCTTGAGGAACTGATTGGCTGGAACAGAATGTGAATGCGGCAGAATACTACTGGCCATCCACAGTCTCAAATTCTGCACAGGACGGACCAAATCAAGTACTTGGGCAGCATTGTGGTCGTCATCGACACATTGCAACCGAGGTAATCAATGATATAACACTGAAGAAATCCACGCCTTCGCAATATGTTAGCCATGCCGTCTCACTAAAAATGTGTCTAGATGGAGATGCTGTGGCCAGCCATCTGGTAATACCACGGTTAACCCCAAAATAGATGACTCGTGCTGGATAAGGCCTAACCAATTCACGCACAGGGCATGGCCGAAAGCAGGAGATTAGAGACACGCAATAAGCTAGTAATCATATCTACGCCCTGAGTCCCTTCCAGCCGATGATTTCATTTCTTTTGTTACGGCCCAACAAAGTCAAACGAGCTTTATTAAATAAGAGTACGACCTCATATATAGTCTACTCAAGACTTCAACCACCCAGACCCGTGCATTTCTAGTCTGAAGAAGCCCTACAGTGACAGTTCCCCTTGACACTATCGTTGCTAGGAATGGCCCAGGTCGAGGGGCTGCAGGTGACTCAGGGGTATCTCGAGAATCCTACTGCACTCACTGTAACGGGCCCCGGCATGGGTCTATGCTGGCTTGCTAGTTACGCTGGAATGATCCGCAAGTCGTTTCAGGACCGTTCCTACTGCATGCCATTGATGCCACTTGGCTGCAATCTCACCTCTGATTTCATCTTCTCTGTGATTTACCCCCGACGGAGGACCCCATTCTGCAGTATGTCATTGCAAGCTGGCTGGCTGGCAGTGTCATGATGGTTTTCACAACTACAAAGCTCATGCCTAATGAGTGGAAACATGCGCCGGTAACCAGCGGAATATTCTCTGGATATTCGCTATTACTATTCTTGGTTGGGTGACGGTATATTTTGCGTTAGCCGCCCAATTTGGACCAGATGATGCATTCGCATGGAGTGCTTGTTTCTCCCAATTACTTCTTGGTGCTGGTTCCCTGTGCCAAGTGATTGTCCGAGGAAGCAGCCGGGCGGCATCCTTTTTCATTTGGTATGTCAAGGGAACGCAAGTGATCTCTCAGCTAGGTCCTTAACTACTTAATCCCTTTACTGGTTGACATGATCAATCGCTTTGGGGGCGCTAGTCTTGCCGCACTATATTTTACTTTGCGGTTTCGCCATGGGCATGTTATATGGCACAGTCCGTTAGCGTGGTGGGGTGCAGTGGTCGCCTTTCTGACGGACAGTTCCTATGGAATCCTTCTCTGGCATATCCAACGGTCTGAGGGGAATGGTCAGCGGCGGAGAAAGGCTGGATCAGAGATAGGACCAAAATGAAAGGCAAAAAAGCTGGACAGCTGGTGAGCTTTAAGGGTGTTCCTCTGGTACCCGGACCATCTGGCAATCCTGTGTGGAGCCTTCAGCATCTACTGTTGTCCTTCACAAATCTACCTGGGAAGTAAAAAGAGTGAGAAGGAAACCATAAAGTCTGGCTGAAAGTGTTGGAGTGGCCCATTGCATATTCGGAGCGGAAACTCATGTACAACCGTGATAAATAGGTGGCGTCGCATCCGCTTCAGCTTAGACTTTCAACTGGATTGCGACGGCAAGCCTGAAAATTGTGCACAGCCACTCTTCATGGGTTTTGCAGTCAAAAGCACAATACAGCTTCTAGGTAACATTCATGTTTATAGGGTAGAAGGTTAGGAGCTCTGACGCGCCGGAGTTGAACGCTCGGGACAAATCCTGTCGGCAGGCTGTCTACCAGTCTGTTTGTCCAGCTGGAAGGTGCATCCGTCAAGCTCGTCCCGGCTGATTCCAGCGGCCAGTACGAGCTCCAGATGAACTATATGACCATGCAAAATGGCCCAAAGACGCTCGCTTCTTCCCAAGAGTATATCCGCCTGCATATCCGATGTTCCAGGGTACTGTTACAATGTCCACGCATTTGATAGAACCAGGAAATTTTACCTCGCTGCCGGTGGTCAATATATCAAGGAATTCTCTGCTACGCTGCCCGAAGTAAAACCAGGCCTCGTCGTTGACTGGGCTGGGTCCGATGACTCTAACCAACTGTCTGTCCCGGTCGATCCACTTTTAGTCTGGTGCTGGATGAGCTCTATCATAATGGCCAAAAAAAAAAAAAAAAAAAAAAAAAAAAGTTAATAATGTAAAAATGTACATTAAACACGTAAATGTCAAAATGAAAATGACAAGGGTGGGATTCGAACCCACGCCCCTTTCGAGACACGGAAACTGATTAACAGTTTATAGGTCCAGTTCCTGAACCGTGCTCCTTAGACCACTCGGACACCTTGCCTTTCCTATGATAGTCTGGGATTATAACGCATAATTGGAGGCCCATGATGGCAGGCTCATTTATACAGTGGAATTTACCATTTGAGGATCAATAGAACAGTGATTTAGAGCATTATTTACACTTGCCGTCGAAATCAAAAAACCAAGTCTCCCCCACGTTCATACTGCCTCAGTGCTCGCACATACCTGCCAATTGCCATCATGGGGAAACAATGCGAGCTATAGGACGAGCTGATATATGTGCAGGCCGGAGAACAAGCTCTCATTGAGTGATCCTCCGTCCATGTTGCCCCTCCAGCAAATGTCTTGGCCTGCGTTTGTATCAAATACTCCACGCCATTTCGGAGTTCGCTGTCCATGGGTGACAGGTAAGGCAGTAATGCCAGGAGTACCAAAGCTGTCTGTGACGCTGTAGACTCCCCACCGTTCTCTCTCCAGCAAACGTCACCCCAGCCTCCATCTTGATTGCGGAGGCTCTCAAGCCAGTGGATAGCTTGGGACACATCGTCGTTGATACTGTCATCTCTCTCGGTCCATCTGTTGCGCTCTTTGACCCCGATGAAATAAGCCAATGCGCGGAGGACAGCGCTTGTCGCGTCAATGTGATGCCTGGTGCAGCACCCAAACCAGGCACCGCAGGGTTGTTGGGTGACAGACAGGTAGTGTATTGCCCTTCGAGAAGCTGATGCGACATGATCGATCAATGTCCCTTGCGCCACCAGTTTCCTATTCCGTCGACTCACAGTCAGAAGCAAGCCGAAGGTTTCGAGGACATGACCTGTCACGTCTGGCGTTGACTGACGAACAAGTGTCTCACTGCACCCTAGCGATGCCCATCCACCATCTGAATTCTGTCGCTTTAGTAGCCATTCGAGAGCGGTGGTGACAAGGTGTGAGCGGAGCATGAGAGGATCCTGTCGAATTATCGCGTGAATCGCGGATGACACATCATCCACACGGCAGACACGAGTATCAAAAGCCTTGCATGCGTCGGTATTGCCATCTGAAAGCAAACAACCCTGCAGCCATTGCACAGACTTGCTGAACCACGGAGCATCGACTGCGACGCCAGCGTCTTCAAGACCCGTAATCATCAGACTGCTGTCGCGGAGGGTTGTATTCACACTCAAGATCCGCTTTCCATCCTCATCCTCATACACAAACTGTCCGATATTGTCCAAACCCGTGCGCAGAGGACGAGATTGGACCGAGTAACCCTCCAGCTTCAATGCAAGTATCGCCATGTGCAGCGGCCGCGACAGATGCCCGACACCTCCCATTTCCCGCACTGTCTCCAGGACGAACTGAACACTCCTGTCAAGCGCATAGCGTCGGAGGGGAAGGACGTATCTTAGCAAGTTCAGGAAATGTGCAATCAAGTCTGTGGAGGTTGAGGCCAGTGCAGTGTCCCGGCATGTGCGAGGTGGAAAAGCGCAAAAGGCTTTCTCTTGTGGTTCTTCTGGTTTGCACCGCAATTCATTCAAGTATGTGCTGGCCGCGCAGTCCTGAATGGGTAATGGGAAGATTGGACGATGATGGCAGAGGATGAGGAGAGGGATCAGCGCTGTATGGTCCATAGCTGGCCAGCAGCATATACTGCTTAGGAAATGTTGAGGCAGCAATATCAACTCCGGAGGCGGACTTCGGACAGCATTCCAGGGATACAAGCCAAACATTGCTAGATGAATGCGGGTAATAAAGCAGACCTTCGCTATGCTTCCTTCCGCAAGGATAAATGATTGAGATCTGCGCATTTGATGGACATTCCGTGAGACACCTAAGATTCTCAAGGCAAGATAGGCCTCAACCGTAACCGAAAGATCGCCACGGTCCTCTGGGTTAATGCCCCATGAACCATCTGAGTTCTGGACAGAATAGAACCATGAGATGAACGCATCTCGATCTTTATCCAAGTTGCTGCCAAGAGCCTGGTGCATGAGGATATACTCTGCGGTTGTTGCAATGCTATCGATCCTGGTTTGTCCGCGCCAGTTACCGCCCGGTCTCCTCTGGAGTTTGCTATATTGGGTGGCCAATCGAAGCACCTGATTCGTCTCTGACAGCAGGCAATATTGCTCTGGAGGACAGCCAGCCAGAGCAGTGAGTTGCGACCCCAACTCCACTGCACGAGACATTGTTATGCGGATATGTGGTTATCAGACCGGCGAGCAGCACCCAGCAAGCAAATGTATATCTAGATCCTCATGCCAATACTAGACTTAAACTTTCGCAGGCGTGCCTGCCGCCTCTCTGATAACTGCATACTGGACACCAGAGGCCTGACTACGCTTACACTTTGGTCTTCTCTGAGACATTGTGCTTCTAGCCTGGGTTTACAGTTGTATGATCCGTATATCAGCCCAGTAGACTTCAGTCCCCTTCGGTTGCGGTCTCCTCCCTCCAAAAGAGCTCTGACGTCTATAGGCTGGGATCCAAGATTAGCCGCTGGTTGCGGATATGACGGATATGACAGGCGTTTTGGATGGTGGCTGAACCGGCTTTGGGCTGGAGCAAGGGGTTTATCCTGGAATTTACCAAGGCAAAATGTTCCCCTTCCGTGGAATGGGACTGTCATGGACGCCGCTCCATTAACTTACTTTGTTGTAGGTTAACTTCTTCCTTGTAAATAAAGTTTTTAACGGCTCCTGCTGTACGGTTTTGGGTGGGCCCATGAGGTTGATTATGCTTGATTCATCGATGTCACCTCACATCACCCAGATGGCGAAAGTCCTAGTAGTACTAGATCGATGGAGATCTCGTTTCCTGAAGGGCCCATGTAGGATTGTTTCCTTGACAGGCAATCGGCTACGCAAGCTGAATCAGTCTCTGGCCGATTGACGTTCTAGAGATGCAGCTTACCAAGGACGCAACTGGCAACTGATATGAGACTCCATCATGCCGTTCAGTTCTACCAGTACCTTGGTCTAGATCCTTAGCCGGACCATGCAAGGGGCTTCGTGTGACATACCATCCGACGTTAGAATTCCTCTATTCGTCCTGTGCTCATGTATGAGAGTACTGTCGTGATGAGGCGTTTTGGCCAACACAATCAGCAACAGAAAGAATCGTTTCCCAATGAACCGTCACCGCTCAAGGTGTTCCAGGTGGGTTCTTCCGAACCCCCATACAAGAACTGGGGAGTGTGCTGTAAGAGGATAGACACTCGCATTAGTGATACTGTGGCACGAAATACCAGACTGTACCACGGATCATTGACGGGCATTGCAATAAACTCAGCTTGACAGTCCATGACATCTTCCTATCCACACTCAAGACAATACGCCGCAGCGCGGGATCGCTTTACCCTTTCCTTGCCTTGCATGCCTGCGCTATGAGCCATTTCTCACTCCATAGAACAGGGCCTTTCTCAGAACGCCATCTCTGTAATCTATGACCTCACAGTGATTACCTGCTGAGGTGGTCCTTTCCTTTCTGGAGTACGCTTTGACCTCGAGGAAATGTTCTCTGACCGTGTGCGTCTTGCGTCTACCGTCAATGTAACCTTTCCGTGGCTTCCGAATCTGTTCAAGGCTTAATCTGACGAGATAGGGCTGAAGACGTCAAGAATGACAGGTCCCGAAATAAAGGGTCCATGACTGAGCGACTGCAAATGACAACAGAGCAAGGCCAGACTGGTTCTATCCCACTCCCCAATAAATTGACAGAAATAACGCAGGACATTCCCTTCGCGCACTTGGCAAGCCCCTTGTGTTGCAGTCGTTCTGCAGAAACGGACACTCCATGATTTCTCCAAAATTGTCGGTCATGGAAGCTGTACTGGGCCTACTGGCTGTCCTCTATCTTCTACCACGCACCCTTGCAGTCTACATTGTCAGTTCATATACAGTCTGCATCGTATGCGAGCGCTTAGGCTTTATACCGGTCTCTTTGCTACAGTACGAGGCAGGTGATTAGGTGAGAATCCCGTCGAGTGGGTTGAAAGTGAAGACTATGCTCACTCCTAGCTAGCTCCATTCGACGATGCTATCAAACAACGTTCTACCCTTGTTGCGGGACGATGAACTGGATGTGAATTTGAATGTGGATGAGTTTTATGAATTACGCAGCTTATTTGGCTTTTGCACTGTGTCTAACATACCGAGAATGTAATACTATATCACAGGCGCCGAATGGCGCCTGTGATCGATATGCGTTATGACCTTGATAAAGAGTAGGTGAGACTGTATAGGCAGTAAGCTAATTACAGTCTTGTCGACTTGCACAGAATCTCTGAATGCGACGGCACATCGATATGTTCCACGGCTAAATGACCACATAAGTATTGTCGCCCTCAACCCCAGCTCAAGCAAGACACGGGGGCAACTCAGAAAGCCACCACAGTCGAGCCTTATAACACTGAAGCTGGCTCTTAGTTGACCTCCTTCCGACGGACTCGGATAGTAGCACTCGACGGTACAAGTATATTTCCACCGCAAATTATATTCTCGGGTCTTTGTCGAGATGTTCGACATCATAGTTTAAAACGAACACAGGCGAGGATCATTTTGAGCAGATGAAGACCAAAGTGGTCGACCCGGGCTGATGAGTATGGTAGGACAGTGAGAAACTCATTCAAATCATTTTCCAAAGGGAGAGAAAAGGTCACGGCGCATGACGTCCGGAGCCGAAAGGCAGAGATAACGAATTAGGTGTTACCCTAGTGATCTTCTGCGGGGGCATACCCATGTCTTGGGTATATCTTTCCCTGCTTGGACTCATGCCATCCCCCATAGGCTGCTCCTTGAGAAATCGGAATGACTGGTATGACTGTCCTTTATGGTAGAACTTCTCGTCCCTATGGACATCCAAGTTGGACGCGGCAATCCACATACCCGGGGCAGGTGTTGGCCCTAGGGCAGGGTGATTCCAGATGGATGCATACAGAAACACCGGAGCCAGACATAATGTCCCCCGGACAGCACTATCTACGTAATGGAGCTTCTTGAAAGACATTGGGACTCCCCATTCTTTCTCTGGACTGAGGATTGTTGCAGCTTCTTGCCGAAGTCATCGATGCAATCCTATTTCTGGCGGTGAGCTTGCAATATCCAAGATCGCAGCGGAGGAGGTAGGGACAGCTAAAGAGAGGCGATGGGGCTTACGAAGAAATTGGTAGACTTGGACAGCTTTTCCTTATCGAGCTTTTCAGACCCATAAACCCTGTGAGATTCTCAAATCAACGAAGTCGCCGCGTGTCGCCGCGTTGCAAGGTACCCTGAAATCATTTTCAGAAGTCTGCCCTCTTTCCTCCTACTCAATTTGGTCCAGCCACTCCTTGACGAGGGGTGTGGTGGCAGACCACACTCTCCTTTGAGCAAAGTGCAAGGGGACTCCGAGAAAAGTGCCAAGCAGCGGCCATAAGGACTAAGAACCAGGGAGTTAATTGACCACATGCTAACATGGCAGCCCCTTGGAGATTAGTCAATTTGGCAAGAGAACCTAAGTAGCCCGCATCGTGGCTCAGCGGAAAGCCCCATGAGATCCGGCTATTGATCCCGGGCATAACTCTTTGCATCGCTTCAACAAGCCGGACTCTTTGCCATTATGACAATCCTTGCCGAACTCCTGGTCGATATTTCGACGGGGTTCTTCAGCGAGCTCAGAGTGGATGCGGTTGATATTCCGAGTGAGAAACTGGCTGACTCACGAATGGCAATCTTCTCGTCCAGTGCAGAAGCACTAATGCGAAAGAGATTCTTTAAAGTGAAAACTACAGTCCAGGACTTCAAACACAGATAACACATTTTTGTCAGGTTGCCGAAGCATTCATTCAAAATCCTTCGCTGGCAAGATGCCTTGAGGGCATAGGTTGGTATGGATAAATAGCCCATCATTTCGGTTAAACTATTCTCATTGGCATTATTAGATAAAAGTACCATTCAATCGAGTCACAGCATGGTAAAGGAATGTCTTTACCTTGTCATATCTTTCTGAGAGACAGACTCTAAGCCCACCGGAAATCTTCTCCCTTCCGCCAACGCGGGGAATCCCCCTGGGAATGAAGGGGGAACCTTCCATTGCCCAACAACGACAGCGACAAAGATGGAGAAATAAGCGCAGAGAATGAGAGCGATAGATAAATTTGGAGAGATAAAAACTACCGGCAGCTGGATCATCCTGTGGAATTGCTGCTCTACGGATACTGGACACAGAAATGTTTAGGATGAATATCTTAAGGTCTGGTGGCCGGATCTGGAAGACAACCAGCGAACATATATGGGGAAGCATTACGCCATGAAATTATGATTAATCATAGTCAAGGCTAAGCCATAAGAAGAGATTGTGACCTATCATGGTTATGACAACCACGAAAATAACCTTAAACGCGGTCCATGGGTCAGCGTATGCACGGGGCTAGAGTCCAGACAGGGTTACATTCCGGATATTCCAGGCCGGATAGGCTCAATTACAGTGGGGAAATGATAAAGTCAATCTCTGATTGCAGAGCAGTCTCAGTACAATTCGAAAATTCTGCAGTTATAGACCACCCAGATTGTAAGAATCGTTGGTGTCGATGGCCACTCCGCCATGTCTTTGATGTCTTGCAGACGAGACCCGTTAAGCCAGCATATCAGTCGTGTTCATAGACACGTATCCTTGTACGCTTGGCATGATTCCCAGAGGAATGCTGTCAAATCCAGGTTTATCAGGCCTGTTACGTGAGCTATAAGTGCAGCAATTTTAGCCATGAGACATAGCCAGGAAAATAACTCTGCACAAGATTTGCCTCTCATAATAATATAGTTACACGTCTGCCGCGTTTGCAATAATCCCTTCAAAATCAGCAGCATAATCGCGCCATATGGTGCAACGCAGGGCGAGGTGCACAGCGGAATCTGTCTTATTTCTTCATACTCGGGCTTGGAAAACGATAGGAGCACAAGGTCTTAACCTCATGGTGTCTGTTCCGCAGCGAGAAGGCAGGTCCTGGAGTCTGATACAAGTTGCCGATTGGGCATTATATGTCGCGGCAATCAAGACATATTGGACGCAGTTGTGGAGTCCACTGCTGGACGCGGGAGAAGATCCTTCGATTCCGGATCCGGATGGGAATACGGCCCTGCCTCATCTGGCTGTTGGCGTGCAGAAATCGAACAAAAAAAAAAGAAAAGAAAAAAAGAAAGAAAGGAGCTATGGCCAAATATCCAGCGTTTCCTTAATCTGCGGTTGGACAACAAGGCCCCCAACAATGATGGAGAGTCCCCTTGGCCAAGTTTGTTGGAGCTGGCTCTTGCGAGACGTCGCTGGCTAGGTCTCCAGCGCTTTCTAGAGTTAGGGGCAAACGTCTTTCAGCTAAATAACGAGGGTGAGAACCTGTTGCATCTTATCGCGAGGCTGGGCTGCACCCACAAGGCCGGCTTTGCTGGATCCTCGGGCAAGGACCGATATATCAAGCCATTCAAGTATTTGATGGAGCTCGGCTTGCATCCGTTTCAGGAGGATCACAAGCAACAGTCTGTTGTGGTGGGGTCTCTTCTGTCTGGGGTCATGGGTTAATGCTAACAGGTAGGTATGGGACGTCGCGGCCGCAAAGGGTAAAGTTCCTGCAATGAATCAAGATAGGACATGATATTATAGAACAGCATTACCTATACTTCTGCCCTCGGTTGATATCACTCTCTTTAACAGAGAAGTTGAAATCGGCTGTTACTTCAGTCGATATGTACGATGTGGTCCTCTTGAGCTTCAAAGGAATATGATATCTCAATGTCATTTTTCCCGTCCAGTGGTCATATCATCTCCCCAAGTCACCGCGCAATAGTTACAGGTTACTATTCTTCATGCCAAATGGCAGACTCTAAATGAAACTTTGTATTCAGATGATCTACTTGAAACCCACTAAGGGAGCGTCCTCTCACCACCATTCCGTCTTCTCAGCCGCTATTTCATGTATCTTAGTGTAGATGATCTTCAGTCCGTTGCGTGTAGTGGCTACTATCCCAAGCTGGTCCAGATCACCACTGTCCTTGAGTCAGTGCTTCATCTTGTTTCACCTTAATCCACATAAGGTATTGCGTACGTACTCTACAGTATACATGATACAGCCCTACCGGTTCTAGCAGGGGCCTGTAAGCAATAGTAATTATCGAATTACCGCGGATGAAAGTACCTTAGGATCCCAACTGCTTCAATTTCCAATCCAACAATCAGGGGACAACGTCGCTGCATGTCCCTGAATTGGCCGCCAGGGATCCACCAATACACAAGATCCTCCGGCATAGGCTTAGCAGCTCAGTGCCCTTATCTCAAACTGGTTCGACCTAAGCACAGACCAGGATGACGCGTACCATTCACTAGTCACTATACTGCTAGAGTCGAAACTCGCTCACCAATGGCCCGAGTCCAACGTGAATCACTGGCGCCCAGCTCGAGTGAGTGACGCTGCCAAATACGTTTTGGCTTTGCTCGGCGTCGGTTATCAATCAGAAGCCGGTGGCGTGTCTGTTGTTTCAATGCGCTCCAGCCGCCCCTCCACTGGACTCGTCAGTCGTCACTTGCTAGCTTGTAGTGGGCACTGGCGCTGCAGGACGATCCCTGGGACTAGACGCATATTCATTGTGGCCTGCCTTTGTAGGGCAGATTCTGCAGGTCGAAGCAAGAGTTCATCCTTCTTCTCTTTGTTTCGAGTGTTGACGATGTGTTTAGTCTCCACTTGACGATCCCCCTAGAGCTGACGCGTACGAGCTGTAGTGGCTGCAATCCTGAAGCTGGAGGAAGGATGGAACGCAGAAGGGTCATCTAGTGACCTGACTCAGTATGGACAAATAGCCCAATTCGGAAATCCCCAGTCAACACAGGCAGACTACTCTGTAGCAGGATGCCTATTTAAATGCCATCAAATCCGCTCTCAGAATGCCTTTTCTTTCCCATAGTCCCGGTGACTCCAGAATCTAGCACACAGCTTGCCGTTCTTTTCAAAATTCACACTCTTTGACTTCAAGGCCAGGTTGCCATCTTCAATTCTTGAACTTCAAATCAGATCTTCTACTTCACATAATCCGTTCATTCCGTCCACTTCACAATGAAGCCTCAGACTGCTGCTTTCCTTCTCAGCCTTCTCGGTTCGACCCTGGCTGCCCCAATTCAGCACGCCGACAAAGGGTCCGGTGTAAAGCCCACTCCTACTGGACAGGGCGCTCCTGGCGGATTCCTCACTGGCTTCCCCTCCGGTATCCCCTCTGGCATGCCATCCGGTTTCCCTGGTGGTCCCATGGTCTCTGGAGGATTCGGTGGCGAAGGCCAGAACGGTCCCAGGCCATCCGGCCCGGTTCCCACTGGCGCTGCTCCCTCTGGCTTCCCTTCATTCGGCACCGGTCCCGCTCCCTCTGGCGCTCCACAGGGTCAGGGCGACAGCAACTCCTTCGGCGGCCAAGGTGTTCAAGCCCGCTCTCCTCAGGACTTTGAGGGCTCAGGCGCCGCTCCTTCTGGTGCTATTCCCTCTGGTGCCATGCCCACCGGCGCTGCTCCCTCGGGCGCTCCCGGTGGCTTTGGTGGTTTCGGCCAGGGTGGCCAGGGCGGCCCAGGCGAGGAAGGCTCTGGTCCTTCTCCTACCGGCGCTGTTCCTTCTGGCGCCATTCCCTCTGGAGCCGCTCCCTCCGGCGCTGCCGGAGGCTTTGGCGGTTTCGGACAGGGATCTCAGTACTTTGGGAACGCTCAGTTCCAGTCCTCTGGCACCTCGCCTTTTGGTGCTTCCCATTCCGGATCGGCCAGCGGTCGTCATGGTGGCCACCGTGGTCAACACGGCAAGGGCTCTGGCGCGTCTGCTTCCGGTGCATTTCCTTCCGGTGCTGCTCCTTCTGGTGCCGCTCCCTCTGGCGCTGCGGGAGGTTTCGGTGGCTTCGGACAGGGCGGCGAGGGCTCTGGCCCGTCTCCTACTGGCGCTGTTCCTTCGGGTGCTGTCCCCTCCGGCGCTGCCGGATTCGGCGGTCAGGGTCAGGGCCAGGGCCCATCCCCCACCGGTGCCGCCCCATCTGGCGTGCCCCTGCCCAGCCTACTGCTTGAAGCGTCGACAATCTTCTGAGGAGATGACGGGCTGCTACATTGGAGTCTTTGGTCAAGCAGCAGACTTTTGATCACAGGGTGTATGTAATATGCTCTGGGAAGACTGGTACATGTTTGAGAGATCGTGAAAATGTGGAACAGATTTGATGTATTATACAAGAATTCAGAAACTTATCTTCCATCATAATCTGCTTTTAACTCAAGGTGGTTCATCGCCCAGACGGAGTCACTGGGATAGAGATACACAATCCGGATTGGCCAAGCTTTGTGCTTGCACTTCTTGCAGCTGCCACCATTGCCAATACCCTCACGATCGAAGAAGGATACCTAATAGATCATGGTCGTCACTTACATCCTGTCGGTCATACACGCAATCGAACTGGTGGCATTGTACCCGTGGCCTTAGTCCCGTCTAGCATCAAGAGTTGACTGGCGTGAGTTGCATGGTCCGGTCGTCCACCAGGTAAGGACCTGGGACTCTCAAAGGATGTCAGTTACTCTGCCTCACAAACCGACGTTGCCTGTTACACCGGCTCTAATGACATGAGCTAGTAGTATTTCACCGCAGAAGGATACCCTCCAGACTAGGCAACAGAGTTGGGATTGATTCATCGTGCTTGGTTGCTTTTTGCTGCTCGAATTCAACTCGCAATTGTCGGGTATTTCTCTACATCTTCCAAGTAAGACATGACGCGCTCCACCAGTATCCACCTCGGCTCGGCCTGATCCTCATCGCTCAGCGCATGCGAGGCGTTCGGGATGATCATACTGTTGCTGTCCCAGCAGTCGCCAGTCGCCATGGACCATCGCTTCAATAAAAGCTCTTTGTCAACCCGCGGTGGCACTGACTGATCTCTTCCGGAATACAAGACCAGGAGTTTCGAACCCAGCAGGCCGCGCGACCGCAGCTGGCCAAAGGTCTTCTGCATCTGGTCATCGCCGAGGTCGGAGCTGAACATATCGTCTTCTTCTGGTTTCTCCGGGCTGTCTGGGCTGGCCAGGCTCAGGAACCGTCGACTGCTCACCGGCGTTGAGCTCGGATACCCGATGCGAGTTGTTACCGACAGAGGAAGGATGGTATCGAGGGTGTTGTCATCTTCATAAGGGGTAGATCTGGCACGCGCAATAGTTTTCTGGTATATCTCACGCATTCTTCCCGGGCCGTCCCTGTCCGTTCCGTCTCGGATGACCCAATTAATCGCTTCTCGGTCCGAGACAGGCGCTTGCATGATGGCTCCGTCAACAGGCGGCCGCACGAGAGGTTCTACTGCCACATCCTTGTCCAGAACAGGATGTCGCGGTCGCGGATTCGCACAACTCAAATAATGCATGACATCTTGACTGCCCGTCGAATGACCCATGATCACAATCTTCCCTGCGCCGAATAACCCCTGCTTGTAATGCCGAACATACTGCACGCAGCGTGCAATCTCATCGATGTCCTTGCCCAGGTGACTGACTCCCCATCCGCTATAGGAAGAAGACAGAATAGGCGAGAAGACGGACCAGGATGTATACTCCAGCGCTGTAATAAGGTCGGCCAGGTATTCGACAGTGCCCAGTCCGTCTCCCAGGCCGCCGATGAACACGAGAGTGTTGGGTTCTCTAACGATGCCGTTGGTATACTCGAAAGCGACCAATCCTTCACACTGTTCGATTGATGAGTTGTTAGCGCAAAGACGAAAAGCTTCTTCGATGGAGCCAGTGCGTCTTACATACATAGGGATGCAGAATACCAGCATGGCCCTTGGTTCGTGGTTGCCGCAAGGGAAGCTGCATTTTGCGGTCGCAAATCAGCAGAACTGGCGGAAACGTACAGATTTTATTTGCTGTATGCTTTGCTGAACCAGGAGAGATGATACAGTGAGTGATGAAGAAAACAGGAGTCGTTTGGTTTCTGGACAGAGAAAGGGAGAAAGGGAAGATTCGTTGGAGACAGCTTCACCAAGCCCTACCGGGAAAACCTCGGCCCGCAGTAGCTGAAATGGACGTTTTTAGGTCTGAGCAGTCGAATAAACGTCAGAGCGCATCCTCACTTGTTTCGCATGTGCATAAAAGGACAGCCAGATGTGCCTGTATCTTTATGTCCTAAAGATGTCTGATCTACAAGTCTAACTCCTCATCTGGTTACAGGATCAGATAAGATTAGATGCAGTTAGAGCTAAAAGTAGGTAATCTTAACCCTAACCCAATCGGGCAATCTGTCCTGGCGACGGAGGATAAAGGACGAGATTTTTAGCCTGCTGTTTATCACGGCGCATACCCTGGCCTCGTGGACCATAAGTCACATACGAATATGCAGACCCGGCTGTGTTTCGGTGTGGAAGTACGGTGATAAATAAAGCAAGGGCCTGAGGGGTAAGATCAATTTGAATACTCCACTCTGGTAACCAATATCAAAATATTTTACTACAATTACTCTGTGTGTATATGTACAAACTACCGATATCTTGCAGCTTCGTCTCACTGTACCAGCACTACCATGTCAAGCGCTTCAATTTCAACGGAAGGTGGAGCAGTCGTTGCCCTGACTCTGTAGGCTTCGGCAATCGTCCAGCCCGAATGTTCATCTGCAGGGACTGGTGGAGCAGTCTCGGCTCAGCCAACTTCGAATCACGCTCCTTCCGGAGCGCTACAAACTCCTCTTCGGTAACGCCATCTTTAAGGTGTCTATTTTGCTGCCTATGTTCCTGGACGCTCAGCGAGGGAACAGGATCCTTGCGCCCCTCGGCAGGATAGTCGTGGCCCGTCCAGATCATGACGTGATCCGGCAAACCCAAGACCTTCCGCCCTGATTGATAGAGCTTGTTTGCACTGCCGCCGGGGAAATCACATCGTGCGGTGCCAATATCCAAATGGAAGATTAGATCACCGCTGAAAATATTGTCTAGTGGGTTAAATTAGTAATGCAATGCGACAAGTCAATGGCTGTGAGTGGACATCATACCTCCAATGTGGTATCCCAGATGGTCCGGTGTGTGTCCAGGAAGATGAATGGCCTTGGCCGTCAAATTGCCAATCTTAAATGTCTCATCGTCCTCAAACAGTTTGTCAAAGACGTCTTCATATTCCTGCGCAGGAATGCCGTATCTCTGACCAAACACCTTCTGCACCTGTCCAATGCGCTTGCCGATCCCGATGGGCGGCCGGTGGCCTTGGTTCTCGGCTAAGCGCTTCTGTAGATAGGACGCTGCGGTGAGATGATCGGCATGTGCATGCGTTTCAAGAATTCTATCGACTCTGTATCCCTTCTCCTTGATCAAGGACAGGAGCGTGTCAGCGGACTCCGTGGTGATGACCTGGGTGGCGGGGTCATAGTCCAGGACCGGATCGATGATGACGGCTGTCGATGTCGCTGGATCGGCTACCACATATTGCCAGGTGCCTGTCTTGCCTTCAAACACATTGTGAATGGTTGGTTCTCCTGGTTCCATGGTTGCAGTGCTGTATGTTGCTCGAGGAACCGTCCCATTCAAGGAATGTTTGTTAGGGTAGGTGCGTGTATTCTGAGCACGTTGTTCTGACAGCGGCCTTGCATAAACTGATAACGATCTTAGAGGTGCTCTTCTAGTGGTGCAGGCCGACTTCTCTGCAGCTTGATAATGGAGAGGACGCAGTGGCACTCGGACAGCAGTGGAAGACGCCCGCAACAGACCCGCTGTTGCTTGCCAATTTTTGCAGATTTGAGGCTGAATGGATGTCATGTTTAAATATGTTTGTGCTCATTGGCAGAATGAAAGATTCATGCGATCTGAAGCTGTTTATACTTCTCTCGGTCTCCATGCAGCTAAGCATCGGGGATCTGGACCCACTCGGCGATCCAGGCACGTGACTGTCAATCGGCGACTGGCTTCTTCCTTATGACATCACTCTTTATGCAGCTGACATAATATATGCTAAGTATAACGTGGTCGCCGATGCAGGTCGGGTGGGCCCACTGGCTTATCTGAGATCCTTATCGCACCATTAATAATCGCTCCTGATTGCGACATCCGGGGGCCCTTTTTATCGTCGTATTTTTTGTATCGTCGCGCCATCCAACTCTTGCTTCCCTTTGGTTCACTTGCCCTCCAGTTTTTGTTACATCTTCCAGTCTCATATTATGTCAGTCATGTTCCGCAATCGCGTAACAATGGCAGCTTCTGCTGCTGTTTCTCGCTCAGTACTTGCTGCACAGAATGCCTCAACGGTAACGCGGGGTTTTGCGACAGCTGCAGTGGGCACTTCGCGCAATCACAGAGTAGTCGTGGTTGGTGGTGGTAGTGCTGGTCTCACTGTCAGTCATCAGTTGCTTCGCACCGGAAGGTTCTCTCAAGGCGACATTGCGGTGGTCGATCCCGCTATCTGGCATCACTATCAGCCCGGATGGACTCTTGTTGGTGGTGGTCTCAAGAACAAGGAGGATCTGCGACAACCGCTCAATGGCCTGCTCGATCCCAAGCTCAGGTTCTACAACGACAGTGTGCACACCTTTTCTCCTGAAAACAACTTCATCACGCTCGCCAACGGCGACAAGGTCAACTATGAGCACTTGGTCGTGGTGCCCGGTATCAAGGTCGACTTCAGCAGCATCAAGGGTTTGCCTGAGGCTCTCGCCGATTCGAACTCGCTCGTTTCGTCCATCTATGGCTATGACACCTGCGACAAGGCCTACAGCACCATCGAGAAACTGCAGAAAGGTACCGCCATTTTCACCCAGCCGGCTGGCGTGGTCAAGTGCGCAGGCGCTCCCCAGAAGATCATGTGGCTCGCGCTGGACTATTGGAAGCGTGCCGGTCTCTACGCCCCCAGCAATCCCTCGAGTGGAGCAATCCAGATTAGCTTCGCTACAGCTCTTCCCGGAATGTTCGGTGTGCCCAAGTACAGCGCCAAGCTGGAAGAGCTGCGCAAGGAGAGAAAGGTGGAAGGACTGTTCCAGCACGACCTCGTCGCCATCGATGGCGATAAGGCGACGTTCAAGCGTCTGGACGGACAGGAGCAGGTGACCAGGCGGTTCGATTTCTTACATGTGGTGCCCAAGATGGGGGCGCATGCGTTTGTCAAGAACAGCCCTCTCGCCAATGACGCCGGTTTCGTCGACGTTGACGACAACACCACGCGCCACAAGAAATATGGCAATGTCTGGTCGGCCGGTGATGCCTCCAGTCTCCCCACATCCAAGACGGCGGCCGCGATCACGGCACAGGCACCCGTCCTCGTCAGCAACCTGCTGAGAACCATGGAGGGCAAGGAGCTCGACTCCTCCTATGACGGTTACACCTCGTGTCCACTTCTGACCGAGTACGGCAAGGTCCTTCTGGCGGAGTTCAAGTACGCGGGGGAACCCAAGGAGACGTTTGGTAAAATGCTAGGCATCGACCAGGCAACTCCTCGCCGTGCATTCTACCACCTGAAGAAAGACTTCTTCCCCTGGGTCTACTACAACTACATGGTGAAGGGCACCTGGGGCGGTCCCAAGGGCTGGATCCAATAGAGGAGAGCTTTTTGCATGTATGATACCAGGTTATGGACTATAGAATAATTTGATTTGTAGCGAAGCAATAACAAGTCTAAGGAACGGCCAGTCCGCATCAGGCTATCTTCAAAGAACTATATTCTAATTGGCTGGATCCATGTTATATCACGTGTACTTTGGCCCCACAGTCTCCAAACTTTCCTTACCTATCCAGTACACCCTCCAGATCCCTTTCTTCCTCCGTCATTCTTCTCAGCAACTCTGCAGTCTGGAGAATTGTATCTCAGAGATCTCTCTATGAACTGCTTGTTTCAATTCTCTCAGACTTACTGCTGCTTGCAAGGTCTACTTACAACACGGGCTGATCTTCTTTTCCACTGAAACAGCCATGACTCTATCGGCCGAGAATGTCCGAGACTCGGCCGGGTAACGTTTCTCGTCCGATATCAGCACATGAGATAGTCCAAAGAATATTCTACAGAGCTCAGGATCGTTTTCATCATGGTGGTCCCCGTAGCAGTCCCCTGAATGATGTCTCAGACAGCATCAGGCAATGATCTGACCACCTCAGCCAAGAGCTGCTTGGCCGAGGGACTATTATATTCCGGTTTCTTCGGAGGCTTCCTGATTATGACGACCTTCTCAACATGGGATGGGACTTCGGTCGTTAACCGAGTCGGCGACTGAATTCTCTGTCCTGTTCGCTCGTAGGCGCTTGTCGGTTTGAAAGAGAGGCTTTCGAGCATCTTGGTGGAGAGTCGCTCTTTTCAAGATGATCCGGTCATTTCGCATTCTGGCAGATTGATGAGGGGGCTCTGAGGAGCTTTGCTTGAATTGATGACTCTACAGCAAGACTTCTGTCTTTATCAATTGATGTCACCATCTTAATCATTCTACTTGAAGTGATTTAGATCTTGCCTGGTTCGTCAAGACGTCCGAGGCATTGTCATAAAGTAACACGGTATGTATCTTCTGATCGAGGCGAATCTTCCATCATACTGTCTGAAGAAGGTGAAAGCCTGAACTGGGGAAACTACCCGTCTTGCGAAACGGACGGATCTTAGGCTGGTTTGGCCAAAGCAACCAAGGACAGGGACTTATTAAGTGCCTACTGTGCTGTTCTGAGAACCAAACACAATAGATGGGCGAATACATGCCCCAAAAGCAGCTCATTACTCCATTACTCCATTTTCCATTCCGCTCAGTATCATAACCTATGCAAATAAGACTGCCTATCTACCGAGGATTTTATCATGACACATCATTTATTTTGTCACACAAGAGATCACTCCTTTTCATCATGAGTCCATCCAAGAATTCTCTGTGCCTTGTCAACAGCAAAGAAACTCTGGTTCTTGGACATATCGCCTCGAATCTCAGCTCCGGGATAATACTTCTTAGCCAATTCCTCTGAGGGCGTCTCTTGGGTAGTGGTCGGCGCCACGATGTTAAAGACCTGGCATCCCTCAAAGTTATCGCTCCGCTCCACGGCAAGCAGGCACGCCCTCGCTGTCGCCTGGGGGTTCACCCAGCCCCATAACTGCTTAACAGCCGCATTCTCCCAATCTTCCTGGTGCTCCTTCTGCACGTCCTTAAGCGGTGCAACCTCATGAATACGCAGACAAGCGATCTTCATTCCAGGGAACCATGTCGCGAACGAGCGTGCCTGGAGCTCGGCCTCATGCTTGGCCAGTGCGTAGGAATCCGTTGGCCGCTGCGGCGCATCCTCATCCACGGGGAAGTAGTCGAATTTGAGCGGCTGGTTTGCATACGCCAATCCCACAGCGTTCACCGACGAAGCATAGCAGAATCGCTTGATGCCTAGTTCAGCCGCGGCGCGGAAGCAGTTGAATGCAGAATTGACGTTGTTGTTGTGGACGGTGTGATCTGGCTTATCGACGGGGTCTGGGATGGACGCAAGATGGATGACGGCATCGCAGTTCTTAAATGCTTTGAGGCATGCGTCATAGTCATTTGCAACGTCCGCCGTCGCCATTTCCGAACGGGGCGTGCCGTCGTAGTCGGTGTCGGTGCGGTTGATCTGCACCGTGGAGTGGCCGGCATCAGCGCAGAGCTTGACCACGGATCGGCCGACAGAGCCGCGAGCGCCAGTAATTGCGATTCTCATGTTTCCTTCAATTGATGTGAGTGAATATTTTCTAAGGATTTGTCTCTTGGTGAGATGTGATTTGACGTTTGCAATCCTCGGTTGGTGGCTTGTGTGGACTGAGATGCTCCGCGTTGAGCAACGACAAGAATGTATACGGAGAGATAAATTTGGCCGTAATTGAAAGGCTACGGTTCTGGATATGCAGTCCATTTTGATCTCTAACTTGGTGGTCGTCAAGGTATATGAAGCCTTCAATTGAATCTTGATATGTATAGAAGATGGAATGACATCAGGATGATGATGTCAAAGTGGGCAGTCCAACCTAATCGAAGCAAGATACGCATCAGGCAATTCTGGACTTGTGGGGCCTAGATTCTTGGATTACAATAGAATATCTTGATTCTAGAGGCATGTTCGATCTGAAGAAATTCCGCCTTTATCATCTGTAGCAGTTGTTGTATCTCGGCATGAGCATCATTGCCATAAGTTGGCGTCACGTGACACGCCCTCGCACGAAATAGGAGATCTCTATGGTCTACTCGCCAATCTGCAGTATTACATTGATGAACGGGACCTTGGTTTCACAGGTGTTTATCTTTCGGCTCTCCAAATTTAGTGTTGACATGGTTGCAAGTGGTGAGGCGGACCTTCCATGGGAGCAGTATGGAGTGTCTGCTCGATATATATATCTAATTCTTTTCAGCTCGAGCGGTTACTGGATATCAGACCAAGAATCAATCCGACCGGAGAATCAATCATGTTACAGAATTAAGGCGAGTCCTATGAGCAACCAAAATTTCCATCAAGATTCAACTCAAATGAATTGCAGCGTCGTGATGCCTGTCTGAGTTCATGGTAGATTGGACAACGGCTGTGTCTAGTCTATATGGCAAAAAGTCTCCGCTGCTTACAACAAGTAAGGCCGGTTGGTGTAGTTGGTTATCACGTATCGTTAACACCGATAAGGTCGCCGGATCGAGCCCGGCACTGGTCACTTGTTCTTTTTTTGTCCTTATACTCTCCAATGTTCTATTGTTTCCTGATCTTTCCAATTGATGTCTGCTCAACTTATCTATAAATAACAGATGGGACCATAAAGATTTGACGTAACATAATTCAGTTTCTGTACCTGTGGACTGCCGCTTGTGCGCTGTCTAGATCATAATCCCATCACCTCCCCCGACTCGTATCTGACAGGCCGCGGAATACAAGACAAAATTAACAGTTAAAGATCATCCTGAACCCAATAGGCACAATCCCCTGCTTTCCACCCAGAGTATTATAAAAATTGACACTACCACTCTGCGTCTGCCAGTTACTCAGCTCCACCAGGAAGCTCATGGGATCCGAGCATGTATTCGAGGCAATGATTCTCTTCGATTCCGTAGTCGTCGGCTGCGTCGGGAAGATGTACGTGCCGACCATCTCCCTCCTCTTCGGGGGCCTGTTGTACGTCGGCAGCGAGTACCAGTCCCAGGGGTCAGTAGTCCAGATATCGACCTGGGTGGCGCCTTCGGCGATCTGGTTGGGTTGAGATAGGACCGGGATGTCGAGTTCCAGCATGCAACCTGTTGCGTTTTGGGGGATGTAGTTGAACGTTATGGCGGAGATCTGGGTGTTATATGGGGGATACCCGGCGCGGCTGACGGTGAATTGCTGGCCCGGAGAGGCATTGTCGGGTGTTGATACCCTGAGCACATCGATGACGGATGGGCCCAGTGTGCCACAGGCTCGAGGGACGAGGTCCTCGGTGGGGGTGGGAGAGGCAGTTGCTGCCGCTAGAAGAAGGCTGAGAAGAACAGCAGACTTGAGCATTGTGGTTGATGGGTAGTGATTTGGTAGGATGGTTAGGTCTTTGATTTCAGATGTGGATTTGTTACTTGGACCATGGACCGAGATGGAGACAACTATTTATGTCTATGGGATAACTGTCGGCTGCTCAGCCGGTGTAGTGCACCTCGAGGCATTCAAGTTCGAGTCGAAAACAAGGGATTGTGGCGTCCAAAGCCCGGTCATAGTGTGACACAGCATACATCGAAGCTGATGGCCTCTACGAGAACCATCCAAATCAAGACGGGGTTCTGTAATAAGTACGGGATACCACAGGACCTCAGTCATGATATCGAGAACGAGCCATAGAGTTCGACTTGTCTCAGATGATTGATCGGGAAGCTCCAACCGGGTTGCCAAATCGCGCTGTCAGACTGCAATGTCTTACCCGACGTCTTGGCAAGATCCGTGAGAGCCTTGCGTCAGACAGAAAAGCGTTGATTATAGGACGGCAATTTCGGCATTTGTTAGGTTCTTGGTCTGGAATAATCGTCGTCAAGAGTTGACCGAAAGCGTGGCTTCGATCACCTGATTCAATCCCAGGCTCAGCTCACAAACTGCCATCGGCATAGTTCGAAATGTCTTACTGAGTGTCTTGTTGGACGTCAGAAGATTCAAAAGATTGGTGCAATGCTCGTATATAAGCGAATGGATGACCAATGGCGATGACCACTGGGGCCTAATACGAGCTTGTCGTCGAAAGGATTTTAGCGGTGTGGATCAGAATGAGGAGACAGATTTGGACTTTTGGAATTTGGCAGAGTAAGTACTCTGGACGTCATAATCAATACTACGGTACGTAGATATCTGCAATTAAGCAATGTATTGACTCATATCTAAGCGAGCGGCGGCATAGACATGGGTTGAATGTCCGGAGAGGAAGGCTGTCGAAAACAAGCAAAAACACGGATTCAAGAAGTGATCCTCGAGGGGCAGTGAGAGAGGATATGTCTGATTCAGCCTTACAGTTTCCTGTTGCACAGTGCCACAGTATGCATGAACCATGCATCTGACAGCCACAATTCTATAAGTAGCATATAGATCCAATATATTGTAAGCTGTGCATCCAAGCACTTACTAACAGACTAATGACAGGTCAGCTGGTCACATTGCTTCTCTGCCTGATGTTCTATGACATAGATGGTCTAGTCATATTAATGCAAGAAAAGAACTTGTCGGAGTCAACCGCCTTTATTCAACAGTCATCAGTGCAGATCTGCCCTTGAGCCTATTCAAGTATAACAACCTCTCATAGATTGTAAATTCGGTAGTACGACGTCACTCTCGAAACCATCTGTCAGATCAAGGCACCAGCGAGGGACTGATTTGCCATAATGGTGAAGACGGAAACACAACCTGATGTGATGCACACTGCAAGGGGTTCCTCTTGATCAATCACAGACTCGGTTGGAAGAAGGGAGACACCGATACTTCTTTTCTCATAGACACTATTACTAGCAACCGGTACACAACTTGGTTTGTGCGAGTGGAGTGGAATGAATTCCCAGATTCTTCTCATCTTTATGCCTTTTGGAATCCTCCAAGATATCATGCTAAGATCGCGACAGAGGTGAGATGGTGCCTCAGGATTAATCTAGGCTCACTGATACTAAATAGCACACCTGCATGGTTTGGCATTATCTAGTGCTACAGCTCAATCGATCCATGTCAAGTAACCGCTCGCCGAGGACTCTCTAGTTCCATAGAAGCCACCGTGTCCCCCTCAAGCACGACTTCCTTGTAAATCTTGAACCCATTTCGCTGCAAAACCTTCAAACTCCCTTTATTAGCCAAATTAACCACCGCGAACAATTTCTCCTCATGTCCCAAGCCATCCACCCGAGGCAGCTTCCACCATGCATCGATCACGCCCCGTAAGGCTTCGCTGGCATATCCCTTCCCCCAGAACGAGGGATGCAAGGCATATCCCACCGTGGGAGCGGGCGATAGAGAGTTAACGCCAAGGGATCCAATGATACGATCAGGTTCATCTTTAGGAATAATGACAAAGAAGAATAACCGTCCAACCGCACCGGTTGCGTCTGGATCTTTGAACACCTTTCTCGTCATGTGGGCTTTGGTTTCTTCGATAGTGGTATCTGCTACTCTGGGCCACCTGGGGCAAGTCAGCTGGAGAACGTTATCGTGAAATACAGATTTCTCACAGCCAATCAACGACATCTTGTCGGCTTCTGATAGTGAAGATTCCGGCGGCATCTTCGTCGTTGTCGATTCGCAGGGGCCGCAGAAGGAGGCGTTCGGTATATATGGGTGGTACCTCCTCGGGAATAATTACAGCAACGGCTTGCTCGGGGTAATGCATCGAAAAAGCGGTGGACATTTGAATAAGAGGCTAGGTATATCTTTGGTGATGGGAATTGTGCTCTTCATATAGTTATACATGGGTTGTTGTGTGAGTCATCGATATACTGATGTGAGACTATAGAGCGGCCTTAGCATCTAGCGGCATCACATGGTCCGGCAATAGCCATCGCCCACTGGATAGACGATTTACACAAGTCGAATGAGTTCGTTTTCGCTTTCAGAAGGACAGCTATCTTCATTTCTACTCGGAAAATCAAAACAAGCAAACTGTCCCGTCAAATCGACTAACCGCAAGGCTCTGTGGACCCAACTGCGGCCAAGATAAGCTTAATATGTGGAACAGTGCCAGCTGCAACTAGCCATGTTATTCTTGCATATCATAGCTACATGAAATATGTCGTATGCCCTGGGTTGACCAATTTGTGTTAGCCTGGTACATTATATAGAGCAGTACCGACGTGCGCAGGGTGAGCTCAAATGTATATGCGCGCCACGACAGTTAGGGTCATCTGCCTCGCAGAAGCGCACTTTGACACATTGCCATGAATTGGAGCAAGCGACTGGATTAAAGATCACTAAGATTTAGGTTGTTGGGAGAGTAATATGGCTTATGAATGTATTTCCTTCATACCACACCCGCTGAAATGGTGCTTCATCAAATGAGTCTCGAGCTCTTGGATTCCATTGTTCGCTCTCTTCAAATGCCATTTTCTATAACCAAAAATTATACTAAAACTTTTAATATCTAATTAGACTATTCTCATAAGTCATTATACCTCACCGTTACCCCCCTCAACCCTGTATTCCGCGCTCTGTATCCGAACTTCCATTCGCCCATTCCTGCTTCATCAGTTGCTGACAGAATTTGCTCCTCTCTCTTACCCCCTCGCCTTTGTACAAGAGTACAAACGGAATAGGCACACACGCCAGACTCAGAAACCCAACCAGCGAGGTCGCCCAGCTCACCCCCAATGTCGCGTACATCGGCTTAGCAGCCAGCGGCAACAGCGCCCCAAGAACACTGCGCAGGATGACCGAGCTGGCCAGCGCGCTGGCGGAGTATATCTTGTAAGCATCGGTCACGTACGTCAACAGCGAGACGAAGATGGTCTGGTAGCCAAAACCGAACACTACCCGGAAGCGATGGGAACCGCCCAGTGGACTTCTGCTCGGGAAGTCCAGGCGAGCCAGAACGAGCTGGCCGTGAGGAGGACGGCGCCGAGACAGGATATAGGGAGTCGGTGGAGTTCTGCACCGAAGCGCCATGGTTTGTTGTGTTTTTTGGCTTTGTCATAGGTCATATCCCAGTAGAGGGCGACGAGACTGGTGGAGGCTGCACCGACGCCGACTATCTCTGTTAGCGTGGCTCAATGGACGGAGGTGATGTACCTACCAGGTAGAAAAGCAAGAGAGGTCATTTGTACATCAAATCCGTAGACACCTGCCAAGTCAGCATGCGTTGTATGACCAGACAAAGAGGGAACAAACCTTCGAAGATTATTGGGTAAGCTTGAAAGTAGAAGAACACAAGACCGTAAGCCAGCGCGATATATATCGAAGTGAAGGTAATAATGGGTTCGAAGAGCAGCATAGCCAAAGGTCGCTTGACGATCTGAACGACGTTGACAGTGTTCTTTGAAGCTGTATCCTCCATTCCAGTCGCATTGCCTCGCGACAAAACCGGCCCGAAGGTCTCGGGCATAAAGAGCAGGCAGATCCAGGCGCAGCCCGCCAATATTGAACCAATCCAGAACGTCCATCGCCAGCCATAAGAGGGCGATGCAAAACCGGATATTATTGGACCCAGAATGGGCCCAAAGCTAGCTGACTAGATGCACAGTCAGCCTATACGCGTTGATTAACATAAACGAACCTTCCTACGTACCGCCATATAGAATGCCATCACTCTACCTCTTTCTCTGAGATCAAAGAACATGTCCGCATATACACCACCCACAACCGTCTGAGGCGCAGAGCCCATGGTTCCGCAGATGAAACGAAAGAAGAGCAGCGATCCCCAATTCGGACTCAACGCACATGCCACGGTCGACAAAGTAAACACGGTAATAGTAGGCAGCAGCACCAAACGCCGTCCGATGGTCTCACTCAAGGGACTAAACGCAAGTGGCCCGACAATATACCCGATGAGAAACACTGAAGTTGGTAAATTACTTTGTGTGGCATCCTCCACGTGGAACTCCCGCATGATGTAGGGGACCGCATTGCTCGGCAGCGAGGTCCCGATGCCGGAATTGATTACACTGAGAAAGGTTGCGACGACGATGGCCAACTTTTTATGTACCGGCCAGTCATTCGGAGATGTGGATTTGCTTTGGTTCGAGCATGTTTGTCGAGATTCGGGTGTCCCTTGTATCTGTCAGCACTCGGGGGTGGAACGAATTGGAATACACACTTGTCATACCTATAGAACGCCCTGGCTGAGCCGGGCTGGAAATTGATTTCTCTTCTAGCATAATGAATAGCTTCTGCTCCGTGTGCATTCCAGCTGTTAGGCTTGGGTTCGGCAAACCACAATTGTTCCCGACTTGGCGCCATTTCGGAGTATTTATTGTCAAGAGTCGATCAACCTCTGGACAGTCTTACCGCAAAACTGAGTCATAGAAACGGATGGACGTGTCCAGGCATTGCAGATGTAATTGTTTTCTCATGCCTGGACCAAGATATAGAAACCGATTCGCCAATCATAGCGCCCGCTCAGTCTTAAGTTCCAGCACTAAATCCGGCGCCGGACCGGCCCCGGTGGAGATGCAGAAACTTGCACCGGCGCCGATCAGGAGCCGGTCCCCATCGGCCGGCCCCGTGGTCTGGAGGAGTATTTGATGCCTGATCGAACATAAAAGCTCCTTGTGAGTGGATGGGATTGAGGGAATTGGGGAATGGCACATGAATTCTGACTGGTTTGCTAGGCAGCTTGCTGATCTAGGCCTGTCGATCACAGCTGATATGGCATCTTTTCACTCTCATCACATTCGACAACCGTCTCGGTCACAGATCGACACAGTGTAGTCATTACTGTCTAGGATATGGAAGGCATCGAAGGCAAAAAGTCAAACACATCCGACTGCCCTTCCTCGAACAGATCGAACGAGTCGGCTATAGACGTTGACAGAGTCCAGTTGGGTATATTCATCTCCCCCAGAAGGCGTGGTAGTGCAGGATCCGGTCGAGCTTCCCCGGTTCGTCCCTCATCTGACAATGAGTCTCCGTGAGTCTGTGCATCTCTCTGCAGCGACTGCTCCTGCGCCTGGTCATGCGACATATCAAACAGGCCAGAGTCGGACCTCGGATTGTCTGCACCCTGCCTTGGTTGCATCGAGGATCCTGCAGTATTTGACGTTGCAGTGCCTTGATTAGTCGTGGAACTTCTTTCTGCAAAAAGCGCACTTGCATAGTTGGAGAATATGGACACGGTGCGATGGATATCCGGATAAGGCGGCAGCTTGAGAATCTCGCTGATTTGCTGCGCCCTTTGCAAGACCAAGCTTTGATCGATCAAAGCCGGATGCCACCGTGCCACTCGAACAGCGAATGTTGCTAGCCTGGTTAGTACCTGCCAATGCGCAGAGGAGTGAAACCTACTGATAAAGGCTATAGTGAGCGCCGGATACGTCGGAGCCCAGGTGAGCTGGCACCGGTAAGCAGTCTCATTGACCAACAATGCCATTTGGCCCATAATGATCTCGACCAGTGACTTCCAGAGCCCTAGCACAGCGTCCGACTCCGGATCTGGGAGAACTTCCGACGACGGCCGTTTCTGGATGCGAGCGATGGTGGCACAGAGGACATAGACCCGAGCATAATTGAGCATATATTTCAAGCTAGACCGCTGAAACGCTCCAGCGTGGAAGCCATTTTCTACTTCGTCAGCGTCCTTCCTGTTCCGACGAGCAACCGATTTTCTTACGATCATGTATTCCGTCCCAAGTTTTCCACCACTCCTCTAATCGGGCCATGATTGCGGGCAATTCGGTGGACAGCAACTGCCCCGCGGTGGTACTGTCTATAGTTCGTCGTGCTCGAGCTGTGCTATATTAGCTGCAATGACCGACGGATGGAAAAAGAATAGATCACTACCTCGTAGTTGATGGATTTCGATGACACTGACTGTACGCATATCGCTGGGCAGTGAGAGAGGATAGTCGAGATACTTGCGGAGCTTAGCTACATCAAGCTCATTGACTCGCGATTTTCTGCCCGTCCCCGCAGCTATATCAAGCTCAGTAGTGTACGTGATTAGCCACGTTCGTGTTTGCCACACCAGGATCCGATCTTCCATTGTGGCAGATAGGTAACTCCGGGGCGTGTTTGTCTGCGCCAAAAGAGTATCCAGAGATTTCTCAAGCCCCGAATCCAATGCTGTCCGGAGAATGAGAGCCGTGGAGAACCAAGATTTCTCTGAATATGCCGCCAGAAGGATCATTCCTTGGACAGTCTCGAGCTTGGTTGGTCGTTCAAAGAAGCTGTCTTCGGCTAGCTTTTGTGCTTCATCTTGTAGGACCCGCTGCAAATGGTTGTTGCTGCGAAGCTCAGGAACAGCTCGACTAGCGAGGTAGATAATGACAGTGAAGCAGAACAATGACCGAGATCGGATGGAGTCATAGGTGTCCCTCACAGGGTCGAAGAGAGGCAGGAAATTCTTGCTTCCATTCATGAATCTGGTTGTCGTTTAGCAACATTCTCTCGCTTAGGTGAACCTACGTACCTCTCATAGATGCCGCGAGCTTGCTCCTCGGTGATAATGCCTCTTGTAATCACGTCTTTCGTTGGATCATCATTCTCCGACTCGCCGATGAATATCTGCTCATTTGGAGCTCCTAGATTGACCGACATGGAATGCATTGCTGACTGAGGAGCCATCATATCCTGCGACGTAAAATGCTGAATCTCAAGGCTGGATTGGCCAGTCGATCCTCGGTTGTTGAAGCTTCCCACTGACGAGAGGCTGGAGCTTGTTGGTGAAAGAGGGTTAAACCTGGACTGGAGTCAGTTGGTTTTATATGCCACTCCTTTCGTGGTAGGCAGAATACCGAGTTTGCTCTTTGTTCTGCTTTCTTCGCTCATTGCCTCCTCTGTCGATTGTGTCCACTATACAGTCATGACCAGCAGCCTGGCATCGGGAGCAAGGGATCTGATGGCGCGCATCACAGCGCATCTTTAGCTTGCGACACCGCCGACATGACTTGAAGAGACGGGTGGGAGGCCCCCTAGGTGATTCCATGATGAGGCCGGTTGTTCAATCGCAATCACAGAGGCAAATGCTAGTAGCCTAGAGCATTTATACGGAGAAACATGAATTATCGCGATCTTCGGCGGTTGTGAAGTATCTTGAACAAAAGTCACTTGCTGTCTGGAGCTGACTCAAATAATATGCGGAGAGCGTTGTCAGCGTCGGAGAAAGACCGAACATCGGAAATATTCTGGTCTCGACCATAAGAGGGGATCATAGCAAATACCTCTCCTGCCAATACATTTGCACAGTTCCAGATAAGAAAATACAGTCCCGAAACTCAGGAGAAGAAAAAGGCATGTTGTTGTCGTTTAAAGTTGTGGATGGAAGAGCGAAAGATTGAAACAAAGTCCGGTCACGTGACAGCAAATCCTCCTTCCGGGTCTCTCTAATCTTCATCGTCCATACTAAATACAGTGATCAATTATCCATCACTTTAGAGTCCGCCCACCCTGTCTCTTCACAAATCTTGCAGGACCGTATGCCGTAGCGATCTGTTGCAGTCGAGCTTTGTTCTTCGGCCCGTATCTGGAATAGACATCCTGATCATCGGCCGCGTCATTCATAAACAGGGGATTCAATCTACTGGTGTTACTCAATTGTTCGTTAAGTCTGTCTTTCAGATGCAACTTCCGAGATAAAGCCTATATCACCCCATTGATAGTCGTCGGCTTCTCATTCCCGAAGGTGCTGGTGAGATCCGACATGGCTTGATTTGCTATCTCGCAAAGATACTCCCGGACACGCGTCATTGCAGACGGGACTGATCCACATCAGCTTACTCTCCACCCAGATTCGATCACTGTTTGACGGGTCTAATCCAAGAGCATTCCCTCCCCGATCTGCAGAGGCTTGTGCGATGCGAACTGACAGAGGCTGGGGTGTGAATGTCCCCATCTGAACGTCAATATCCCTGCTTGAGATGTTTCTAATCTGATTCTGAAACAGCTCGAAATGAGTTGCGGGCAACTGGCTAGTCTTCTCAGGCCCCATGCTGGGAAAAGTGTTCACGCGAGCACTCGCGCTGGAATCCATTTGGCCTAGCCCCTCCGGTTTGGTTGGTTATATTGACATAGGTCGTTGGCGCTGTGGTGTCCAGGATTGGCTCGACATTCTCCAGGCCGGAGAATGCATTTATGGGAGGTATGGAACCATCGTAGAAGATTGCAGAGAGTTCACGTTCCCATTGAGTGAGACGTTTATTTATCGAGAGCCGATTGCTCTCGCCCATTTCACCCCATGTCTTGAAAACCTGTACTCGGGGGACTTTTTCCATGATGCACTCTGCACCCACTGCATTGACATATCGGAGTTCCGAGCTAGAACCTTGGGAACAGGAATCGTCGTATGCCTTCGTACTAATAGGACGAAAATCCATCAGCTAAGGCGCCGCAGCCAATCCCCAGTGTTCCTGTCACTGAAGCTTAGCACAGCGACCTCCGATGCCGTGCGGTACATAGGTCTCCCCGCATTGGGGCAAAGACTCTTACAATGTACTCTGATCCATCTTCTGTTGTCATAAGGAGTGTTTTGCTAAATCCGCCTTCATTTTTTCTATCTTGGAGACAGTGCATCTTTCAGATCCAGAGAGGCTAGCAACCACATCACATAATCTCTCAAGGTTGAAGCGAACATAACGCTTGGAAAACTGGACTTTCTCCTCGGCAAGGGACCGTCAAATTTGTGTATTTGAAAAGGTCTTCTTTAGAGATCGGATGTCCTATAATGTGATTAGTGTCAATGCTATAAACCTCTCGAGGAATAGACGTTCAGATACCTCGACATTCAATAGAAAGTTGCCTTTTGGCTGGCATATACTTGAGAGAAGTTCTACGGGTTGGAAAGCAAACCCTGAAGATGTTCTTGAAGGTTAGCATAGCTTAAGCATTGTGGTGTTTGTGGCCATGTCGTAAATCCAGTTGGCAGGTGGCTTGTTTACCTCCTTCAGCTCCTGTAGAGGGACGGGAATATGTTAAGCCGATCCTCCATGTTCTTATGTACCTAAAGTTCCACCGTTGACGGACTAGCTAAGGTGATGCTGGGCCTCGGAAGTACATTGAGTCATGAGTAAAATGAAAATGAGTTTGCAACGTAAATCTTTGCAACGATTGACTGAGAGTAAGTAGAATTCACGCTGGACGTTGAAGCGAAAGATTGTGGCACGTGACTACGAAGCCTGGGTGATTGTCGATAATACTGTAATATAAGGCAGCCTTATCTAACAATACTTATTGCGAGTTGATATAACAACAGCCCTGCTGGCGCAATGGTAGCGCGTCAGACTTCTAATCTGAAGGTTGTGGGTTCGACCCCCACGTAGGGCTTTTCTTTTTCTTTTTCTTTTTCCTTTTCCGCCCTCCGACCACACTTTAACTCTACATCGTTCTTTTGACAAGGATATGCACCATCAATGAGTCTACACGAAATTTTACTGAGCAATGAACCGAGATTTCTTTTTATTATTATTTATTTATATCCCTTTGACACCCAAAGTCTGGTGATGACTCCAACCTGAAGGGGTCAATATTCTCTCCAATGTTCACATCAAGAACAATCCCTGCAATCATCATATAACCCATCTTCTCAAGTAACAAGGAATGATTTCGCCGCAATTGCAATTCTAATTATTATTGGTTACATTCTAATATTCGAAGGGCGGTCGCAGATGCTTCAAAGGGGTTACTCCGTCGGAGAAAGATTATAAGACGCTGGCCGGTCGGAAGGACTGCTGGGATCTAGATAGAAACCCCTCGTCACTATAATTTTCCTATCGCATAGTCTGAAACAACCAAGACACACACTAACCGCGAAGGAACCGAGGACACACGGTCGTGCCTCGAGGAGCAAGTACATATATTATCTCCTACGGAATATACGCTCCATTATAGATTAGCACGCGCGGCGCACGACCGTCGCTCATATATATCCCTGCAACGATCCCTACAAGCGCCATGCAGGCCATATTAAAGACAGATTACAGTACCCAGGTGGCCTGTTCTGTTTACGCAGTTACATCCAGCCGAGGCCGGCCTTGTAGTCTAAGCGGAAATGGCATTATTACTACGTTGTCATTAATCTAACCCGAATCGTGCTCCACATGAATGTGAATGTCCACTGTCTTGAGCACCCCGTCCCTGCGTGATTCCATCGTCAACTGCTTCGTGCTGGCGCTGGTCCCCTCGCTATCATCACTGGGGATTCGGCTCAATCGCCCTTCCCGGGAATCTGTACGCACGTTGGTGGTCACGACTGAGTCGCCGTTCCCAAACGCAAACCCTGTATAGATGCTGCGGCGTTTCTCGGCGCTGAGCGGCGTTTGCTTGCCGTAGCTGCTTCCTTTCCGTCGTGTAGAGAGCTCGACGTTGTCTGGTAATCGGGTTGTGATGAGACCGGAGTGAAGCCCGGCGAAGATGTGGTAGAGAGTCGGTAGGCAGGCGACGATGAGGTTCGTATACATGTTTGCTCTTCAGAAGTTAAGTTAGACGCGCGATCACTTGGAAACTCGTGGAATGGCTTACTGGGTAAAGGTTGATGGTATGACGGTCGACCCTGCTTTGCGTTAGACATGCTCTGGAGCGATGGACCGGTGCCAGCTTACATGTGGTATCAGATGAGGTTAAGGATTGCGGTAGTGTCACCAGTTGCCCGATTGTGAGTAAGACGGCGCTGTGTCCCCATTAGCGTGGAATAACTCGTACAATGTCGGGCGACCAACAGTGCTCTTGCGCAAAATGCGCACAGAATCTTTATTCTTTTCCCTTGAGATATCTGGACCTTGTGCATCATGAAGAAGGGAAGGGTGAGGACGGCCACGTCAGTTAGAATGTTTATGATCGCGACGAGGTACATCAAGGCGCCCTGGCACGATTAGCCTAGCTCTTTCTTATGTGCTGCCCATCGAAAATTAGTAAATACCTTTGCTGTGCAGCGATCCGGTCTATACAACCAAGCATCTGGCAGGGGACATTGAAAAGCGATTGCACACAACGCAAAAACTGTCCAGACGCCTATCGCTCCTATTGTGGCAAGACATGCCTTCTGCAAACCTTTCCGCGGGGTCAATATATACACCAAGAGCGTCGTCGATAGTTTGGATAAGGCGACCGGGATAATATAAAGCAGCTGAGCAGCGTAGTTGTACTGTTATGAAAGCAAAGATTAGACGGAGAGTAGTGGCACGCCTGACGCTTTGGAAATACCTTGCTGTACTTTTCGAAAGAGTCCACAGTCAGTGAGTCCTGCTTCTTCCCCAAGCCGTGTTTGACCGCATATTGGAGTATGATTGTCTGGATGATGGCAACAACCTGGAAGATTCGCAGTCAGTGTCGTCCTTTTACTTAAATTCCCACCAGGCATACCGTTCCGATGTAGATTGGAGAACTGGTCGTCGTTCGCCGCCGCTTGAGATAGATCGACGAGCTTATTTTGGCCGCGATGAAGAAGGCCAGCACAATCAACAAGGAAACATTGACGAGAAGAAGGTATGCACCATGATCACTGTCCGTGATTGATGCAAAAGGAGGAGTCCGAGACACGCCTTCCATTGTCAAACCCGGGCGAGCAGACCCTCATAGCTACATTACACAGCCGGGGGTTGATGAGAAGCGCTCTTTATGATTCATTTATTCCATGCGGCATCGAATTTTCCGAAGGATTTAGGGTCTTCTTGATCGAGCCACCATCTAGCAAGGATACCCTGTTGCGTCAAATGCAAGCCATAGGTGATTGGGGTCAAATATTGCTAAGTGCCTTGGCGCATGAGTAGAGGAGACAGTGTCTCCTCCTTGAGCTCGCTAATAATCTGTGTTGTTTGCTCGTGTGTCCATATCATGTGCATATCATGAAATCCCTCGTGCAAGTCTGAAGGGTTCTGGCCATCGCGGGTTGTTAATGCATCCTTAGGCGCATCGGAGTGCTCCTAAAGTGGCCCTAAAAGTGGCCGGACCAACGCTAAAGTCGCTGGATTGGATCTCCAGACCATTCATGCCCAGCTAATCGAGCAAGGATCGGATGGTTTGCCCCATCTAGATTGCCCCGGTTATTGCCCCGGTTAATTTATATCAATGCTCTTGTTTCTCTGTCCTCTGGAGAGGCAGTGCGTGGAAGATTGCCCCCATGTCTAGTACAGTGTCTAGGAATTGACCACTGCTCGGTAAGAGGAAGAAGCAGAATAATAATAGCAATATTAATAATGTCTTTGTCGTCGACTGGAGGTCGGTCCGAATTTCTTATGATGCCCTTGTCCCCTTGGTTCTGGTCAATATTTGTCCGGCATGATTTCCTTTATTTAAAACTTCTCTATATTCTTTCCTCCGCACCCCTCCTATCTCCGTAAAGGTCGCGAGTCTCTCTGCCTGGTTACTGCAAAATAGACTCTACCAAAATGACGTTTGAGGAAATCGAGTTAAAGGGCAATGTCCACGTTCAATCTGGCCGATCCAATGGGGACAATGGCTTGCCACCTGGGAGTAAAGAACTCCGACAACGGAACCAGCTCGAGGTTCGTATTGATCCTGGTCGGTTGTGTGACACTGGCTAACATGTACTTGTAGAGATACCTGAATTTCTTCTCGACGTTGGCCTTTTCAGCCACCCTGATGGCTTCATGGGAGACGGTGGGAGGAAGTATGGCGGCCGGATTGCTCAATGGCGGCCCATCAGCAATCGTTTATGGAATGGTGTTTAGCACAATTGGCAGTGTAGCAGTTGCAGCATCACTGGCCGAACTTGCCTCTGTGTAAGACCGCTTCCATCTATTGTTGAATGCCACGTTGACCGGATTGAATCGATATCCAGGAATCCGACAGCAGGTGCTCAATACCATTGGACCTATAATCTGAGTCCGAAGAGTCACAGACTTTTTCTCAGTTTCTTTCAGGGTATGTCTTTCGTTTGTATTAAGAATATGGGTCGAGCTGACAACTTTCAGGATGGGTCACGGTATGATGGATCTAGTTGTACACGTTCGACGACAATTCTAACCCGAGCAGGTCTTCTCCTGGTGTTCCCTGGTCTGCCTGGCGCCCTTCATGATTGGCAACCAGATTCTGGGACTGGTTTCATTCAACCGCGAAAGCTATCATATCGAGAGATACCAGGGCACGCTGTTGACGTGGGCCGTTTTGATCATCCCGATCATCATCAACATTTACGCCCGGCGGGTCCTGGCAGTCATCGAGGTAGCAGCTGGAATCATGCATATCGTCTTCCTGCCCGTGACCATCGCGGTTCTTGTGGCTCTTGCTCCCCGCAATCCAAATGAATTTGTGTGGAATACTTTTGTCAGCGGAATCAGCGGCTGGTCGAGCCCGGGCGTAGCTTGGGCTGTTGGTCTTCTGGGCGTGGTGACGCCCCTGGGTGGTGAGTAGCACCGAGATAGTGTTTCAAGAAGTATAAATCGCTGACGATCTTAGGCGTGGACGGCGTCATCCACATGGCCGAGGAGGTCAAGATGGCCCCCAAGACCGTACCGCGGTCCATGATCTGGGGAACTCTCACCAACGGCATCATGGCTTTCGGATACGCCATCGCCGTCCTCTACTGCATGGGAGATTACATGGAGGCACTGACCTCCCCGACGGGATACCCGATCATTACGATCGTCTACCAGGCCACCAGATCCAAGACCGCCGTCAACATCCTCATGGCCATGGGTCTTCTCCCCGGCTGGATTGCGCTGTTCAACGGCCTGGCATCCGTCACCCGCCTGACATGGGCTTTCGCTCGTGACAACGGTCTTCCGTTCTCCGACTTTTTCGTGCACATCGACCGGAAGCACAAGATCCCCATCCGAGCTCTGTTCCTCGTCGCCACCGTCGTCGTCCTCCTCTCGTTCATCCAGATCGGATCCACCGCCGCGTTCAACGCCATCCTCTCCATCAGCACGCTCGGCCTGTACATCTCGTACATCATCCCCCTAATCCTGCTCGTGATCAAGCGCTTCCGCCAGCCGCAGGACATCCCCCGCGGTGTCTTCCACATGGGCCGCTGGGGTCTCCCCGTCAACCTCTTCGCGATTGCATTCGCAATCTACGTCTCCATCTTCCTGCCCTTCCCAGCTCAGGTGCCCGTTACCCGGGAGAATATGAACTATGCGGGGCCCGTCCTGGGGGCGGTTATGATCTTCGCGTGTGTGGACTGGGTGGTGCGCGGACGGAAGAAGTGGGCGGGCCCGACGATTGTCACTCACGAGGACCGACGTTAGTTCTATAAAATCTTGGCAGCCATTTCGCTAGAAGTATACCATGGTAATGCATATTACTTTCTTGATATCTCTTAAAGATGCATGTTCATTCCTGCTTAAAACTGCATGATACACAGTGTGCTACAACAGGAAACTACAGAGCAAACACACCCAAAGCCACTGCAGCAGCCCCGAAAAGCCCACCAGCACCACCAGTCACCCGCGGCATTCCCCCGGTACTCACAGCCGACGAGCCGGTAGACGAAGGCTTGCCTGCATCCTCCGACGCAGTAGACTTCCCGGAGGCAGTCGCAGAGGCAGACGTAGTGGGGGTAGCACTAGCAGTGACAGGCGTCGCTCCCGCACCCGCACCCGAACCAGCAGTAATAGTCACCGCCATCAGAGGCAAATCACTGGAGAAAGTCAAGGAACTGACACCAGGAAAATTCGCCGCCGCGCCGCTGGCCGTCTCGGTACACACGGCGGTGGTCGTTCCGCCAACAGAGCAGCTGACGGTCCAATGGCTATGCACATCAATCATCTGCTCGCAGATCAGGTCAAGGTGGTGAGTTTGTGACTTACAAATCCTCCCCCGGCTCATCCATCTTCAACACGGTGGTCGTGGGACCAGCGACAAGCGTCAGGCCGGGGCCCATCCCGCAGTCGGAGCTATCTGTGCCTGGGGGACAGTTGATGCTGTATGTTGTTGCGGTGGCGTCCTAAATAGGTGAGGTGTGTGTTTGAGGCCGGGAATTGCATGACTAGTAAATGCTTACACTACCGACGATGGAAGCGACAAGAGGCTGCGGGTCTGCGCCATAGATCAACATGGAGGTGACGGTGTTCTGGGCTGAGACCAGGCCGGCCGCGGCCAGGCTGAGGAGAAGTTGAGATGCAAGCATTATGTCGATGCGGTAAAGACAGACTTGATCAATGAGATTCAGAAGAAGGTATGATATCTGATCTGATTCAGGGGCACCAGGTGAAAAGCGAAAAACCTTAAGTCCTTGACTATGGAGCCAGCCATGTATAAAGTTAGATTCGTCATAAAAACGCATATATATATTATGCACTGCACAAAACAAGTGGAATAAGTTGCGTAGATATAAAGAGCAAAGTATGTAAATAAGATACACATCTACTCCATTCTCATCATCAATTGAATTTTACCACACTCTCTCCTCACACAATTGCTCCGCTCTACAATCTCCCCATCAAAAGCCCACCACCACCGCTCGAAAACCACCTGTCCAACCTCCCACGCCTCTGGGGCAAATGGATCCCCTCCTCGGACTTTGATTCCCTCTCCACTAACATCTTCCATATCATAGACAAACCGAAGAAGACCAATAGGATCCTGCGCAGACTTTGGCCGCATTTCCGGCGGGAGATGGAACACCTGGATGAGTTTATCCCGGGTACTCGGCCAGGGAAGGAGATCCAGAATGGGATGATGAGGGATGAGTCGCTGCGAGGTGGTCGGTTGAAGATGACGGGGAACTTCGATGACATCGTCGGTTTCTGCGGGGTTGGATGCTGTTGAGGATGGCGATGAGGAGCCGGACAACAAAGATGGTGGCGAGGAGATCGCCTGGCTCTCCGGCCCTTGGTAGAATGGGCTTGTGGCCGTGAGGTCCCACAGTATGCCGGCAATATTCAACCGCTGCGCTACCTTCATAGCCGCATTGAGAAGTGTGAGAGAGGGGATCTCCAGCAGATGATCATCTGGGAAGGAGAATGTCGACGACTGGAAAGTTTGCAGCCGGTCAGAGAGACTGCAATTATCTCCAGGGTTGTTGGTGCTCTGAGTGGACTGAAATGAGGGCAGCAGATCCGGTAAGAAAGCTGCTGGTGAAAAGCAGGAGAATGGATCCTCCACGGCAGACAACGACATTGTGGGAATTTCCTGAGAAGGAAGTAAAGGCGATAGTGGAGCCTGCGGAAATAAGAGAAATTGGCTTGGAGAAAGTGCGTCTGGCATAAGATCCATGCTTTGATCAATGAGCTGCGGCATAATCTGGGAGGGGACATCCCAAGGACTATCGCTGTTGAATGAGATATCCCTCACTGCTTGTGAGGCACCGACTTCAGCCGGATCCGAGATTGTTCTAGTTTCAACAGCTGCTTTCAAAGCCAGCGAAGCATCCGCGGCTTGGGGTTGCCGGTCTGATCCAGAGCGACTCCCCGCTCGAGCCTGCAGAGCCTGCCATTGCTGTCTCTTTCTCTCCCCTGCAAAAGTCAGCAGCAATTCAGCGATAGGTTCTCACTACATACGGTATCTTCTTTGAGCTAGCACGCCCAGGACACGTTTTCGCTCCGCCGGATCCTCGGTGATGTCCGGTACTCCGGGAACATCTCGCTTACGCTTGTTTGGCATCTTATCGACCAATCAAGAGAGCGAAATTCTCAGAGAAGAGTAGATTGGAGTTTGTGACAGAGATGTGAGAGAAGAAGTCTGCGAGATGAGGCCACACAAGGACACAAAGACTGAGCGGGGAATCATAACGTTATGGTTATGGACACGCACTTGGTTGTGATCTCCTGTTGACCACAGCAGGAAAATGCTGGTAGAGTGCGTGGAAATAGCTACGAACACGAGAATCATTTATGGCTCTGACCGTGATTGGACGATGCAATAGGAATTTACAGACACCCCGTATCCGTTCGGGCCAAGCTGCACGTTATGTTATTTGCCGTTATGAGGTGCTGCATGTTATTGCCGTTATGAGGTTATAGTCTCGACAAATGGCTATATAAGGCCGATGAGTTCGAGATGTAGGGATATCAGGACATCATCAAGCCCATCTTGGAAAGTCAAAACGTTTATACACACTGTCCCTTGAAGACTACAATTATCAATGTCTCAGAACAATTACTCCATCCATTCGATTGCCGCGGCATACGCCGTTGGTCTGTTCCCTCACGGCTATTACTATGTCAAGATGATGGCCAATGCCAAGGAACATGCCACAAACATTGTGTATGCTTAACTACCTTTTTCAAATACGAAAGCAGCTGATAAAATGATACAGACCACGGGAGAACCTGTCCAATCTCAAAGGCCGCCTCCCAGCCCAGATCTGGCAGCAACTCGCCAAAGCCCGAGGAGCACATCTGAATGCGATGGAAGGATTGCCTCTTTTCGCTGCTGCAATGGTAAGAAGGGCATTCCTTCAAGCAATAGTGTCAAACTAACGCATATAAAACAGCTCGCTGGAAACCTGGCCAAACTTCCCTCGAGCGATTTGAACACGCTTTCGTTGGAGTATATCGGCGCTCGGCTCTTGTATACGGCTCTGTACATGGGAGCCAAGTCTGAGGCTATCAGCTATTTGCGTACGGGTGTGTGGGCATGGAGCGTATCAATCCCGATCTGGGGATTGATCCAGGCAGGACAGGTCCTGAACAAGGCTGAGTGATGATGATGATGGGACGCTGCTTGATGTACCATCAGTTGCCTTTTGTATTTTCCAGAAATTAGATAATATATGTCGATTTGTCAATAATATGTTTCGGAAGAAAGCAGTCTTCGAGAATGACGAGATCACTCCATAGAGTTAGCGGCCCAGATGCACTCGTTCACAAGCACCAGTCATTGATCTTGTCACAAGGGTAATCGGTCCCAGCTCCGGTCGATTCTCCGCTGCCTTTATAGCGAAGTTGTTGACCCATGACACTAAGGCAAGGCCTTCTGCGTTATTTTCCGGATCTTGGCAATCAATTATGTCCATACATAAAACGAAGAAAAATGTGAATTGGTGGAGTAACAGAACACTGCTGGTGTGTAAGCAGGACTCAGATACCCCAAGGAGCATAGGTGACATACCTGATACCCCAGAAAGACCGCACCGTCGAAGAATCCGTGAGAGATTGAAAAACTTTCAAAGACTTCCTGGAGAGATCCACCGTGTGCCGTGGAAAGTGGTAACTGTCCCGGTTGCATTTCTTGGCCTGTGAGAGCATGATAATGACCCTGTAGCTTGCGAACAGAATGTCTGCACAGAACCAGGTGTCGATAAGATTTTTGGAGTTGCTCATGAGCTCCTCCTGTACTGCGTAAGCTGAAATGGACTATATCCACAATACCGAACAGACATGGCGACTTACAACGTTCCAGTCAGCCAAGATTGCCTCCACTTCGGTGATGAGATCGTCCAGCCAACTATCGTATGTAGCTGCATTCTGGTCGGACTCAGCTTTCACCCAGTCCAAGTATTTCAGGACAACTAATGTCAGACGCATCGATGCCAGGAAATGTATTTGAATAAAGTGCGTCGACGCATCATCAACGCCAGTGATCGAGGGGTCAGGAAGATTGACGACCCATGACCCTTCAGGGAGCAGCGCCGGTTTACCAAATGAAATTTGAAAAAGGCAGTCGGTCCGAAGCAGGTGCCAAAATTCGAATCGCATTCGATTTCGCTCTACCTCATTCCTATGTTGGGAGGACTCCTGCGGTGGACAGATATGACCGTCAGGCCCTTTAGGGACCCCGTCAAGGGAGAAATATCCAAGAGCCCTAGCAATGCTGCAGGCGTGACCAAAGATCTTCCACGAGAGCTCACTATTGCAGCCTTCCAGCGTCACCGATATCTGTTAAGAATCGTCAGCAAGTGAAGCTCACAAAAAGGTCCCGAGCCTATAATCACCATCAGAAAAGCGGCAAACAGGTCCTCTGCGGTATTCCTTATCTGATCCAACCAGCCGTCCACCAATTCAATGCTTGTCCGGTAAATCGATTGTACGATGCCGCCCCTTTGCACAGCGTTATCTGGATCCATCAAAATCCCTTGAAGAAGCACACTGTAATAAATGAGTGTTGACGTAGCATCCAAGCTGACGTGGCGTATCTCCAGTAAGTCAGGGAAGCTTAAGAGAAAGCTCTTCTCCAAAGGAATCCGAAAACCCTCAAATTGATACGACTCATAGTACACTGCAGGATCGATTAGAGAGCGGACTGCCAATTAGTGGTAGATGGTAACGGACAATTTACCCATTTTTTTGCTTGTTCCTTTGGAATTTGTGGGGGAACCGACACGCCTTTTTCTTGTTTGTGCTCTAGGCGTGAGATCTCCGACATTGCAGCCTCTATCGCGTTGATGCAAGCTTCGTTTTGGAAAACCTGGGAGTGGACATGTTGTAGGAGACAGAAAACGTTGGACGTAAGCAGCAACTTGTCTTTGTCATCCTTTATACCATTCAATATGCTCTGCACGACGTCTTTTGCACCAGGGATAAGCGACTGGCCTTCGTCCATCTGGTCGGGGCCTAGTGACGACCTTGAGTCATTCATGTCCGAGTCGCCCGAGGAAACGGACATTGAACGAGACACATCTATGGTCTCTGCATCTTGAGCAATCTTGCAATGATTTTCCAGACGTTCTAGACGCCCGAGTATTTCCCGAAGGATCTGTTTGTCATGGAGGCCACTGATACATGTAAGGTTGTGGTGTAAAGGCCTTGGATATATGGAGCATGGACCAACCGTCTATTTCTGGATCGTGCTTTTCGCGGCAAATATGTACATTGCGCACCGACAGCTTCGCATCTGTCGCATCGAGGCTCAACTCTACTGCATCGGATCTAGCTGCAGGTCAATATGAGTTGCTGCACGGGAATAATTGAGATCGGCACCTTCTTGGCCTGACAACGAGTGCACTAGAACATCTTTAGCAGAAATAAGCCTAGCCAGAATCACAGATTACATACAGACATGCGCTTGGGTGGGTTTTCCGAAGGCATCGCTGTTCCAGACCATCAGGAGGTTGAAGGAGGTAAGAAAGAGAGCGGGGAATTTGCAGAGTCCGAAAGCCCGGCGGCACATGATATTAGTGCCTCAGGTGCCCGGATTTCCAGCAATCCCCGAATGTCCGGCCCCATAGAGCGTCGTTTTAAGCTCATTATTACTATTACTATCCCCACTTCCATGCAACTGCCTTGTCATATAGGGAATTTGTTGGGCTTATTTTTCAGCTAACCGTGCTATTAGAGGGCAGTTTTCTTCACCACCCCTTCCCCTCCATATAACCGTGATGCTGCCTAGAACGCCAAGTCTTTCCCTCTTGGGTAACTCGTATTCACCTGCTTTCGATTTGTTGACGACTGATCTATTATTTAATGACATCCTCATCCCGAGTCATCTATATTTTTTCAATGGCGTCTTGTCCGCCAGCCATTCCCACCGTGCTTCAAAATGAGTAGCTCCGAAGACATGCCTGCGGCAAGTTCGACGGAGAAACAAGCAGTGCCGGAAGAACAAGAAAAGAGCGAAGACAAAAATGATGGAAAGCCCACGCAGACTGCCTCGCTGGGTAACTATTTCGTACAAAGTGTCTCCCCGGATTGCTTGCGATGCGACTGACAAGACTGCAGAGAGCCCTTTCCTACGCAACCGGGAAAGATCGCCTTGTATTAGCCGTGGCTTTGACATCAGCTATTGCGTCCGGTGTGGTATGTTACAACAGAGCTGCATTGGAGAAGACGTAACCTAACTCATATCTTCGACCAGCCTTTACCCCTGATGAACATTGTGTTTGGGAATCTTGTTGGTGAATTCAATGGATACTTCATGCCCGGCACAACCGTCACCGAAGCGCAATTCAAAGCGTCCGTCAACAAACTGAGGTATGAAGGTCAAAGAGACTTGTTGTTCTTGTGCTGACTTCAGACAGTCTGTACATTGTGTACCTGTTCATAGCGAAATTCTGCCTGACATACTTCTCCATGGTAGGTGGGAACTTCACAGAGAACGATGGATATATACTCACCATCGCAGTTCTGCTTTCGCGTCACCGGTCTCCGAGTATCAGCTGTTATTCGACTGGAATACGTCCAGGCCCTCTTCTCCCAGCCGATTAGTAAAGTGGACCAAGTTTCGGTGGGCACAGTCACAAATACCATCACGACGCTGTCCAATACAATCCAGCAGAGTATATCGGACAAGCTAGCCATTCTTTTTCAATCAGTCGCCCTGTTACTCGCAGCGTTTATCATCGCGTTCAAGTATTCGTGGGCCTTGACTCTCGCCACAAGTTCTGCGCTGCTTTTCGTGGTCGTCGGCTGCAGTGTGACTCTACCGATCATGACAAAAATTCAGCAGAGGATTGACAAGGCGGATGAGAAGCATTCATCAATTGCGGCCGAAGTATTTGGGTCTATTCGGACCGTGGTTTCCCTCGGTGCCCAGGAAAGTCTTTCCAAAAGATATGCCAACTGGGTGGAAGAAGCACGGAAACGTGGAAATGGGCTGTCTTTCATCCTAGGCATCCACTTTGCTTTGGTGTTCTTTGCTCTGTACGCTAGCTTTTCCCTCGCCTTCTGGTTTGGTTTAAAGCTATACAGGGAGGGCCACATCAAGGAGATCAACACAGTCATCACGTAGGTATATCCCCTCGTCTTGATTACTCAGCTTGGCCACATTCTAATAAACCGATAGGGTGTTCTTCTCGGTCATGATCGTGGTAAGTGTATTAGGGAACATCGCATCGCCCCTGATTATCGTGTCCAAAGCTGCCAGCGCTGCGGGTTCATTCTTCGAGTTGATCGATTCTGAAAAGGTGGACGCCGGAGGCCTTCGCGAACCCGATGCCTCAGCCCACGTTGATATAATCTTTCAAGATGTGCGCTTCACATACCCTACCCGACCGGACGTACCTGTTCTCAAGGGACTAGATCTTCGATTCCGAACTGGGAAAACAACCGCATTGGTCGGTCCCTCTGGCTCGGGGAAAAGCACAATCGTTGCGCTGATAGAACGATGGTATCAGTTGGCGATGAGTCCGGAAGACCGCAACCAAGGAAGTATCTATGCTGGGCCGCATGATATCAACAGTCTGGACCTGAAGTGGTGGAGATCCCAGATCGGACTCGTCCAGCAGGAGCCTTTTCTTTTCAATGATACTATCTTCAACAATGTTGCATTTGGCCTTATCGGAACGAAGTGGGAGAAAGAGCCTGAAAGTGTGAAGAGAGAACTGATCGAGAAGGCCTGCAGAGAGGCTTTTGCTGAGGAGTTCATCAAGCGTTTACCAGAAGTATGTCGGTCCCATGGAATAATCAAGCATATCTGACTGTGACAGGGCTATGCAACTATTGTGGGGCAGAGTGGTATTAAATTGAGTGGCGGGCAACGACAGCGCCTTGCCATCGCTCGCAGCATCGTGAAAGAGCCCAAAATCTTGATATTGGACGAGGCGACGAGTGCCATCGACGTTCGCGGCGAGAAGATCGTACAGGCAGCCCTTGATAGGGTTTCCAGGAACCGCACAACCATCATGATTGCACATCGGCTCTCCACGATTCGACGAGCCGATCATATAGTTGTCATGAAAGGAGGCGTGAGTGTCGAGGAGGGAACACATGACGAGCTCCTCCAGCGAGAGGGTGGAGTATACCGCGACCTTGTCAACGCTCAGAGGCTTGAACTGTTGGCAGAAGATGACAGCCACACAGGCAACGCGATGCTCGATTTACAAGAAGAGGCCCAGTCTCCCACTATGTCTATTCAAGAGAAAGTGCATGATGAAGAGAACACCCAGGACAAAAACCGAGGGTTTATTAGGACTATCGGGCTGCTACTGTATGAACAACGTGCGCGGTGGCTGTTGTACTTGGCGGTCCTCATCAGCACAGCTGGGGCTGGAAGTAAGTCTAATCCTGAACGCTTTATGGGGTTTGAGCTAAGCATTCTTCGAAAATAGCGGCTTTTCCACTTCAGAGCTGGTTATTCGCAAAGCTCATCGAAGTGTTTCGGTTTACGGGCCAAAAGCTGGTTGATGCCGCCAATTTTTGGGCCTTGATGTTCTTTCTCCTCGCGCTCGCCGTTGGGGCTCTCTACTCTACGGTGGGATTCACTGCCAATTCTCTCTCAGTGGTAGGTACATATGTTCCCATCTGTGCTGCTCACGCTAATTTAAAAATAGAGGATATCCGAAGCTTGCCGAAAGGAGTATTTTCAGAACATCCTTGCGAAGCCTATACCATTTCATGATTTGAGCGAAAACGCTTCTGGCTCCATTGTTTCCCGACTCGCCACCGATCCAAAGCAGGTTCAAGAGCTTATCGGTCTCAATGGTGCATTCCCTCTCATTTCAACCTTTAGCATGATAGGTTGCATCGCAATTGCTTTTTCCTTTGGTTGGAAGCTAAGTCTGGTGACGGTATTTGCGGCCTTGCCATGCACATTCCTGGCTGCCTTTATGCGCATCAGATATGAACTGCAGTTTGAGTCGATGAATGCTGCGGTTTACGCAGGAAGTTCGCAATTTGCAGCGGAAGCCATCGATGCGTTTCGGACAGTTTCATCCTTGACGATGGAGGACGCCATCCTCGATCGATACACCCAACTCTTGCGGGAACAACAAAAGAAGGCTTTCCGGAAGGCGAGATACGCAACTCTGATCTTCGCTTTCTCAGATAGCGTGGAGTTGTGCGCAATGGCACTCACTTTCTGGTTCTTATTACTCCCTGATAGCTACAATAGAATGTTACTGATGGTTACAGGTATGGTGGGCAGCTTCTCGCCTCCAGGGAGTACCAACCGACCTCATTCTTCGTTATATTTATGGCGATCATCCAGGGCGGACAATCGGCCGGCCAGTTCTTCAGCTTCGCATCCAACTTTGCTCAAGCCGCTGCATCCGCGAACAGGATATTGAACTCGCGCCCGCAACCAGGGGAGCTCAGCGCCGCCAGCATCGAAAAGCAACAAGTCGTACGTAGCGGGGACCGGACCGGGGCTAGTGTCGAGTTCCGTGACGTTTCCTTTAGATACACTTCGCAAGATGTCCCTCTTTTCACCGGACTTAATGTCAGTATCCAGAGCGGACAGTTTGTCGCCTTTGTCGGACCATCTGGCTGCGGGAAAACCACCGTGATCTCACTCCTCGAGAGATTCTATAGTCCGACGCAGGGCACGATCATTTTCAACGGCGAAGACATCCGTACCCTTGAAATGACATCCTATCGCAGGGAACTATCGCTGGTCGCTCAGGAGCCACGCCTCTTCGAAGGCAGTATTCGCGAGAACATCACCCTCGGCCTCGACCAGTCCGAGTTCACCGAGGAGGAATTGATTCAAGCGTGCAAAGACGCAGAGATCCATGATTTCATCACATCGCTTCCAGAAGGCTACTCCACGGAGCTCGGCATCAAAGCACAGACATCGCTTAGCGGTGGCCAGCGTCAAAGACTCTGTATTGCGCGTGCATTGCTCCGGAAGCCGTCACTCCTGCTTCTGGACGAGGCAACCTCGAGCCTGGACTCGCAGTCAGAAAAGGTGGTGCAGGGTGCCATGGAACGTCTGGCCCGGAAGAGGAGCCTTACGATCGTTGCGGTTGCTCATCGACTGGCGACTATCCAGAAGGCGGATACTATCTTCGTTTTTGGGGCAAGCCATGCTGGCCAAGCGTCGCGGATCGTTGAACAGGGGACGCACCAGGAACTGCTTCGGGCTAAGGGGACGTATTGGCAGATGGTAAGTAGCTTCGACTTTTAACGTAAAGACTTACTAACTGTTGTGTGCGTAGTGTCAGGAGCATGCACTTGATAGGTGATCCCAATTCACACGCGTCTGGATACCTTAGCAGTATTTGAGGAATGACCACCTCGCTTTGTTCTATCCCTGGGAGCTTTTTATTGTAATATAGACTACCACTCGATTCCTGATATCAAACTGTGAACTCTGGTTTATACTCCATCAGACATCTAACCTCTCTCTATACTACCTTCTGCCAATGCTGCGACTCGTATTCAGCCAAGCTAGTGACCGGTCATCAAACTGATCATTAATCCTCATCCTCGTCCTCCCATCTGCCTCTTCACCTAGCACCCCATTGTTCCACACTACTCTTGCCAAACAGTGCTCGAGCTCGTGAGAAGATCAACATTTCCCAAATAGGGAATTGATATTGTCGCTATTCCCCCCAATCATGGACATTTTCGCCTGGCCTTGGTGTTAGCCTCCAAAACTGCTCCATAGGGCTCCGGAATAAGCATCACAAGATCCAATCCCATCTGGACGAACGAATTACTAGTCTCTCGATTGACTATGGGACTAGCGATACTACACCACTAAAATGTCACCTCATCGCCCACCGACAGTCAATATTAGGCTTTGCCTCCGTTGGAGTTTCAGACTATCTATCTTCTTCTGCCTAAGAGAAGGACCGGCCCTGGTTAAGGCAGTCAACAAAAGGTAATATTGAGTAGTTAAGCCTCTAATATAGAAAACTAACTATATCTCTTATACTATGGCCCTTGCGCTTATAGTTAAGTAGCAGGATCTTATAACTACTAATACCCTGCTTACACATGGCATCTACTATAACTTAAAAGGATTAGACACGGCTCTTCTACCTTGTCCCTTCTTTAGGGACCATAACTTTACTATTTTGAAGGAACTAGAAGCAGCACATTATACAACTGCCCTTGTCTGGGCTTCTACCCTTGCCACCATCTTCCAGGAAGTCTACAGTTTCTCTGAGAGTCAATCCAGCCTTATCTTCATAGTGCTGAGTAAGTCACCAATCCCAGCGCGCAGGTCAATCTAACCATAACGTAACTGCAGCAAGATAGACACATATTTGAATTGCTCAGTTTGTCAATGTCTCAGGCAGCACATGCAAGCAGACCTTTCTATTAATGGTCTCTGCAGTAGAAGACCTCTTCCTGATGAAATTGCAATCGATCCAGATAAGCAAAGCTCATTTCTTTCTGTACTCCATTACAGAATGCCGAAAAATGACGTTGAGCATAGGCTGTATCGCAAGTCCGGCGCGGTGATTACCACGCCATCTGGCTTTACGACCGAGACCAAGAATACTGTGACCACGCCGTGCGCCCTGGAGGCAATCCGCCGAGGCCACTTTCACCTTATAGTCGATAGAGCTCTGAGGCATAAACTGAGAGCGAGCCAATCATCCTAATCGGGACCGCCGTGCGCCCCGGCTGACACCACCGCCGCCCGCCCGAATACATCACTGCTGCCATGATACTGGCCAGAATCTTGCCCTGTCTGTTGTAGCACGTGAGGACATATGACTATAGACGACATTCCTCTTGGTGAGAAGGACGAAATCTATAAATTCAGTCATCTGTCCACGGTCAATCGCCCACAAACAACCTAGAGAGTCCAACATAGGCTACAGAAAACGAGAATTCAATCTTCTTACTTCTCAATCAATCAAATTATTCTCTTGCTATTTCTATCATGAAGCTTCTGGCTACTTTCCTTCTACTTGCTGCAGCTGTCTCTGCCTGCAGTGATCCTGCTTACAGGTGCAAGAATCCCCAGGGAACTAAATCAGCCGACTACTCCAAAACTGTGGAGATCTGCTCCGAAGTCGCTGATGGAGCCAAGATGTGCTATTGCTATGGCGCAGCTGAGGATTATTGCTACCTTGAAAATGCAGAAAAGGTGAAGAAGTTCATAGACTACTGCAAGAGAGAAGATCCATGGTACGCTGCGGCCTGTTAGACCACAGCAACAACTTTCCAGAGAACAAGGGTGAGTATTGGAGCGCTACTAGCTTATTGACATGCTGGCTAATTGCGTTGAACAGATACCAAAGCCATGTACCGTTGCTGCCTTTTGTGCAAATGCCATCGGATGCTCTATGGGCTTTTTCTGATACTGTTGCTACTTGTGTTTCGCTCCACTGAGGACTTCCCATTCCAGTGCTTGTTTCTCCCTGTATTTATGGATTTGTTTGAAGCTGGCAGTCTCTTCTCTGTGATTCAAAAGATGGAGCTGTCTGAACGACTGAGATGTCAGGCGAATTCGTGCTAAAAGGTTTCTTATGTAGGAGCAACCCCTGCCCGAGAATCATTCGAGGACCGAGCAGTAGGTTTCTATGTCTAGTTTGCTATTGTGGTAGTATATTATTGACTTAATGGACTTTCTTGGAATCCTGTCCGTTCCAGTACTACTCGTATCTATCCATGGTCTGGATGGAGATAAGTGACTATCTAGGTGATCTATATACCCCAGTATTCATAATCCAAATTGTCATAAAGTAGATCAGTATGCAAGTTCATCTCACAGATGGTAGCAGTGATCCATTGAATATAGGAAAGGTATAACGAGAGGGGAAGACCAAGCTGAATCATCCGAAATGGGTAACTAACTGAGCAGGGCTTGGAGTTCCAACCAGCGTCGCAGCCTGTAGATTATATCGCAGCAACTGTTGGGGCCATCATTTTCTGGCAAAAGCACCCAGTACCCTCATATGCATCATAATCCTCACGTCAAGCATCTTCAGCATTTGGGTTAGCCAAAGGCTCATTTTCTTCAAGATTGGCCGGGTTGAAAGTCTGCCAACAATTTAGCCAACACTTAAAGTGAGTTCCCTTGCGTACGGGATGTCCTACTCGAGCGAAAAGTAACAGGCCGGTTTCAAGTGCAGTTGGTGATATCCCTCGATTAGAAATATCGTATCTCGGCAGCAAAGCAGACAATACAAGTTCCAGCTCGAGCACTCAGCGGGCCCTGCCCGCTACACTAAGAATCAAATATTGAAGCTATTCAAACAGCAAAAAAAATCTTTTTTTGACTGGATATCTTGCAGCTTGCTAGCCAAGGCCACTAATATCTTGCCTAGAAGAGATAATACCCTTTGCTTAAAGGCTAGTCTGATCATAATTGTCCTTGCCTGTTTAGCCCTCCTAATATTTAGTAGTTAACTACCACCTTCTAGCTTAATAATCTCCTGGATACAGCATATAAGATGTTTAATCCACTCCTGAATATACTCCTATGAAGCTTATCTCGTGCCTTTATCCAGGCCTTCTTCCCTGTCTTCTTATTATAGGGCCCTCTTAAGAAGTTATATACTATTTAAGCTAGGGCTAGGCTGGCTTAAATAGTATGTAGATTAGGAGAGCTTCTAGGACCCAGAGAAACTAGAAATACACTTAGAGTATATTTAATCTATAATATCTTTAACGGGCACAGGAACTTTTGAAAAGAATTGTATCACTGTCATATTTCATCGTGTTGTATCCATACCTGGTACTTGGTCCATACTTGCTTCTGTATTTTCTCCAATGCAGAACGAGCTGCTCCAATGGCAGCAAGCCCAGAATCATGCACTGTCCCTCCGATGATATCGATATGGTCACCAAGAGCTTGCTGGACTGCCTTCTTGGCCAGGTGACCATCGCGACCGGCAGTCAAAATAACCAGCTTATCAATCCTTTGTGGGATTCCGTCGTCCTTGTGCGTCTCATCCATGTGGTATTCTATTGCCGTCAGTGTGACCCTACGTAGTCATCTTGATGGACCACCGGAGGGAAAGAAGCCAACCTCTTAATGCGGTCAAATGAGCTGCGATGTTGTCCGCCAGGCTATCCACGTAAGGGTTCTCGACCAGTTCAATATCCTTCCACGTAAGGAAGGCCTTGACCTCCTCAAACTCCTGATACCCCCAGCCGCTTAAATCAAGCGGCCACTCATCTTGATGTCTGTCATGTTCGCTGGGCTCCTTCGTCCCGATGCCATCTGCGTAGTTTCGCATCATCAAACGAGCCTGCTTCACCCGCTCCCAAAGATCACTCTCCCGCGCTCCCAGGGAGATCTGAAACCTCAGTGCTTCAGAGCCCTTGACCAAACGACTGGTCAAATGTCGATCAATGGACTCAGTGCCCCATTGATCCATAGGAAGATATCCCTCTCTGATACCGGCGCGCCTGTCGGTATTATACGTTCGTGAATCCAGGTAGAACTCCCCCAGGTCCAGGACCAGGTATCGTATGTCGGGATTGTCCATCTGCGTCTCCTGGGTTTGATTGAACGCGGCGAGGATTGTCCGAGCTTCCAGTCCGCGGGAGAGACTGATTTCGGCTTCCCAGCACGCTGTCCATACGAGATCGGTGAGAGTGCTGTTGAAAAACTGCGGGATAGCGACTATCGCGGATTCAATGTCGATGTCGTGGTTATTCAGTGCTTGGGCTTTGAGCTCAGTAAGAACGGAAACGAACTCCGTCTTGATGTCGTCAAATGTTAGAGTTGCTGACGGGGAAGAGGAGTAGTTGACTCCGAGAAATGTCATCATAGCGTGGAATGTGGTCTTTATGACTCCAGACGCTGCTTGAAAAACGTCCGAGCCGGTGATGCTTTGTTGAACAGATAGTGGCACCAGATCATGAATCCTAGAGACAGCCAGTTTTACCCCGCCGCCACGGCCTTGGTAATCCATGAAATCAGTCCAGCTCTCTCACCATACATGGCGGCTACATTGTTCTGTTCGTAGGCTTCCTGACGAAGGTGACGCATGGAGATGCCATACGTGTCATTCCGTCTGGGGTAACCTTGGCAATGATGGAGACATTATCAGATGCATGCGCATATGCGGCAGTTCTACCATCAGTAAGATACTGGCGATATGGGATGTGGGGCAGGCAGTACTGACATGATCTCAGGGCCGAAATCGATTCCAATCGGTTGGACCTCTCCACTGGCTATTGCTGGGAGTATAAAATAACAGGCAAGCGCCAGGAGGGCGGCCAACCTCCTTTGGAGGAACTGCATGTATGCGTTGTCGATGCTCCCTTCTTCAGTGATTTTGCAAAGGGCCTTCCTCAGTAATATAATAGTCTTATAAAAGGCCAAGAGCTGCCAAGTTGATAAACCCCAAAGTTGGTCTGAAACATGACCAATAAACCCTGCCACAAGTCCTAAGCTAAGCAATAAAGGGCTAGGCGCGCTCTATTAAAAGCATCTGAGATTGTTCATGAATCAGAATCCACTTCGGATTTCCTGTCAACAAACAGAGTATAACTACGCGCAACTGATGCAAACCAAGCCACGAGTAGGAATAAGCTTCATAGTTCAGAAAGGACATTTATCATCTACATACAACATTCAGAGACGAACTACACACCAACTTTTTTGTTTGGCAACAATTATAGTGCGACTTGGGAGACGCGATTTGTCCAGTTGCCATGACCAGTTCAAGCCAAGAAGAAAGGAACAGCCCTCCTAGGGTTGGAGGCCGATGATGGTGAAGCCGTGGGTGGTGCGCATGCCGTGGACGTGCGCTGCTGCTGCAAGGAGATGGGTAGTTGTTGGGTTATCCGTGCCGGACATCTTGCGTGCTTCATACTCGCGATCCTCATAGAAAATCTCTAGACCTTTGAAGCCCGCTTCGGCGGCTTGGTCGATTTTGTAGGATAGGTCGTGCAGCCGGGCGCCTCGGGATGCAACATGTCATCTCATGTTTCGGGCCGTCATCGCCTATTCGTCCGTTACCGATCCAGACCACAATCACGGCCGACCCAACTCTATGCAAATACTTCATTCCGTCAAACGCCGGATCCTGCCGCAATCGGACAAACTGGAGTTAGGCCACATCCAGGCGCTCCTTATTCTTGTTTTACTACATCTTCAGGTCGGGGATATCAAACTCGCCTGGGTCCTGGTTGGTCAGGCCACAAGGTTAGTGACGATGCTGTCGACGGTGTCGAAGTCCCGATTCCTCCATACCGTTCACGCATGTATCCTACTCGACAGTATAACCTCAGCCCTTCTGAACAGATCGCCCTGTTTGCCCTGTTTGTCTCTCGAAGAGCAGCTGGTGTATGGACCCGTGCAGGAAGACGATGTAGAGGAGTGGGATCATTGGACTGCACGGAATGGGTTCACGTCAAAAGGACCATTACGAGCGTTGAGCACGTTTAACGCTGAGAGACAGCTTATGCAGCTCCTAACTCGGGTATTGTACTGTCCAGTTGACCTGGCTCAATTGCACGCCCTCCTGCTCGAGATACAGGAACAACAGGCGATTCTTCTAGCACAGTATTCAGATCCCAGTTCCGACTCTGCTACACCGCCTCTTCTGACGTTGCATCTAACAGCCGGCTTTGTGATTCTCGCACTTGTCCGCCACTGTGGGTCACCTAGTGCCGATATGATCGATCTGACTGCATTCGCACATAATCTACGCTTTTGCGCCGGAGACCTAGAAAAGACTTCCTAATTCAACTCCAGCAGCTGCCACAGGGATCAACTGCTCGCGGTGATCGACAGATATACATATTCGTCGGCTAAGTCTTTCGCCGCGAGTCTCCATATAAGCGATGACCCCGCTTGAATTGAATCAACGCTGCAACCGGGACCATCATCAATAACAGCTGCAATGCCTTCCATCCTTCTCATCAACGGGTCCAACCTCAACCTTCTCGGCACCCGAGAACCACACCTTTACGGCTCCACGACCCTCCCCCAACCCGAAGACAATGCAAAAGCCCTGGCGGCATCCAAAGGTGCGAAACTGGAATCTTTCCAATCCAACTACGAGGGATGAATCATCGACCGCATCCATGAAGCCCGTGGCCACACCGATGCGATCATCGTCAATCCTGGCGCGTTCACGCATACCGGTGTCGCAATTCGAGATGCGCTGTTCGGCGTGTCCATTCCGTTTGTCGAGGTGCATATTACCAATGCGCATGCGAGGGAGGAGTCCCGGCGTCATAGTTATCTCTCTGATAAGGCTGCTGCTTGTATTATCGGGTTGGGGAGTTACGGGTATGAGGCTGCGATTGAGTATGCGGTGAGGGAGATTATCAGTGCCAAGTATGTATATTAGTATAGGCTGGTGTTTGGTATGCCTCCTAGCTTTGTGTTTACGGGATTTGGGGCCTATGGTAGATAGGATCTCCTCAGTCTAGCATCACAAGCAATCGGAATAGAACTGGACGCCATTATGTGTAAAAATAGTGGTCATATTATAAAAAACAATTATAAATATGCCACGCATGCTTATGCTGAATCACATATCCGTGCCGTCGCGCACCCACACTGCTTCCCGGCATGGGTGCGCGACACTGTAACCGAGGTCATTCCAGTGTGGTAATGTAACTACTTGCATGAAGGGAGTGATTCAACAATGTTAACACCCAAAACTTACCTACAGGAATCTGCACTATCTCTAGTAGTGCATCAGGGAGAGACCTGCAGGTGGTTAATAGTATCCTTCATAACTACCGCACAGACTGCAACAGCGTTGATAATTGTGGACGTACTGCATTATGGTGGGCGAGAAGTTAACTATGGAATGATTGCTGGCAGACGCCCGTGTCCTGGTTAATGTGGTGGATGACGAGGGCATAGACGGCCTGGATGCTGCGGCAATCCAAAATCATTCTGACATTGTCAGTCTTTTGTGGGCTCACCAGCATGGGCATTTGTTCCAAGTGTCATATGCAAGCTCCACAGAACTTGTAAACAATTAGCCACCCTAACCTTCTTCGACATAAGCTCGATGTGGCTGTTCTCAGTTATAGATTTGAGGAGATTCTCCCTTTCCACTTTTGATCTTGCCATGTGCATACCAATAACGATATGTCAGAATTTCAAGCGCGACGCTATGGCTGACGGCTTTGAAGCTGAGTTTGCACTTTCCGGCCGAATCGATTCTTGCGCACCCTAAGTGGAGTATGACTACGCAATTCACCCACGACAGTATGTACGTACTTCATTTGAATTAGGAACAACTAGCTTCGGATTACTTCCGCTTACTAGTAGGAATAGTCCAACCGTCACCACTCAAATCTCCAGTCGATATGCAATCCACGTCTGTTGCCTCAGTGCTGGGTCTCCACCAGCCCCAAGCTTAATTGAATCCACATTGCTACTGATTTATTCCTTCACAGCTTTGCTGTACAAGCTCAGCCCAACTATTTCTCTCTAACAAGTCACGGACGTCACGGGATAGTTAGTCGGATCGCCCGACAATCGGAGGTGACCATGCCAGGTCCCGCCATGGTGCATAGTGCAGCAGCCCCGTACTGCCCCCTTAGTGTGCAGGGAATTTGCGCACTTCTCTGTGGCAGATAGAAGCATCTTCTTCTCGGCCGTAGTTTCGCAGTTGCTGCCAGTGGTGGTGGCTTTGTAGGCGTAGCCCTCGGTGTGGGTGCCGTCGGAGTCGGTGCCGTAGGCGAGGGCGCACGAATTGGCGTCAGACTTCGCCTTTATGATACTGGCTATAAATTCGTAGATGGTGACGGCGGAACCGGCGGTCATGATGACCTGGGAGGCGACGCTGGCGATCTGGGCGACTGCGACCTTAGTGGTGATGCCGGTGCGCGCAGCCAGGACGTTGGTGGTATTGTACAGGTGCACGTAATCAGCGCCCACGACGTCAAACGAGATGGTCAGGTTCGTCTCTTCACCGTCCAAGGACTCAATAATGGGGGACTCGTAGGTCACAGTGCTATCAGTATTGCCTGCAAGACCCGAGCCCACAAGGCCAAGTGCGAGCAGACCAGAAAGTACCGTGCGAGGGACGACCATTCTCCTGTTGTAAATCGGATATAGAGCGCGTAGAGGTCTCCAAGGATAAAACAATAGAACATCCACTGCATGCTGCTGCAGAATGGCTTATGGAAAGAAAAGGAGGGCTCGAGGGATAAGAAAAGAAACCTACTCAGTGACGTTCAGAACACTGTATTTATACTCCATCCTGCACTTCACTGGTGAAAGCAATTTTTGGAGTTTCCTTTTCCTCCGCCGGCCATACTCCGTGCCTTTGTTATCTAGTGGGTTATAGGAGAAGTAGAAATCGATGCAGGCAGCTCTTCTTTTATGCGAAACTGTGCATGGAACATTGCTAGCTTATGTGACATGGAGAACCGGAGACGCTATCTACGAGTAAGTAATTAAAAGGAACCAGTAAAATCTCAAAGAATGTAATGCCCCATCGGGACCTTCGGAGTGCTGAATGTAACAGAGGCTGGTGATTTTCCGCCTGATCAAGCATGGATTATCCAGGATTCTTTCCTAGGTTGGGCGTGTTCATATTACACCGTGCTGACTCAGATCAGACAATAAGCTTTTCAGAGCTATTACAGATCGTCACATAGTTGAGAGCCCAACCATATCACTGCAACAGACTCTCGATTGGTTAGATTGCTATCGGCTTAACAAGTTCTGAGTCCTCTTGACCGAGACAGTGAAGCCGCCCAGTGTCAATCCTTACCGGACGGACAAGGCCTTCGCTATCCACGATCAATTAGAGCATGCAAACGGAACCCAACACTTCACTAATCTTCTTGGTAATCCTTGTCAAACTATTAAAAGCTTAGAACCGGAGCAGTCTGATTACACTCTGAAAAGCACACTAGTCGCAAAAGTATACAACCCTCTCCACTTCAACGACGACAAAGGGTACCTCAACCCATTCCTTTGCATGGACAAATACTACACTTATAAGGCTAATGCATATATGGCCCTCAGTGAATTTCAAGGTCAACGGATCCTAAGATACTATGGGCCCTACTCCTTAAATTTATCTATTAATTCAGTCCACACACAGACAGTTCAAATAATTTTGGTTGAGCATATACAAGAAATCATTATAGCAGATTCTAAGCCAAGAAATTTCTCCCATTCAGCTCACCAAAGTATTCTAAAGTCAATTATAAACATCAAAAGCTGGATCTATAAAAAGGATATTTTGCTCACCAACCTTAGGCCATAAAACATTATCATAAGTTTGCCAGATAGCACCCAGCCTTATGTTATATTTATTAATTTTACATATGCTCTTTTCAACCACAGGCGGAGATAATCCTATTCCATTTAAATTAAATAATTTTCTGGGAGAGTACATTCCACCCCTTGTTCAGTAGAATAAAAGCAAGAACAGAGACTATGCATTTTAAGAATGGATTAATTAGGACTAGGATAACTAGCTTAATACTAAGTTTACCCATACTGCTGCAAGCATTACCCCAGAGAAGCAAGAATAATGGTCTAATAATTAATTTATATCATGCTCATACCTTGGGAAGCTACAAAGTCAAGACAACCTAGGCAATGTTGTCCCAGTCCAGGGAACAGAGGAATCAAGCATTACTGGGCTATAGGAGATGCATCTCATACAGGCTGAGGAAATCATTTCCGCCAGACTGGTCACAAAAAATAACATGGCTTTTAGTGGTTGAACAGAACCTGGCTGTGCAGTTTCCAGAATATGCTTGCCATAAATGGCAATGGGAAAGTTACTTCATGGGAGGAATTCCTCATAGGGAAAACAAAGGATGGCCCCCAATCTAGCTCCATTGTTCCTGGAGTTCATCCGTGATATGATTTTGAGCAATGAACTTACCTGCTCCCAGATTACCAACGCGGCTGGCTGTCATCCAAGTACTATTACTAGGCATTTCATGAACATGAACCTGGTTGGAGATGTGAAGGCAGCCCTGAATAAGGGTGGACGACCCTGGAGAATTATGCTAATTATGGTTAGAGCCCTCTGTGATCATCTCCTAGTGAAGAGATGGCTACTGTTTACAAACACATCCATATGGATGCATGAGAGTTGAGGCTACCTGCCACGGAATCAGGCCTCGAAGCCTCGGAATAACCATATTCCTGAAGCATGCTTGTCTGTGAAATTGCTATTCATAGAACACCCGCCAAGCCTTACTATGAGAATGGCATAAGGAACATAGTGGGGTTACTCACGCGACAGCATTTTATTCTGCCTGTATAATTGTATACACACACCAGGCAAATGACTTATGATATGATAGTAAGCAGTGGTCTTACTGCCTCGCAAATGGCAGAAGCTGCCGGTTGTCACAAACGTCAAAAGACATCGGTCGAATGTGCAATTGTTCAGCAGCGTGACAGTACCTCCAAATAAAGGTGGAAGACCACGGAGGCTTATCTGTTGCGCTGAAATGCTGGCTATCAATGGCCTTAAGTCAACCCACCATTCTGTGCAAATTTGACATTCCTCCCTTCGGACAATGAAGTTCCTCTCCTGAAAGCGCATTCGAGGATAAGAGTGAGAGCGACCATGTGGTGAAAACATAATTCGTTCCAGAAATCCATGGTTCGTGATTCCTAGAGACGGCCTCTCTTTAAAATAGACTGGGCGCTATGACCTCGATGGCGGACGATGGTGTTGTGAAAGAAGTTTATCATACAACCAGAGACGAAGACAAATTTGACGTCGACGGATATATGACGCATGTGGGTCAAAATCCGACGCAAGCCTGGGAGAGATCGCATCTGGAAGGCTCTCTTGTTCTGGTTCCCAGATCCGTTGGTAGTAGTATCCTTGGTAAAAGAAGTTCGAAAACCGTGAAGCTTCAAGCTGAGACGATATCGCATGGACCGCGCCAGGCCCTATGCAACCGAACCCACCCAACCCACCAGACTACGGAATTATATATTATTGGATGTATAGCCAAGTCTTCTGTGGAGAAAGCGGCTCCAAGGCTCTGATAGAAGTGAAATATGCGCCGATTTTCGTCCTTTTTTGTGGCATAATCGCGGCACCTTGGAAGAAGCAGGAAGAATATTTGTGGGGCTCGACTATGAGCGCAGTCTTGTCACATTTCGACTTAGGATGGGAGCGCCCTCATGGCCACGACTTATTGCGGAGGGCCAGACTTTTCGTGTGCCACTTCGACCTGACCGAGGGACGACGCGGAGGTACAGCTTCATGCGAAGCCAGAGCGCTCCAATCAAATACCGCCAATATACAAATAGCACCCTGCTTCTGATAAGCAATTTGTCCGAAATTCCCCTCTTTCCTATTTTCAAGCGCCGTAACGTGATTGGACGGTCTCTGGACTTTTCGCACCTGTGGGAGGATCATGTCAAAGGACTGGTCTGGAGAGCGTAAACCAAATAGATCTACATTTGCATGGATGATAGCTCAGCTCAGTTAAGATATTAGTCTAAGTAAAAATTCCTTACATTGCCACTGCTTGGACTCTAAATGTCACCAAAGGGGTTATAGCTGAGTGTTGTAAAACAGGCACAGATTGTGCACCTTACAAGCTAACCCCATTCATTCATGTTTCTGATCAACGTTATAGCAAACAGCCAGGGGACTACTGTCGCGAAGCAAGGTGGTGAAAGGTAGCGCCATTCATAAGAATTATTGGAGGAGAGATGAGTCAGCTCACTGAATACCAACTTTTCCTTACTAATGGCAAATAGATTAACCCATACTTCATGCTGCCTATAGTCTGACCACAAGAGAATCACTTGGGATACATCAGTATCAATAATAGGCTTTCAAAACTGCTTTAATAGGTATAAAGTAATGCCTTGATCCGTTTCTACTTTCCTATGGAAAGCAGGTAGCTGACATGCCTCATTACCTTTATACGCCAACCTTACAATTTCATAGGAGTCAATCTTCACAGAATTTCATCCCTATATATGAAGTGAGAGCTTATTCATAACCTAAAAAGCTCTTTGGATTATACCCACCATATAGCAGAGATATATGTATGCTGTAATGTTGGAGCAACTGCCATGTAACTCTTAAATCAAAGGGCTTCTGCCTAGGAACTTAATTAAGGACTTAATATCAAACTTAAGAGCATTGTACCTATTTAGCTGGCACTGTATATTTAACTTCATGTGATCAGTTTATTAGACTACATTTAGTGGTTATCATTCCTTATAATGAACAAGTCACCTTGTAGGAAGGTTCTAGGGGAATAGAGCATTAGAAAAGCTCCTAGCATTTTCTATTGCATCATCTTCTCTGTTTGTTTGTCTGGTTATCAATTCCAGATAGGAGTTATGTGTTTATATAGTCCTTCTGTCCTGCCCAGCCATGTGTTATAATAGGCCATATTTCCATGCAAGTGCTATAAGTATGGCGTGTCATCAATAAGCCTAGGCAACCCTATTCTGAATCTTGGAATAAGCACGGTCGCTGCGCGCTCTATGGCTGATTATTGCCCCCTTTTAACTTCCTTGTGTGGCCAGCTTTTCGCCTGCAAGCACTTCTGAAGTTAGTGAGACTGGTAAAGTTTGTTAGATACCTTTCATTTAATATTGCTAAGATTACTTCAATGGCGGCAAATACTTAAGTAGAAAACATTGCCTGGTTGTATGCCAGTGGCCTATTTTTATTTCTAAATTCTGCCAATGGTATTAATCATGTCCATACAGCTAATGAGCTGATCAAATCTTAGCAGCAACTCCGCATATTTGGATCATTCCCCTGCATCTATCTTGGGCGGGCAGCCATATGGTCACTCTATGGCATGCTTCTTGCCTGGGCTGGGAGAATGCCCAGAATCTATCACATGACAGCTTGATTCTACCCTACTCCATCACCTCTTCATTTTAAGCCTTAGTTATATACTTCATGCCTCCTGTTGCACTTCATGCCATATAATGGATATTAAAAGCTAATGTATGAGAGACTTACCCTCTCACGCAGATATATATGTGCCAGAGCCCAGACTGTACAAATCTCAAGGGCCTAAATACAAAGAAGTATTCTCCATGAAATGAAATCTCAGTATAGGCCCAAGCCAGCAAGTATTCACTGAACAATATGCTCGCGGATAGTTCTATAGGCCTGTTACAGGTCCCCACTATAACAGGCAATAAGAACCATTCACCAGCACGCATATACCTTGGTGGCAGTATTACAAGTTCAACACCTAGATCATTCAAGCAGTATTTCACTCCCCAATTCACAGTCCCATACCTAGATTAATATTAATGTTGTAGCTGGGCAACATTAATGACTAACTCACTAGTACATCATTATCTGAAGTTTATGTAGGAGAGACCAGCAAGCAGAACATGACATACTCAGCCAGTAGCTATAAAGAGCATTATAACAGGAATCTATTATTCCTTCTCCATAATTTAAAGAAATACAGAGATAATAGGCTCTTTTTAACAGCCTCTGCATTTTATTAAAGTAGACTATTATGGCATCATCCTCTGGGAGGAAGGGGATTCTATATCTCTTAGTGCCAGGGTGCATATAATATAGCCCATAGCTTAGACCTAAGAATAGTTCAGCAATATCCTTATACTTTTGTCAAAATCTATTGGTATGGTTCTGGAAGGTAGACCAGGCACCTGTTCGACCTTGCTAAGCAGGCTTGGGTGATATCAGAGGAAATAGCCTAGTTTAACAAAGAGAGGTTGCACCAGGGCAATTTGGACCAGCATCTTCAGGGGCAGGATTTAGTAGGAGATTTATATCCATCCTGAAAACAGATATGAGCTGTATGGTTGATGGGATGGACAGAGGGGTGGCTGACCAAGTCTAAGTAGCTGGTGGTATCACATACTTTATATCTCATTTCCCCAGCCCACACCAACCATGCCCATAAGTAGCAACCAACCCACAACATCCTTGCAAGGTCCATAAGTACCTCACAGGGACCTTTTCACTATTGCGCCATAGCCTCACAAGAGCGGTGCCATAAATTCAATAATTGGACAGGCTATTATCTACTGTGATAGGCTATAACCTGCCCCACTGTATCTCTGGTCATGGCAATTTGCATGTATAGTCACTAAAACTAGTTAAATCCCCTGTAGGATCTATGCTAGACTTAATTTAAACAACATCGACCAGACATTCAAAATCTTGGTTTTTGAACAATTTCAGATGCTAATTACCCCAGCTCATGCTGCCCATCCTAAACATCACGCTCCGCTGCCATATATCACCATCTTCTATACTCTGTGCTCCTAGCTAACAACCAAAGTGATGACATAAATGGTGACTTAGATTAGATTACTCTCTTTTAGTCTTTCTAGATTGCTCAAGCTGGAAAAGTCTCAGATGGTCTTGTTAGATTTTTTAGAAAGGCCTAGTGGATTTATTCCTTCGCCTACTGCACTCTAAGAGAGGCCTTTAAAGCGACATCTAATTCAGCATCTTCACCACAGATTAGGGACGTTACTTTTAGCCTTGAGCCTATTGCAGACTTCTTGCTAGAAGAAGACTGTCTAAGTCCATGCAGGCTTTCCGCAAGCAGGCTCCAGATCTTTCCTTATATGGGCTAGAAACAGAAGATATTTAACCCAGTATAACCTATACAATGGGATGACTTCATACAGTACTACTAAATAGTGGTAAAGTTTAGCAGTTACTGAAAGTTGGAGAGATCTAGGTAGGTTAGCGGTCACTTTAAGGAACCAGCATAGGTCTCTCCAGAGCCTGTTTGGCAGATAATATACACCCATTGCATGCATTCTCTTCTCTACTAGCAGTTAATCCCTAGTAATTAGGGTCATGTAAATTTGCAGCACCTCCTCAAGGACATCTAGTAACTCTAACCACACTCAGAAAGGCAAGGCCAACATAAAGTTTCCACTCAATTGCCCAATATGCGAGAGAGCAGAGCCGAGACTTTTAAAGAGATCTATAGTCTTCTTCCCAGCAAGCGCACCCATTCTCAGCACCTTACTGTCCCCCATAGCTTGCGGGCCTCTCAGATTCATTGCAATCTCAAGATATAGGACTATGCCATGATATGCATCATAGAAGATATCTTAAAGCATGCCGTAATCAATAATATCACGCGAAGCAACCACAGCCGAAAACCTCATCAAGACAGGTACAGTGGTCTCTAGACCTTATTACTATTAATACCACTCCCAGGACTCTGCCCCACTATAAAAATATAATAGAAGGCAGCTGATTGCCTGAAGATCATTGCAAACCATGGGAGCTGGTACAACTTCAGTCCCAAGATCAACCAGGATGACCTGCTGCTTTTGCCATTCTGCACAACCAAACACAAATAATAGGGGGTTTAGATTGCCATGGATGATATTCCTAGAGTAGATGAACTCCACCCAGGACAATAATTAGTCTGCTAAAATAAGAAGGCTCTGCAGGCTGAAATAACAACTAGATTAGCAGAAAACCTCATCCAGCGTCGGTCCATACATGTCTGTAACCATGATATCCTTCCCATCAATGATTTCAAACTAATGCAGTAATGGCATACTAATTCCTCCAGCTGCAGCTTACAGTGTGTGAGCTTCTCTCACTAATAGAAAGAGCCATTCAGTTTTAAGAAAGGCTTCTTCAAGAGTAACTTAATGTTGCGCTAACCTGTGTTAGTTATCTTCCTTAATGTCATAGCCTTAAGCTTACCACAGCCTAGTTCCCCTGGCACCTCCAGCTACTTTAACACCTGAAAAGGGCCAATAGACATGCTCCTAAAGCCCATCATAGTCTGAGGCTTGCTCTCCAGATCTTCTGTAAGAATTAAATATTATATTTATCCACAAAAAAGCTCTCTATATTTACTTAAGTAACACATAGGCGCCATAAATTTAAGCAAGGTATCTGTGGCCCTTCTGAGATATATAGGAGGAAGGTGGCAGTACCTTGAATCACCTGCAGCAGCTCTTGGAGGAATTGTGGCCCTAGGTTTACACAGCCTTTCAGTCTATACTTTCAATAAAGGCACTCTATTCACTGTATAACACCCTCTATGGTTTTGCTCCTGTAGAGACGCATGACTTAGGCTACTATTAAACTTCAAAACATCTAACTCAGAGATTATAAGTCTTAAAGCCCACAACTTCTGCAGTTGTAGCTAAAAGGCTGATGTGAATGGACTGCAAACTTGCATTATAAATTAAACCAAAAGTAGCTAAAATATACAAAATCAAACTTTACAGCACACACATCCTTTTACCTTGTCAACCTGATACATTCTATTGCACTCTTCTGCTATATCCACTACAACAGAGTCAATTAGGCAGAACACTTAGCTAAGAAGAGAAGTGAGTTAGAATGGGCATTAAAGGGAGTTGCAGTGCAGGCAGCACTGGGATGGTGAGTTAATGCTGCACTACTATAGGCTCTTAGCTGTTCTAGATATTCTGCCATTTCCCTTGTTTCTTCTCAAAATCCATTGGTTTCCACTGATCAGTCTGTGGCCAGTGCTCAGCCTATTATTTTAAAGTTAAAATAGGGTCTAGTTCTGTAAGCGCGCCATTTGACTTACCACCTCATTAAATAGTAGAACCCAGTCCTCATCAGGGTGGGTGTTGTATATCATATAATGAGTAGAGCCGTCCCTGCTTTTAGTCTTACTAGAAACCACAATATATATGCAATATTCTCAGCCGACATCCAGTCTATCTAGGTAGAGGTTATTTAGTTGCTTAAGACATGCCCACTTGCCGCGGCAAAATCTTTCTCTATCAGCCTTGGCCTGCTTCTTGGGGTCTAAGAAGTAACCTTATACCTAACACTTTTCTCTCCAGGATGTTGAATGGCGGTGTGGCAACATGTTACTGGGATAGAGCAGGAAAATAGTCTTTTGCTCCAGAAGGGAGTATATTAGCCTAGCAGGGCTTCTTATAGAGATTTAGTAATGCTGAAGGCCAGAGGCCACAGTTTCACAGCGCCTCTTTCTATCTTAACATTCTATTTTTACCATGGCGTAACAATCATAACTTTCAGAAGAGGCGTTTACCACTCTGTTTCAAGTGTCTAGCGCCAGCTCGTGGCCTGTTTCACATATAATCACATGAAGCGCAGATAAATGATCAAAGATTATGCTCTTTAATGATATTTGCCTTGAGCTCATTTACCTCCAGAATCAGTGAGTAAAATAACTTTCAGCCCCGCGCTACAAGATACATTGAGGAAGAAATAGGTAATCCAGATAGTTAAAATTACAGATGAAATAAGCAAAAGCAAAAAGGTAGAAGGGCAGGGACATCATGCAGCTCCCATATTGTTTCCCACCAACACAACAGCAGGCATCCATGTCTTACTCACGTCGTAGTATTCTGCGTCCTCATTCCCAAAAGCCAAAACAGCTGGTTGTATGGCGCAAGAACCATTTTCCTATCAAGTCTGTAATCATCATCATCAAGATGATGCAGTTAGTGCACACTCATCATTAGGCTATTAACATCAAACACCTGTAAATCCTGCTGGCCATAACACCTAATATATGCTCTTTGTGCCCATAGAAGTAGCGCAATCTCCCCAGACTAATAATATAGATCTCTTAATTCTATGTTTCACCACATCACATCTGTTAGACTGTTTCTGCACCTTGGTGAAAAAGAGCCTGGGAAGTACACTTAGAAAATTGTCCATGAAGCCATCGCTGAGCTCCTGTAATCTCTTAGAGAAAGAGAATCCAGTACTTAAATTTGTTCCTCTGTATAGAAATTATAGTGTATCAGAGCCATATATGCGCTTCTGCCTTGTTAACTAAGTTCTGTTAAACCTGCTTCTTCCAGGATTTGCTGTCTAAAGGCTTATTCTGCATCAGAGTCTCATATATACTCGCCATGTTAGGACTGCCTGGTTCTGTCATGTTATTGTTTCTTGTGTTAATGAAGATGAAGGGATCAGTGAAAACTCCCTGAAAGATCATTTTCGCTAGAGCTGCCCGGACAAGAACACTGGAGAGTTTCATTTCATGTAGTGGAATTTGCTTAATCAGTGAATACCAATCACTTTGAACACAGTATCCCTCTAGCTACTTAATGACCATGTTCTTCTCTGCAGCCGGAACCTTTTCTATTTTGCTCTCATCAGCCAGACTATATTCTCTTAACCATGAGCGCATTGTAGTCTGCAGCTTAGTGAGTTCAAATTATATTATGTGGTCTTATTTTAGGAACCACTTTGGATGTAAAGAGCCAATGACTCTTTCGCGTTGCTGGAGAATGATGGACTGAAGCCTTTTACACTCACTTACTAACTTGCTGCAGTGGTCTTCCAGTTCGGACTTCTCGCGTTCCATTTACTTGATGTACTCATGCAGTTGCTTAGTTTTCTCAACGCGTGCAGATCCCAGAGGCTGCTGGTTTAGGATGGTCTCATCGCTGCAGAATAGGTGCGGAAATGGCCCAGAGTTTGTTTCCGGTCGAAGTAACAATGCCATATGGCTTGCCGAACGTGAAAGTGGGTTGCCCAAAGGTAAAGGGGCTAGACTTGTTTTCTGCGTGAATGCTCGGTCCCATATTTGGGACGGTTCAGGTTTTGCTTATGATGATCTAGCATTGAGGGAAGCATCCGTCAACGTGAGAGCCTGAACATGAAATAGTCGCCTATGGCCACAATTTTGTGACCACGGGCCACTTAACCACTGTTTTGCAGCTTGATCCCCTTTCTTAAGAGAAAAAAAAAACCAGATTACAGTTTTGTTGGATAGAAATACAATAATCAGGACCAAACAGTTCGTTTGTCAGCCCTCCATTAGCAATAAGTTCACCCTATTCATCTGTGCTTAGTTTCACGCCAAGCCTCCCTTTAACAAGCAAACAGATAGTCACGGTCTTGCAGCAAAGCCAAGTAGGTTTCTATGGAATCCAGCCATTCTATTCGCTGCAATATGCGCGAATCGGTTAAAATTTTGGTTTGCTTCTTATATGCCACAAGCCTGGCTAATTTGACAACCAATTGCCGCAAATATCCAACTGAAGACATATTTGAACCACAGATTGAACTGGTAGGCCTAGGAGTATATCCCGAGCCATAGCTACCAAAAGCTCTCTGCTCAATTCTAACTCACTCCCTGCTTTAAGTTCATCTTCTCTTTCCTGCCCCACAACTGAAGCCACTCCTCGACGCCAATGGTTGACTTCTGCAACTCAGCCGCACAAAGAGCACGGATTTTGCTGCATTGGATGACTCGCATGGCTCGTCGTATGTTGCGGCTCGTCGGAAGCTCCAGCGCTCGCTCGACATGCTCGCCGCCGGGAACATTCAAGGCCAGAATAATGGGGTAGTTGAGTTCTCGGTTTTGCAGATCCTCCGCTAAGGAGCCCTTGAGGTCTGCGTATTCGAGCGAGTAAACGTTCTTGCAGTCATTTTGCAGTTGAGCGTACCATCTGGCACAATCGTCAGCAAGTTGGACTACAACGTCAGACGGAGGCAAAGGACATACGCAATCTGCGTCAAACGCTCGTCCATGGAGCGGTTCTCCAACACCAGGTGACCAAGTAACCGAAACAGAGCGCCTGTCTTAAGGGACGCCATCTGACGATAGGCATCTTTCCTCTCGTGGTGACCGACGGGGAATCCACTCAGCCCATCCCTGCGCCAGACCAGGGAAAGGTCCTGGCCCTCCAGGATCTGTTCCAGATCCTGCATCAGCCACGGAGCGAGATGGGGGAACTCGATGGTTGTTCTCCGGATGATTTGAGTCACCCGGTAGTAAGCGCGGTTCGCTGTTTCTGAAGGGCCGTAAATTCTGTGCGCGGCAACGTGCCCTCTCCGGAGCTCGCTTCCGTCGGATATCTAGATTTTGGTCAGCATGAACCCTTCTTTAACTCAAGATCCGTCGATCTTTTGCAGGTAACAATAATACATCATCTACCAACATAAGGCACAGATGGATTGCATCCATAATCTCATTGACAATCGCATATTTGGCTGGGTCATCCTTCCGGAGGGCTGGTGAGAGTCTTTCGATAAACGGGACCAGTGGTGATGGCCATAGATCTGACGGATATAGCTATATGGACATTCGTATGAGGTGATGGTAGCAGGCTGTTTCTTCCCAGGGAGGTGGTAGTGCTGGGTCGCGCTCCGTCGCTCGGTGACGAGACGGATCGCTACGATCACGACATAGGTAAGCATGCACAGCACCAAGAGCCGGCCGGTCAAACGATCGTGGATAGTTAAGTCCCATGGGATTTGCGAGCCCATTTTGCGACACAAGTCTGGCAAGTACAAGAATAGAGGACGGTTTGTATCTCACCGGAAAGGACTGAACGGGACGACCGCTTCTTAAGGCGGGTAGCGGTAAGGAAAGCAGTCAAGTAATGATGATGATGTTACATTCACCAGAGTCAATTTTGCTTGAGATGACAGCATTTGGACCAAGGTCGACATGTAACATCCGCCAAAGGCCGGGGTTGCATCTATGGCATACGTGCAAACTTTGGAGAATAAATTGACGGTAACGAGCCTTGGGCCCTTCGGTTATTTATATCATCACCGAGTACTTTAAAGTTGGCACTGATCCCGTATTCAAGTTGTCTTTGCAGAACACACCAGTCCGTGCGCCTACAACCATCAAATCGGATATCTGTGGGATTACTGAGCTCGGCAACTGAAAATTGACCACAAAGATGGATGGTTTTGGCGATGCCAATGCACCGCCAAACTACCAGGCTGTTAAGCCAATTGCTGACTTCTTCGTCGTCCTCATGGGAGCCGGCTGGGCGATTAACTACTTTGCGATGGTGCACAAGTCATTTCAAGATCAATCCTACGCAATGGCAATCATGCCCCTGTGCTGCAACATGGCATGGGAAGTGGTCTACGGGCTGATATATCCGTCTCCCAACCCGCTCGAAATGGGTCTCTTCCTGATCGCTGTCGCCATCGACTTCGCAGTCATCTACGCCGCGATTCGGTTTTCCCCAAACGAGTGGACACACGCGCCGCTGGTGAGAGATAACCTCCCTTGGATCTTCCTCTTTGGGATCGTGGGCTTCATCACAGGTCACCTCGCACTCGCAGCCGAGGTCGGTCCTGCTCTTGCCTACACTTACGGTGCGGCTCTCTGCCAGCTGCTGTTGAGTCTTGGGGCCATTTGCCAGCTTCTGTGCCGCTGCAGTACTCGTGGGGCTTCCTTCACTCTATGGTAAGTGCTGCTTCTTTCGGTAGATTCGGCGAACTACGCAACTAAGAATTACAGGTTGTCTCGATTCCTTGGAACCGTTAGCGCCACAATTTTCATAGTCTTGCGGTGGTGGTATTGGCCCGAGTCCTTTGACTGGTTAAATAGTCCGCTCTTGCTGTGGAGCTTTGGAGCCTGGCTCCTACTAGATCCGCTGTACATCGTATGCTACTGGCATGTGAAACAGTATGAACAGCGTCTGGGCGCGAAATACTTGGAGAAGGGTAAGTGATCCATTGAATGGGGCGGAGTGGCAAAAAGGGAGTGGATTTATTAGCTAGGTTCAATGATGGTCGGGGTCGAGTATGTAGCATTACAATTTGAGACTTTGGGAATGGCTGCAGTATGGATAATATCCCCGCGAACTCAAATTAAGCTTTACCGATATAAACTCACCTTGACCCGCAAAATCAAGTTATCGAAACCCTGGTAAGTTCTTGATGCCTCTCACTCCTGGGAGTAGCGTTGCATCTTATGACGAGCTCATTCGGGTCATTAACCAGCCAATAAGCGTCCTCGAAAAGCTGTCCACCAGTTGGTGATATTCTATATCACATGGGATTGTCATACAACGGCGGCAGATGTAAGAAAAGCAAAACGCAATCATGGAAAGTTGCAGATTTACTGTCATCATTGTTGGTGGCTCGATTGCTGGGCTCACACTAGCACACTGTCTAGAGCGTGCGGGAATCGACCATATCGTGCTTGAGAAGGGGACTCATGTTGCTCCCCAGGTGGGTGCGTCTATCGGCGTTCTCCCGAACGGAGCCCGCATTCTCGACCAGCTCGACATCTACCGCGAGATCGAGCATCATATAGAGCCGCTGGAAACGGCAACCGTCTGCTATCCAGACGGGTTTAGCTTTAGTTCTTCCTACCCAAAGCTGATATATGAGAGGTAACTGAGCCTGGTCCATGAGAACGACCTGCCCGTACTGATTCTGGCGCATATTGATTATATAGATTTGGATATCCCATCGCCTTCCTGGATCGTCAGAAAGTGCTGGATATCCTCTTTCGGTCATACTCTGGCAGCAAGAGTATACATCTCAAGGCTGAGGTCAAAGGCGTGGAAACGTCCAGTGACGGTGTCATTATAACAACCACTGACGGAGCCAGATACCATGGTCATCTGGTGGTTGGTGCCGACGGCGTCCACAGTACTATCAGGTCAGAGATCTGGAAGACAGCACCCGTCGTGACAGAAGTTGAGAAAAAGAGTGAGTCGGTGGTCTTTCTCCCGACATATGGGTTGACTGAAAACTCGCACCTCAGGCATGACCGTAGAATATAGCTGCATTTTCGGGATCTCCTCTCCCATCCCCGGCCTCCATGCAGGACACCAAGTCAATGCGTTCTTCGACCGTCGCACAATTGTCACCATTCAGGGCAAGGGCGGTCGTATTTACTGGTTTGTCATTCAGAAGCTACAGCGGAAGTACATCTATCCCAATAGTCCTCGTTTCACCAGCAGTGACGCCGCCGCAGCAGCAGAGCGTTTGCGTGACGTCTTGATTTACCGTGATGTTACCTTCGGGGCCCTCTGGGATCGCTGCGAGACCGCATCAATGACCGCACTGGAGGAGAATGTCTTTCGAACCTGGCACCATGGCCGGATGGTGCTCATTGGTGACAGTGCCCACAAGGTATCTACCTCTTTGCTACAACGATATCACGTCGTTAGTTCTGATGGATCCACAGATGACCCCGAACATCGGTCAGGGGGCGAATGTGGCGATCGAGGATGCGGCCGCACTGGCATCGCTTTTAAGCAGTCTCCGCAAATGCGATGTCCCAAGCTATTCAGAGATTGAATCTGTTCTACAGCAGTACCAGCGAGCCCGCTATAATCGAGTGTGCTCGGTTTACAGCATGTCCCGGTTCCTTGTGCGGCTGCAGGCCAGAGATGGCCTCTTGTATACCATGTTCGGCCGCTATTATGCCCCCTATGCTGGAGATCTCCCAGCAGATGTAGCGTCAGAGACAATAGCAAGCGGGGAAATACGTGGGCTTACAATCCTGGGCCCACCAAAAGATCGCTGGAGACAATATCACGCCAGCAGGGGAAACAGGGTAGCGTGGCTAGGCCCTGTCCTTGTCCTTGTACTTAGCCTGTTATTTAGCCGCTACGGTAGATGATTTTATAAAAGGGATACTCTAAAGAGATATAGAAGTCGATACATATCGAGGCTTCCGATTGGAAGAACTGGGCGTCTTGCTAGACAAGTCTACTTTGAACGTAAAATTAGTGTCGTTTCGGTCCACAGCAGTGGTAGGCGTTCTTGAGACTTGACGCACAGATACTCATGATCTGAAAACAGCAAAGCTTTGCATCTACGTTACAATAGCTAGGAGGAATCCGGAGCCCACGATTGCCTGATGACGCCTCGTAGCGGGCCTGGCGGCTTCTTGATGTTACTCAAAAAAGCTTAATTTGAGCAAGAGTGAGTGTACCCAATTAAGTATAAATCTAGTGGTCACAAAACCTTTCCAACCATGATTTTGCAAATATTCAGATGCGATTATTCCGGACTCCTTGTCGGACCTTGACACGAGCGGATGCATATAGACTATATCCCAAAGCCCCGTCAGTACATCTATCGCAAGCGTTGTGCCTGACTGAAAAGTCTGAAAAGAACATAGAGTATCATGGAGAAGATAATCTGTGTGAGCACGGTCCAAGAAAATCGAAGCCTCCCAGCTTTTTCAATGCCAGAAGGATCCAGGACTCCGCCTGAGGAAAAAGTATGTTTCCTGCGCAATGTCTCCCTCCGTAAAAAGTATACTGATACCGGTCAGATCCTTCGAGGGCCACTAGACTATCTGCTTTCAGTCTCCGGCAAACAAATCCGCACTGAGTTGATCCTGGCCTTTAATGAGTGGCTGAGGATCCCGGATGAGAAAGTGAAGATCATCAGTGATGTGGTTGAGCTTTTGCATACAGCATCTCTACTGTACAGTTGAACACCCCTTTTTTACTTGGAAATGTGCCCCTTTTGACGACGGCATAGGATCGACGATATCCAAGATGCGTCAAAGCTCCGGCGCGGATTACCCGTCGCACATGCCATCTTCGGCGTCCCCCAGACAATTAATTCCGCCAATTATGCCTATTACCTGGCGCAGGAGAGGATGCAGGATTTGATGGATCCACAGGCTTTCCGCATATTTACTGAAGAGCTGCTGAATCTCCATCGCGGCCAGGGGATGGAGCTATACTACAGAGATCTCCTGGTGTGTCCTACGGAGGAAGAATATATCAAGATCGTCTCTAACAAGACTGGGGGCCTATTGCGCTTGGCATGGGGACTCATGCAGACGCAGAGCCATGTGGTAGTGTAAGTTCCGTCCATCCATCCTAGTAAGCAAATGTGATACTGGCTGATGAGCAGTAGAGACTGTTCTTCTCTTGTGGAAAAGTTGGGGATCATCTATCAGATCCGCGACGACTACCTCAACCTGCAGAGCGGGCTGTACATGCAAAAGAAGGGCTTCGGAGAGGATCTTAGCGAGGGAAAGTTTTCGTTGCCTGTCATCCACTGCATCACTTCTTCTGCAGATAACAACCTGCTTTTGAGTATTTTAAAACAGCGAGTGAATGATGAGAGCATCAAGGCCTACGCTATTCGTTACATGGAAGCGGCCGGGAGCTTTAAACATTGCCTGAAGAAGCTGGACATGCTGTGGAGTGAGGCCATTGATATCGTCAGTCAGCTAGAGCTCTCCCTGGGTGGATGCCAGCGCTTGCGTTCTATCCTCCACAGACTCAAGGTTGAATCTACTCCAGAGAGTGCTTCTGGCGGGAATTGTTATGCATAAATCTATTGCACCTTATTACTTATCAAAAAGCCCTAGGCGCTGGAGACATTTTTCTGGAGATTGGGGGTATAATGGCGACTCGAATGGATGAGGCTCTTAAACGGGCGTCGACCGCTGATAAAAGATGTTAATGTTTGACCCGGTATTCATTCGCAGCCGTAGAGATAGGGAGGTATGGTGTTGAAATCGCTAAGATACGTAAACTTTCCAAATCACTAGTAAACTATATGGCCAATTGAAAATCAATGAAGGTCCGATTCTTCTAAATAAATGACTATCTATCTCCTATTTATGCCTTTGATAGGGGTCGGATTGGGGCTTCTAAATGATTAAATACTATTAAATATTTGGCCAAGAGTGGTAGTGCTTCACTAATTCATATGCTTCTAAATCAGGCAAGCAGTAATATAATTTAATACACCCCCTAGCTAAACTATTAGGCAAAGCTGCATAGTCCATAGCTGTTAAAGCCATATCTATATCTAAATCAAGTATTCATGTTAAATCAATAGTATTAGATTAGTTAAAGCTTAATCTCTACTTCCTGATTAGTCCATGAGCCTAACCATCCTGTAAAAGTTAATATACTTATTCTTTAGTAATATCTTTATAAGGCCATCTACCAGCATGTAATTGGTTTCAATCTATTTAACTGATATATAGCCTGATTGGACCTCTTACCAAAGCTAGTGCTGGTGTATATCAATATGGCATAGCTTCATGCAAATCATAGGCTCCTCATTGCGTAGTAGCCCTACTATTTAATAATTATTACATAAGATTGATATCTCATGCTCTAGATTAAATCTAATATCCAGGAATAATTACTTCCACTAATAGATATTCTTTATAGCCTCTAAAATAGCAAGTAATTTAGCCTTAGTAGTAGAAGTAGTAACCATTTATTACTTCCCTGTATGCTAATCCACAGTGGTACTAAATAGCTTCGCTAGATATCCTTTGCTGCTGCTATAGTCTAATTAATCTGCATAGGCAGCATTGCTTATAATAATAAAGATATTCCCTATTAAATCACCTCTATATTCCAAAGCATAGTCCTTTGTTAAAGTGAGATATATAATAATATAATTAGCTGTATTAAAATAAGCTAGTCCAGGATTCAAGCGATATCTCACTAGATCTGATGTTATCTTAGTAATATCTAAGTGAGTGATCACTGCAGCATAGAGAATTAATCTAATTTTGGATTGATAGTGGTGTATCTCGTCAATTATTGCCTTCCTATTGTATGGATGTAGATTCTCTGCTACAGGTGTTCAAGGCTTCCTATTAGGCAAATCTAAATAATATCTTGCAATAATCTTATTAATATATGTCTATTAGCTGAGCTATAGCTTCCATTTTATTTAATCCCTGCTAATCTTGATATTCAGGAAGCTCTCTCCCTTACCTAGATTATAGAATTCATATCATTCTTACAGTTTTTAAATTAGATTATTAGCATGCTTCTTGCTTTCAGGATGGTAAAGAAATAGTATGTCATCCATAAACACTAGGATAACAGTCTTATCATCTATATAAAGGCATAAGTCTATATTAATTCCTCATAAACCTATCTCATCAAGGGCTTTTGAAATATCTCTCTACCAGAGGTGTGGTGCCCTGTGTAGGCCATAGAGAGCTTATTTTAACTAGTAAATATAGCTATATTTAGAGAATCCTTCAGCCATGTAGGTATAGACCTCCTTATCTAGTTTGCTATTAACAAAGGTGTTAATAGGGTTGTTATTTTCGCGGGTTGGGCCGGGTTATGCCATCTTTTGAACCCAACCCAGCGGGTTTGGGTTGTAGATTTCTAGGGCCTAAACCCAGCCCATAACCCAGCGGGTTGACTATCTAGAACCCACTGGGTTCTATTCTGCCAAGGATGTTATTGTCTGCCTACTAAATCCAGTTAGTATAGGCTGGGTTGGGCCCGCGTAGAGTTGCATTTGGTGCGGGTTCGGGCGGGTTCAAGCCTAGTTGGCACCAAACCGCTGCGGTTTCGGGTTCAAAATTTAGAACTCGCACCAAACCCGGACCCGATGCGATTCGGTTGCGGTTTTCACCGCAAAACCCGCTGCTAGGCCTAGCTAGGCCTAGCTAGGCCTATACTAACTAACCATGGTTAGATTCGGTTCGGTTTTGGGTTGGTTAAACCGCTAATTTTAACCGTTTTGACCCTTACCATTCCCCCTTCGGGACCCCTCTGACGCCCCTATTGAGCATGCTTATATTAAATTATGATTTTTATATGAAATATATGGTAATTATCATCATATTAATCTAGATCTAAAATATGAATTCAATATCTATAGGTTTGAATGGGTGGTGGTTAAAAAATCATTTTTAAATATGGTTATTGTCAACAGTTGGTCGCATATATATATAAACTACCACTACTTTCATACCAACCTATGACAGAGATGAAATTTTCTTATATCTCAGCAACCACCAGGTATTTTTGAATAATATTTATATCACTAGATAGCCTTTGATTCAGGCTATCTAGTGATGTTAATATCAATTAAAAATATCTAGAATTCAGTAATTTCTAGGTAAAACGGTTGCGGGTTGGTTAACCTAACTCGCAAAACCGCAAAAACCGTAACCGGCGGTTTTAACCGAACTCGAAGCGGTTCCACCCTATGGAAACCGAAACCGGTGCGATTCCCTAGGCTAGGAACCGAACCCAAACCGCTGCGAGTTCGGTGAGGTTCGGGTTCGATTTTTGCGGTTCGGTTATGCAACTCTAGGCCCGCGAACCTGCCAAGTAATATTTAATGTGTAAAACCATACCAATATTCAATAAATATAAATATATAAATAAGTATTATATTAATTGAGCTAAACCTCTATTATAAAGCATTAATGAAGTAGTATAATATATATAAGGTATAGAAGTCTAACCTAAGTTAGATTTTCATGTAGGTTTCCAGAGGGGAACCTTATCTATGATAAATACATTAGAATCACTAGTTCTTTATAGTGAATATCAAGTATATATTTCTTAAACTTAAAGACTCTAAGTTAAATAAAGAACATATTACTACCTATAAATTATTTACTTCTATTCACTTTAAGCCTTAAATAAGCTATAGTTATAGAATAATAGGTAAGCATGTACATATAATAATATCTTATAATTCTTTATACTTAATTAAACTCTCCTTCTTATTTATTTTCATTTATATACAGACCCCTATTTACTATATAAATATATAAACCACCTACTTTATATATAGACACCTCCTATTATGTATAGAGCCTCACCATCTTCCCTTTTTCTGTGTGCACAGAACACTATAATTAGCCTTAATTAATTTAATTAAATCTAACTTAGGTTAGATTTAATCTCCTAGACTGTGTATAGTATTCCCTTATTTCTTTAACTATATCTAGCTATAATCTAACTTGAGTTAGTTTCCATAATACCTAAATCTAGTAAGACTAAGAAGAAAAACCTTAATACTATTATATTAGTAGTTAATAATTAATTATCCTATAAGATCAGAGATGCCTTGCTAGGGATGCTAATTATTAATATCTGCCTTCTAAACCCTGTGTGGCCTAATAGGAAGAACTAAGAACTTAATACTACCTACCTGGAAAATCTCTGCCAGAGTATAGCCTTAGGAGTTTGCTAGCTTAATATAGAGACCTGTATAAAGGTATATATAAGCTAGATAGACTTTAATTAACTCCTTAAGCATCTGGTTGCTTAGTACTTAACTACAAATTCAAGTCCTATCCTATTATATAAAGGAAAGTAAGTGAAGAAGTAGAGTATATAGATACTCTAGGAGATTATCTAGAATTCTATAGTTAACCCCTCTCCTGCTAGAGATGTTATTATTTTTAATTAGCTAGATAAAATTCCTTATATAATCCTTAATGCTAGCCAGCATTAAAAGGCTGCACTTAAATCTCTGTTATTAGATTAAGCAGCTGTAGCTGCTAAACCACTAGCACCTACTACTAATAATGGTACCCCACCTCTTACTATAATAATACCCACAGATTAAGTAAGTGAAATCTAACCTAGGTTAGATTTTCAACTACTGATATATATATATAGGATTACCTTTAGGTGGTTGATATCTACTATAGTAATGTATTTAATATAGAAATATAGATAGTCCTATAGAGTAACTAGCAGGAGGTTAATAATCCTAATTCTGATAGAGTATTCCTAGTTAGAATGCTTGAGGTATTTAAGGGTAAGTCCCTTATAGACTAAAAAAGTCTTCTCTTATCTACTTATCTTAAAGAATGGCTTATGTAAATACTGGGGATTAATCTCTTATAGGTTAATTATATTCTGCCTATCCTGAAGCATGCTAAGTTTAAGAAATATTTTAAGTAGTACTACTCTACTCTATATAGGGCTCTCTATTTCTACTTTACTACTACTAATAAAATTACCTCATCTAAGCTTGATCAGGTATGTAATCTAATACTATACTTAATATAGAAATCTAACTTAAGTTAGATTTAGTTTGAGTATTTAGATGAGTTTTTTAACTTTAAGGTAATAATCTTTGGAGACCTGTTATTAAAAGTTTTAGGGGTAGACTAGGCTATACTAATACTACTCCCTATACTAAGGGAGCATAGCATTCTTTATCTATTATTTTTCCCTACTAGTAATAACTATATTAACAGCATACTTAATTAGAGCCTGCTTAGTCTTCCTAATATATACACTAATAGAACCTTAAGTCTTCCTTTAATGACTCCCTTCCAGAAGAGTAGTGTGATATATAAGACCTAGAGACCTAACTTTTTTAAAGAGCTCTTAGATATAGAATTCTGCCAGCTCTTTAAGAATCTGTGGAACCACCTAGATCTAAAGTGCCTATTATAGCAGTTATAGAGCATAATTACTAGTAATATTTCAGAGCTAACTATAAAAGTTCTTAAGCACATGATATACTAGTTTAACTCTGAGTGGAAGTATCCTAAGGTGGCTAAGAAGGCCCTGTAATACTTTAAC